TGCAAAGAAAACTTTTATTTTCTCACAGTGCGTGTCGCTGATTTAAATTCGGCGACTTTCCAGATGAACTGGGGCCAATGCGCGCCAACTGAAAGTTTGCTGAAAGCTAGCTGAAAATGGCAGGGCGCAGCTCGGAAAACAACGTTTCGCAGCTCGCCGGGGCTAAGTTTCAGCTTGTTTTTAGCTGCGCCCAAGACGAGAGCTGCGCCCGTGCAAGTTCTCCGAGCTGCGTCCTATGTGTTTTTCAGCAAACCTTCAGTTAGCGCATTGGCTCCTGGTACATGCCATAGAGGGCAACTTTATCGAAAAAAGCCCACTTTATAAGTCTGTCGGGAAAATAATTGGCACAATGTTGCTGCGCGAATCGCGTCGCTGAATTGAAAAGCAATTTGATTTTGCTGCGACAAAATTAATTTTCTCCGCGGCAATGTGATTTTCGATGCGACAAAGTGCTCATTATTTTCCCGACAGACTGATAATTGCTGAAACGTCCCAATTTGCTCTTTGAGACGTTTGAAAGTCTTCATTAGAGAAAAATTTAGTAGGAGTTTATTCTGCTGAGGTTTGGCTGTGATCTAAATACGCCTTTGACTTTCATAATATGCCAACAACATTATCAAAATTATCAAAAAAAAATTAACAAAACCAAACTCCGCAATTAGCCACAAGACCTCCCAAAAATAAAACAAAAACATTTGCGATTTGACTGCCAATACATGTATAAAAACATATAGCAGACCGCCCGTTCCAAAAAAACCTCCCGTTTTTCATAGCCCAGATGTCGTTCCAGATTCCTCAAAAAAGTAATAAACCCGCGGAAAAAACGTCTGTTTAAATTAAGGCCGTTCTTTTCATCGGCGAAATTGAAAGTCGAAAGCCGAGAAAAATGCGGTCGCAAATCCCAAAGGAGCAGAGAGCGCGACAAATATTGACAAACAGTAAATATGAGTAATGCAGCTGTCAAAGAGCATCGGCTTTTTTTGAGGGATTTCGGGCTGCGTGAGCTAAAAACGGATTTCGAAAAAATTTTTTTGAAACCACTGCATCAAAAAACAGGTTTATTATTATACACCAATTTGAGGTTAAAATCAACGATTCTTTGCGTGTCAGCGATGAATATTGTCATGAATGATATTCTGATGTAACGAAAAAACTGTGAATATCGACTTTTTTGTAATTTAATTGATGTATCTGCCATTAGCCAGCATTAATGGTCAAAATAAACCATAAAAGAAACTGTATACAGTAGTCACTTTCAGGAAGGAAGTGTTTCAAGTGCGACGCCCAGATTAAAAAAAAACAAACTTCGCCCATTTTGCACTGATTTTTTTATGACGCATGTGAGACTTGGCATCAAAAAATCAAACTCATTTCTACCGTAGAGCATTATATCTTCACAAAAAATCATCGTATGCACGACGTGCTTGAAAGTTTCAAAAGGGCCTCCTCTTACTAGGAAAAGTTTATCTGTCTGTCGGGAAAATAATGAGCACAATGTCGCTGCGCCGATCGTGTCGCTGAAATGAAAATCATATAGATAATTTCATTTTCCCGCAACACAATTTATTTGCTTGGTGGCGACGCGATTTTGGATGCGACAGAATGCGACGTTTTGATTATTTTCCCAACAGACTGCATCGTATAAAATGTTACAGACTGGCTTGACTAAATTTATTTTTGTTTTCAGAAATTGCGGAGACTCTTATTTTCCCGGAAGAGTGATAAAGAACACTCATCGTACAAAGTATAAAATGTCACTGGCAGCCTGCAAACCCCAACAAAAATTTAGTTGTTGTGTTTTCAGAATTTGTAGAGGCTCTACCTCCCTTCAACGCCGTGAAAATTCAATTATGTAATGCTCATTATTTTCTCGACAGACTGATAAAAAACATGCGTCGTATAAGATGTCACCGGCAGCCTGCAAAACTTGACAAAATCGGGTCTTGTATAAAATTACGGAGACTCTGTAAAAAATTCGATCAAAGAGTGCTCATTACTTTCCCGACAGACTGATAACAGAGTGTTTTTATTCGTTTCTTTCAAGGCATCGCAAACCGATTGTCCGGAAGCGCAAATTTTTCTGCCTTCCCGATATCTGATCGGTTTGCAGCGATAAAAAATGTGTTGATAAACCGCTTGTTTTGCTCGGCGTTTCCTTTCCAATACTCCTTTCAACTTTGTTTTCCGTCCTTTACAACCATCAAGCTGTTCGGGTTTGTATTTAAGTGTTACAACGGCGGCTGAAACATGCTCGAAGCGGTGTAAAAAGGCATTTTCTTCTCTTCACTCCGACTTGGCGTTTTATTTTTATCACAAGAGAAGTGGTTTGTGTGCGACGCTCACGCGATTTTCAATGATTTTGGGAGAGAGTGGGCGAAGTGAGGAGAGCGGCAAGAGAAAAGAAAAGTCTTTTTGGCCATATCTTTTTCAGTTTTGCAAAAAAAAATTGATTTTTTGCAGAAATACCACACTCTACAGAAGAAATAGGCATGAAACTTTTGATGACAAAATTTGCAAAAAAATGGGGTTTTTTGGGTAATTTTCGAGCTAAAATTTCCAGCTTGATTTTGGCTTATAAGTCTGTCGGGAAAATAATGAACACAACGTCGCTGCGCCAATCGTGTTGCTGAAATGAAAAGCAATTTGATTTTGCCGCGAAACTTCATTTTCTCTGCAGCAATGACATTTTCTTTGCGAAAAAGTGCTCATTATTTTCCCGACAGGCTGAAAACCCCTCGTTTTAAGTGATTTTTTTAGATTTTTCTTCCATTTTTTGATAAAAAATCACCTCTGTTCTCTCTCAAAAACAGCGCTGAGAACACTGACTTTTGGCCTTTCTTATCTCTCAACTTTGCCCCCATTTCCCAGCCAATTTTTTTGCCTCTGAAAACGCACCTTTTATTCAAACAGTGTCGCCGAAAATCGAAGAGAAATCGAAAAAATCCGCCTCGACCTTGCTCCGATCGTCCTTTTGAATTGGCGCGCGATTTTTTTCAGCCCAAGAGCAGCCCCCAAAAAGAACAAGACAGAGAAGAGTCGATTTTCGGCTGTTTTCGACGCCATCGTTTCGAACGGGATTCCCGGACCTTCTCTTTCGCTTATCTAAGCCAACGGGGAGCCGTGATATTGATGAATTTTTAAATTTTTTTTGGGATTTTTGATTTTTTTGAGGGTGTGGGGGTTGATGGCACCATTACCATTTTCATAAAGTTTATGGACATAAAAATGCTAGAGCCTTCCGGACAGTCGCTGGACCGATTTTTTGGCGTGTGCGTCAGGGTGCGAGCGACAGCCGAAAAAGCCTATTGCACGGTGCAAAGAGACATCTTGTTCTCGCAGTGCGTGTTGCCGATTTCAGTCTGGCGACTACAGGATATTCCTGCAGAAAAAATCATTGTTGCTTTACAAAGTTGGCGAAAATACGGTAAGAGAAATAGTTGATTTCCCGATGACCGTTCTCCTCCTTTCGCGTGCTCTCTGCTCGGAAAAGATCGTTGAGTATCTCGGCTAAATGTCAAAATAGAACCCTAGAATTTTCGGCAATTGAGACATGGAGCATTTAGAGAAAGCATGCGGAATTTGAAGAAAATCTCGCCATTGGTCTTTGAGAAATCTCATTTTTATTAAATGTAATAGTACACAAATCGGTCTTTCGGGAAGATAACGAGTACAATGTCGCTGCGCCAATCGCGTCGCTGAATTTAAGAGCATTTTGGTTTTGCCGCGACACATTTTCTCAGCGGCCGTGTGATTTTCGATGCAAAAGAGTGCTCATTATTTTCCCGACAAGCTGATATACAGGGTGTTTTAAGAAATTTTGGCCGGATTTTCTTCAAATTTGGCATGATTTCTCTAATCGTCTTATGTATCAATCGCTAAAAATTCCGTCTTTTTCTTTCTAAACGGAGCCGAAATATTCAACAATCGTTGGTGTCAAGAGAATACGCAAAATTCGGAGAGCGGGCAGAGGGAAAGTTTTTTTTTCTGTTTTTTTCACCATACGGTAAAGTGCGCCGAAATTTATCTGTTTTCTTCGCGCCTTTCACGTTTACGTCTGTCATATCAGTTTTTCTCCTTGGTTGGTTCATGTCAGAGTGCAAGGCAAGTTCAGGACGACCGCTATAAAATTGTTGACAACGGAAACTCGGGTACACACCTGATTCTTTCCCATTTTGAACCGAAAAATTGTGGGTGTTGGTGGAAATAAGCAATTTTCAGAGGGTTTTTTTAAAGTCATTCATTGTTGTTATACTTTAAAATCGGGTATCAGTCTGTCGGGAAAATAATGGGCACTCTGTAACTTCGAAAGTCGCATCGCCGCCGAGAAAATGAATTGTGTCGCGGCAAAATTAAATTGCTTTTCACTTCAACGACACTATTGTAGCAATATGCTCATTATTTTCCCGACAGACTGATAGAGTAAAAATTGAAGCGCTTCCGCTTCCAGCATGTAAAGTCTTGAGCTTTCATGTCATGTCATTGTCGAGAGATTGGCATTTACTTTCCTAAACATTTCTTGAAACACCTTCTCTCACTAAAATGGTCTTATCTATTATTGGAGTGACTAAAATTCGTTGAAACAAGACAGAAAAATCTACCGCCCCAATATGCCTTTCTACCCCGTTTTAAATAAATAGAAATGATTTACCCATGAATTCCGATTGCACGCGTATTTTTCGTTGTTTCATTAGAACGTCTTTTATGCATATTGCATGTACGGGTCGCAGTTCACCGTGAATTTTCCTTGTTGCCTTTTGAAACGTCGCGACAAGTTTTTTTTCGCGACGGTGCATTGCGTAGAAATTTCAAGACTTTTGGGTTCGATCAGTCTGTCGGGAAAATAATGTGGGTTTGTCGCATGTTTCACCTAGTCGCGCACCAAAATTTCAGCCGCGGCTAGCCCTTGCAAAACCTTGAACTAATGCGCGAGAATCCACATTATTTTCCCGACAGACTGATATATATCTTCTAAACAAATTTACCTCCAGCCATACCCACTCATGAGTCCGTCTCCAAGCACTTCGAATGGCCCTTTTACCGTGACTTCTCAATGTTCTCTCAAGTTCGACAACAACTTTTTGTCCAAAGCTTTGGATGAGAGAGATGATGACAACCGTCGATCGCCGTTGTTTGCCAGCTATTCCGGCCGCAATTTGTTCAGTGTTTGCAAGAGGCGAGTGCAAGTGCTCGACACTTTCGCCGGGGAAACTCAGTAAGTTCCATTTTGTGTTCTTGTAAACATAATGTATATAATAAATTGTGTTTTTGATAGAAATCAAACTGTAATGTTTGACGTCGAAAGGCGTGATTGTCGCATGTTCGGTTCAAAGTCCGCCGAACGGAGAAAACAAGGTTAGAGCGGTCGATTAATAGTTGCGCAAGGCCTTCTCTCCTACTTTTTTTTGCTCGCGTAGATGTAACAATCGGGTCAAACAACAAAGCTCAAGTGCAACAGCGTTTCACAAATGTTGTCCGAAAATGCTTAAGAATTGATCCTATTGGTCTGTCGGGAAAATAGTGAGCACAATACGCCGATCATGTCGCTGAAGTGAAAAGCAATTCGATTTCGTTACAACACAATTCATTTTCTCGGCGGTGATGCGATTTTGGATGCGACATAGTGCTCATTATTTTCCCGACAGACTGATAGTGCGATTGCAAAGTTTTGCAGTAATTTCTGCAACATGCACTGCAAAAAAGATTCTTACGAGCGTCCCAAGTACAACCCTCAGATTAGCCATAAATTTTGCGTATCATTTTGTCGGGAAAATAATGTGGATTTTCCGCAGCAAGACGAATCGGCTCATCGCACAAAACTTCGGCTGCTAACGGTCGCAAAGCGATGATGGGCGATTTGAAAGCGCTACAAATCCACAGTATTTTTCCGACAGTCTCATAGATGGCTATGCTCATCATGTGCGCAAAATTTAAAGAAAATCTGAACTTCAAATCTTCCTTTTCTTAAACTTGTTAGAAATCGACTGTAACCATGATTACTAAAATTATATCCTTGCAGAACACTGAACCTATGTTTTATGCCTGTGAAATACGACAAAACCTTCTACGACATTGACACGATCAAAATCGAGGCTCTTTACGAAACGTCGGAACACAATGGAATCATTGCTCTGCAGTAAGTTGAAAAGACCGTTGTCAACGAAAATCTTCTTCGATTTGAGAAGAAGCCGGGGAAAATTTTGGGCAATGTCATGAGAGCCGCGACAAATGTCCATGCACTTTGTATAATAAAAATAAAAAAAAAATAATGGTCCCGCTTTCAGGCTCAACAAAATGTTTGGCGGGACCACAGCGGTCTTGGCCAAGGTCTCAATCAGCTACATCGACTCTAAAGTCACCATAGAAGAGAAGCTCGGCTTCTGGGATGACTTTTACGTTTTCACCATACAACATCTCGCCGATGAGCTTCTATTAGTTGTCGCGCATGCCAGTTCGGTCTGTCATAAAGCCATCTTGTACAAGGATGGGGAAATTTTCGAAAATCGGACGAGCTATTCGATGGATCCTCATCACAAAGAGCCTCGTGCGGATTCGCGGATAATCACGATCCTGGCGGAGACAGCGGGCTTCGCCAACGGCCGACTGACATTCCTGGCCTACCATGCCGACAATAATGCCAATGTTTATGAGATAAAGTTGTGTGAGGATCGGTTCCCAATGTATTTCATGGGAACAATGGCTGATGCTGATGTGAGTTGGTGCTTTTTAAAAATGGCTTTATCAGTCGGTCTGGAAAATAACGTGGATTCGTCGCGCCTTGAAATCAAACATCAACGCTTTGCGACGTCTAGCCGCGGCTGGAAATTTGGTCCGTAATTGTGACGAGGCGAGACATTTTTCTGCGATAAATCCACATTATTTTCCCGACAGACTGACAGCACCGCAAATTCTTGCCAATAATCAAGGCAAACTGATACGTCGAGCTTCATTGCTAGCTTTGCAATAGCCAGCCTTTACCACTGATTCTTTTTCACTCAATCCTTTTGCAGATGCAATCGCTTGGAAAGTACAAAAACGGCTTGATCATTCGGACCGGCTACGATGGGAAGTCGGTTCAGGCCATCTCCTTCCTCGATCTCTCAAGCCTGCAATTCCACAACCTGGGCCTGTTCTTCAACAGCTCAACGCATTTCGCCTTCAACGGCGACACACTGCTCTCGGTGGATTCGAAGGCGAACACGATTACTCGACATCGTTTTGACACGATGGAGAGCCTGGAAACGATGGCGTTTTCTGTCTACAAAAATGAGGTCTATAGCGGCGCTGGAGGGAGTGACGATAGTGAGAGGAATGGTCTTCAATTAGTGATGCCTGCTTCGTTGAGAGATTACATTGTCCCGTGACTAGAGGCTCGTGATTTTCGTAGAGATGCACGGTTACATCCAACAGTCGGTTGGCAATTACTATAGTCGGTTTATGCATGATGCCTTGGATAGCAGGTGGCTGAAAAGTCTTGACATTTGTGCCTGGTGCAAAGACATGTCAAGACTTTTCGACTCATCTTGATTTGATTGTAAATTATTTTAATTATATTACACTTTATTGCGCAATAAATAGGTTTGGATTCGAAGGAAATGATATTAAAAACTGCTTTTTATAATACTATATCAGTTGTCACAATACAACCGGAACTTCAAAAAATTCTTTATTTGCTGAGTTCATAACAGAGACCACAGTTACTCTTTGAGGTATAACATTCTATATATAATTTTTCAAAAATGAGTAGACTCTTTGTTGCCGTGCAAGGACTCCAATTTTGCACTGTGCAATCGAAATATTGTGCGACAAAAACCATCTTCAACGGAGTCGCTGCGATATTTTTGAAGTCTATTACGATTTTTCAAAAGTGCGTAGACTTTTTTCGTGGGCCGCACCGTGCACAAAACCCCTTTTTGCACGCTGCATTTGACCTTCTGCACCATGCAAGTGCAATATCGCAGCAACTCAAGCTTTTGTCAACAGAGTCTCGCAAATTTTGGGCGAGGGAAAAGAAATTGCACAGTACAAAATTTTTCAAAAAGGATAGCGTCGCGCAACATGCATTGAAAAAAGTCTGCGCACTTTTGAAAAAAGCGAAGTACAATAAATTTCATAGAAACTCTGATAGCCATTTTTTCACCGCCATGCCTGTTGAAACTGGTTGAAATATTCGTCAGCTTCGCCGACATGCTGCTTGACCTTCATTGGCCGCGCGGTTTTGCCGATGATCCGCAGCGCTTGAAGATCTTTAACGACTGCGCTTCGAATGAATTTGTTGAAATACATGATGCCCAGCATATGAAGAAGCGAGAACACGTCGGCTTGCACGTAGCCGAGCTGAAAACGAGGCTTGTAAAATACGCAATGGACATATATTTTTTGGCCAAAAAATCTCAAAGAAAATAAGAAATTTCTACCTGTGAAAGCAAAACCGGCAAACCATCATCACCTCCCTTCGACTGGTCCGTCATATAGTACCACGTCCACATGGTTACGCCTCCCGCAACCAGCATAAAGTACATGACGAACGAGACGCAAATCGAATACGCCCAGGTGGAGTTCTCGAACTGCTGATAGCGCGCAGTCAGGCTCTTCAAATTGACCCGTTCCCGCATCTGCGACACGTTTTGGCGGTAGAGAATGTAAGTGTACTGAAAAATATTGGTTGGAGAGGGAGGTATTTTCTGCATTTTCTTTACTTCCCGGATGCAAAATGGTAGGTTTTTTGACTACGGAATCAGGTCCGCTGGACCGCAAAACTTCCGCGTAACTGACTGGGGAAGCACCCCAAGTGCGACGCTCAGATTTAGATGAAATTTGGCACCAATTTAGAATAATATTTTCTACAACATATGCGTGACTCCTAGCTTGCGCTTTGCAGAAAGCAATGAGATTTTTTGGTCAAAGGTTGAACATATGACACATTTTAGCGAATTTTGACATAAAAATTTCCAACCTATTTCAACAATAGAGTGTAATGTTTCCACTAAAAATCAATTTCTAAACTGACAAATCGATGGATAAAAAGCGTTATCTCTGTGACCGCTCTCCCGGCCAAAAAGGTTGCTGAATACCTTGTCTGTGCCTGCAAAGCGGAAGCTAAAATTTTGAGATATTGGTATGGGCCTATGCCCATAACGTGGGCAAAATTTAAAGAAAATCTGAGCGTCGCACTTGGGGTATTTCCTTTTATAGATCACTATGTAGATTTTAAGGCATGTTTGAACAGAAAATCAGAATTTTTTACTAATGAAGTCAGTTAGAAAACCCTGACAACCTAGGTCGTAATTATTAGGTTGGGGAATAAGTTCGTAGAGCTTTTTATTGTTTTGTTTTGCAAGGATTGTTTGTTGTTTGGCAAAGGGTATATATATTATTTGATACAGTTTTTTCTCCTCTACAAAACTGTGTTTTTAGTTTTTTTTGAAAATTTAATTTTTTATAATTTTTTGGGCTTAAAAAGTTTTTGAGGTCCTCTTCGCCATCGAATTTTTCACCTCGGATTTGGTTTGACAGAAAGCGGAAAAGGTGGTAATCGGTTGGCGCAAGGTCCGAGAGTATGGTGGATGCTAAATAACCTCCCATTCGAACTCATGGAGTGCGGTTTTGACGACTTGTGCAACATGAGAGCAAGATGACTCGTGGAGCAAGATGACTTGGCATTGATTTCAGTCGAATAGCCCCATTTTCGAGGTGTAGTTGGGCATAATAGAGCTCCTTGTTGACAGTGGCGTTCTTTTGAGGCATGTCCCAATGCACCATGCCTTCCCAGTCCCCCCAAATGCAGATCATGGCCTTTTTGGGTGGGGATCTTGCTTGACTGTCCCCTGGGGCCACCCACTCCAGGAAACAGTCAACATTTTGCTTTATATTGACGTACAGACACCATTTTCATCCCCGATGATGATTAGATACAAAGACCGCCGTTTGCGTCCACGTGCTGCTCGGCGAAAAAAGCAGGTGTCGAAAACGCAAATTTTTGCCTCCTAGATGGTTCACTTTTAAGCCCAAAAAATAATTAAAAATTAAATTTTCAAAAAAAACTAAAAACACAGTTTTGTAGAGGAGACAGAACGCTTTCGAATGCATATATAAACTTTTCCAAACAACAAACAATCGTTGCAGGACGAGGCAATAAAGAAATCGTTGCGGACTTATTCCCCAACCTAATATATAGACTTCGCCCATCTCCCCCACCGTATTTATAAAATATTTACAAAAGGAACAAAAAAAGATTTCTAAAAACCAAAAAAAAATCAAGATAGTGTTCCCACTTACCACAGCGCAAATCGACGATGAAATGGCTCCCACAATAAAAAAGAAAAACGACAGTCTTGGCTCGCGGTCGGTAACCAAGCATCCGCTTCTGTTCTCGGCCAACGAAAACCATCCATGGAAAAAGTACCAGTTGAGGAAGATTCCAAACGGAACCGTTTGGAAAAACTGAAAACGAGCATTCAAGAAAAAAGAATCGTTTGTATTATATATAGCTTAGTCCACCTCAAAAAAAACTTACTACGACCGCCATGAGGATGATGCCAACTTTCATTGAGCGATTTTCGTAATCATCCACCCAAATAGTTGCAAAGTGTTGCTCAACTGTCAGCATGTTCATGCAAGACGAAGCGCTGAGCAAGGAGATTGTGTGCACCACGCTGACAACGGCACACAAGCCGTTGGAAAGCACTCGATTCGACGAATCTTGAGCGTACTTCACGGCTAGCACTTCCAGATGATGCGATGTCGACGTGGCGATGAAAGCGGCCGTGGTGAGACACTGAAAGAGAAAGCGATGCGGTAATCTTGACAGTGCAAGTCTAGGGCTGAGATTTCAACGAACTGATAAGTAATAATAGCAATCGTTACTTCCTAATGTCAATTTTGGACCAATCCACTCACCAAGACCAATTTCAAGTTCTTGTGGATCCTCTGCGAGGTGTAAATTTTCCAAAAGAAATACGCCGTCAACACAGATGTTGCAATACACGAATAGATGAGCAGTTCATTGACTATCGCCAGTTCCAGCTCATACATTTTTGCATCCTGGAAATGGACGATTATCAGTCTGTCGGGGAATAATGTGGATGGCTTTAAATTTATACGGCAATAATCAAGGAAGGGGATTCAAGCGCGACGCTCAAATTTCCTTTAAATTAGCGCACATTTCAGGAATAGGCCACATATCGATTCCTGAATGTTTTAGTGACCATTCAAGCCACTTATGCACCTGGAAAATTAATTTGCAAATTAGGGAACCTGAAAAAAACAGCACAGGAAAAAATTGCGCTTTGCAGGCACCGCCGAGATATTGGTTGATCTTTGCGACCGAGGCAGTGAATAAATGCGGAGAGCGGCAGAGACAAAACACTTTTCGGCCATAACTTTGCTAGTTTCGCGCGGAAAAAGATGATTTTTTGTGGAAATATCACCCATGAGTGATATTTCCGCACTATAGTAGAAATGGCTATGATTCTTTTGATGCCAAAAAATTCGCAAAAAAAATTCATTTTTGCCCATTTTCGACCTAAAATTCCCAGTCGATTTTGCAAAGCCAGAGCTAAGAGTCTCACAAATATTTTAGAGATAACTAGCCTTAATTTGCCCCAACTTTCATCGAGATCTGACCCGTCGCACTTGGAGCACCTCACCTTATAAGTATCTCTCTTCCAAACCCAATCATCACCCGCCCATGGGAACATGAGTAATCGAGACAAAAAAGGCAATTTCAACAAATTGTCTGGCACAATAACGGCTACAAACTCATTTCACGGCAGAGTACAAAACAGTTCCCACGTTGACAAAAATGCCTTCCGCTGGCCTAGTTATATAATTTCATTTTTGTCGAGGAAAATGCAATCAGTCCAAGAACATTCCATTCGCTTCCAATTTTGCGAGGTAAATTAATATAATAAATGGAATTACAATGCAGGGAGTTGACGGCTTTTTGCAGAGTAAAAACAAGAAAAGGAAAGCGCCAAGGGCAAGGTTATGATTAGCGGAAAAAAACATTAATTGCTCCGCATAGTCCGTTCGAAAAGTCGCCGGAGTGATTTTTGGCTTTTGCGTTGTGCAGAAAAAGTCTGGGTTCGAGCGACAACAAGAAAAAGTGTATTGCGCAGTGCAAAGTAAACTTTTGTTTTCGCACAGTGGATGTCGCGGAATTCACGTCGACAACTTCGCATGATACCCATGATGTGGAGGAGCGAAAATGCGTTGGCTTGGATGTATCCAACTAGACATGGCTCCCGGGCCGGCCTGGGCCGGGCCGGGAGCCATGTCAGATTTCAGATCGGCCGGGCCGGCCGGACCATTTCCGGCCCGTCGGCCGGGCCGGCGTTTTGGCCCGGCCCGGAATATTTAAAATCCAGAATCTCGAAGCGAAAATTGGGTTTGATAATGAAAATAAACGCAATGTCAAGACACAATTGGTTTTTTTAAAGGTATTTTTGTTTTTAGATAGCTATGGAACACAGTATTTATCCATTTACATGATGATAGAAAAAAATTTGGTCATAAGGAGCTAGACTTGGGGAGACTTTCGTTTCAATGGGCCGGCCCTGGCCGGGCCGAAGCAAATTTAAAACGGGCCGGGCCGGCCGGAACCCTTCAGGCCGACGGGCCGGGCCGAGATTTTCTGCCCGGGCCGGCCGACGAGCCATGTCTATATCCAACCTAATTCCAAGAGGCGACAACCTGCCACTATTTTCGCAGGATTATATGCAAAAAAGCATGAAACTTTTCATGCCAAAATACGCAGAAAAAAGTCATATTCTAAGCAAGTTTTGTGCGGAAAATTTCGGTAGTTTCTGCAACGCACAAAAAACTACATAGAAGTGACTAAAAAACTGACCCATGCTTACGCCTAGTTTCATCAAAATTTGAGCGTCTCACTTCGCATAATGTCTGTCCAATTTCAAAACTCTATGTATACATAACGTAAAGCACGTAGTATTTATTACTTTATGATGTGGACATACGAGACATGCACCTGATATGAACTACGAAGCCACAGTACAATGATAGATGCAAAGTCTAAAGCTCGGGCACTCCCGAGCTTCAAAACAACCCTGCGTGACAACGAAACCGTTCGACTTGTGGCACAAATAATACATCTACGAAAGCAAAGACTTTGAATTGGCCAAATTCAATTTGCAACTGGTCCTTGCAATGTAATCTACTATAGTGTACAGCTTGGTGGAAAACATGTTACAATTCTGGGAAGGAATAGCTTCGTATATGGAATACAAACATCCACCCGCTAGAAAAAAAGGAAATACAAAGTATTGTGGAATATGCATATGTCAAGCCTCCGCACTACGAATGGCGGGAGACAAAAACAATATTTTCTATATTTAGAAAGGGTATACGTATGTATTGTTATAGGACGCGGTGGAGCTAATCCCTGAAAATGTATTGTTTAGTTATTATACTGTGATCTCAATGGAATAGACAATGCCCGCACACACACGACCAGACATGGGTGGGAGTCGGGCTATAGAAACCTTGAAAAGGGCCGGCCCCAACGTTTCGGGGCCGGGCCAAACGAATCCCCGCCCCCCCGGGCGCCCAGACTTGCAGGAAACTTCAGTGGGGGACCTGATCCAGTGGCAAAAAACGTACCATTTTGCATCCAGCAAAATCAAAAACTGTGGCAAACGCTTCCCTCTCCAAGTGAAGAAACTCAGATTTCAAAAGCGCGCTCACCCTTTTTGTGAGGAGAAAGGGCGCGCCCTTCAAAACAAAGTTCTTTCACTTGGAGAGGGAAGCATTTTGCCATATTTTGAATGCCTCCCGGATGCAGAATGGTACGCTTTCTGCCACTGGATCCGGTCCCCCACTGTACATACTTTGCGGGCAGCCAAAAGAACCACGGAGATTATGCGGGCATGTTTGGAAATCAGCCAACATTTGCCTACGACAGGAAATATAGCGATGGATGTGGCAGTGGACAAATTCAATAGATTCATGTACTACTTATCGGTACCAGGGAGTCGCCACCGCAAAATTTCTATCATACTATGTATGATAACGGAAGAAAAATTGCAATTATAATCGGTAAATGTCGACCAACGATTAGGCCCCCTATGCTCGGCCCCTTTTGAGAAAAAACATTTTTTCCTTGTGTCGGAATGAAGAAATCATTGAAAAAAATGTTAATTGAAGGGATCGAAAATGCTGGATATTTCTTACGAAGCACGAAGTATAAGACCCATTGGTGAGTAAGTTTAGGCATATAAAAAAGTAAAATTAAAGGGTTACAGGTCCCCATCAGCCAGGTTTTCTGTTAGTTCATTGTACAGCATAAACATGACTTAGTTAATCCGACAAGTGGTAGTGCCGGAAGAAATACCTCAACAAAGGGTTTAAGAGCTTTTGTATTATTATTACATAATAGTAGTAATTATAGCAATTATTTTAGCAAGGCGCTCAGACGGTCAGCTAATTTAATCTCTTATATTTCGAACCTCAAGCCACAGACAAATCACATATTATGTTAACATCATATAAAGAAATAGTTAAGTGCGCGTTAGAACAGGTTTAACCCTTTCCGGACGAGTCGGCACCTCCATGCAGAAATGAAAGAGGGTACCCTACTGAGTAACGGCATAATAGTGGTTCAGCCCATCGAAGCGTTATTTGGGACTTATGACAAAAAATGCCCTAAAAAGTACCCCCAGTTGACATAACCCTTATAAAATTTAGCTAACGACCTGTAAATTAGAAACTACCCCTAAGGTAAAGTCTAACACTCCTACTACTGTTACATCCAAGAACTGTCCAAATTGGACCACTACGGGATTAGTTATCGACTTTTGGAAATTGAATTTTAAATTTCGACCAATTTTTGGCCCAAAATTGAGTATATCTTCCGCCGGAATCAACCATTTCAGTCAAAATGTGGTTTTTCTGAATCTAGAGTGACGCTAGCTTCTTCCCAGAATGTTTCCAGAAAAAACCTACAGGGCACGTTTCTGTAAAAAGCGAAAAGGTTGAAAGCGTAAAGGTTTCATCGTATAAAATGTCGCCGCAAGCCGAGAAGGGTCGGGCGCACGCCACGAAAAAAGTGGAAATAGAGAAATTCGCGGGAAAATGTTTTCGACATTTCATACGCTGAAACCGTTACAAATAAATAATAAAAATCTTTCCAAAATTCTAATAAACAACAATTTACGTGTGAAACCGGCGAGAAAGCATCGAAAGGATTCTAGGAGGTGCACCCCGAACTTCTCAGATTGATCGAAGAAGAGAAAAGAAATTATATTGTACTAGGCACCATTGGATCAAAATCGATGAATCTGACCGAATTCGAGCTCTTCCGGGGTTTACAAGACTAACAGGGCTTTGATCTTGCTACAACAGACCACTACTACATTGAAATTCATCAAATCTTCTTTAATTCCACCTAAACATCAAACCAATAAGAATAATCAAAATTACATAAATTTTTGACAATCCATCGCATTTGTCGGATGCAATCTGAACTCGGAAATCAATCTCCACACCCTTTGGTACATTATGCTGGCTTTCACATTCTACTTCAACATGGACCGGCTGAAATATCAGTTATATTATTTTAGGTATAACCAGAGAAAATTATTAGCTCAACGGCCTAGAAAAACAAAAAAATCAAAAAGACAACGTCACAAACTTACCTTGAAATGTTCTGAACGTCGTCTGCTTCCTCTGATCCAGCTTTGCTCACGCCTTCTCTTCGCGTTTCTCCATCAGTTCCTGCAAAATGATGCAAAAATCTATTAACAAGTGCCCTTTTGCTATTGTCAAATTTCCAGATTTCTTCTTCATAACGTCCGCTAGGATGTCTCACACAACACCGAACATCGATTTATCCCTAAACACAAGGACCAAAGAGAAATCTTACTTTTTCTGGAGACACATCAATAGGTAAAGAATCAGTTTTTGTGTCAGAGCGCGATGGGCCGGCCTCCATGGACTCATCCATTGTATTCAAAACGATGTCTCTGCATCTTATCTTCATTTGCTTCCTCTGATCCAGCTTTTCACGCTCCCTCTCCACCCCTTTCTTGCGTTTCTCCATCAGTTCCTACCAAATTATGCAATAATCTATTGACAAGTGCCCTTTTGCTTTTGTCAAATCTCCAGATTTCTTCTTCATAACGTCCGCTAGGATGTCTCACACAACACCGAACATCGATTTATCCCTAAACACAAGAACCAAAGAGAAATCTTACTTTTTCTGGAGACACATCAATAGGTGGAGAATCAGTTTTTGCGTCAGAGCGCGATGGGCCGGCCTCCATGGACACATCCATTATATTCAACACTTGGAACTGACAACAACGTAATTTTTGACATACTATTCATCCCCAAATTATTCCAAATCTCAGAGTTACAATACTATCTAACACAATATTCGTTCTTTCAAAAAAAAATAAAAATATTGGGCGCAGCTCGAAATCTCTATTTCCAATTTTACCTTACGTTTTTCGTGGCGTGCGGGCGCAGCTCGAAAGGCGAAAATAATATATATTTTTTTGAGAAATACTATTTTAGTGTGAAACTAAAGCAAAATCCAATGAAATTGCCTGAAAACGCATTAAAAATATTAAAATGACATTGAGTTAATGTTTGCGTGCTCTGTCTGTCTGTATTTCATCTGAATTCAGCTTGTCGACACTAAAATAATATTTTTCGAAGAAAATATATTATTTTCGCCTTTCGAGCTGCGCCCGACCCTTTTCGGCTTGCGGCGACATTTTATACGGCGAAACCTTTACGTTTTCAACTTTTTTGCTTTTTACAGAAACGTGCTCTATAGGTTTTTTCTGGAAACATTCTGGGAAGAAGCTAGCGTCACTCTAGATTCAGAAAAACCACATTTAGACTGAAATGGTTGATTCCGGCGGAAGATATACTCAATTTTGGGCCAAAAATTGGTCGAAATTTAAAATTCAATTTCCAAAAGTCGATAACTAATCCCGTAGTGGTCCAATTTGGACAGTTCTTGGATGTAACAGTAGTAGGAGTGTTAGACTTTACCTTAGGGGTAGTTTCTAATTTACAGGTCGTTAGCTAAATTTTATAAGGGTTATGTCAACTGGGGGTACTTTTTAGGACATTTTTTGTCATAAGTCCCAAATAACGCTTCGATGGGCTGAACCACTATTATGCCGTTACTCAGTAGGGTACCCTCTTTCATTTCTGCATGGAGGTGCCGACTCGTCCGGAAAGGGTTAAGTAATAGAAACCATAATTAGTTTCTCAATTTAGGACATCCCTGCCGTTGTCGTCATCTTTCTTCGGCCTGAATAGAGTACACCATTTAAATTTTACATTGGCAACTCCCTTTTTCATCGTATAATATGTCCCTGGAACTGGTAAGCACACAAATCTACAGAATTTGTACACCGCTTTCTTAGTTATGGGAACTTGTTTTCAAAAAAATGGTTTTTGAACCTTTAAAAATGCCTGGCTAACCTCATGATAATTATTCAGACCACATCTAATTTTAATTTACCGCCTCTAGTTGCCAAATTCATTGTTAGAATTTCCAAATGTTGGCTGATTTATAAACATGCCCGCAGAAGCTCTGTGGTTCTTCTAGCTGCCCGCAAAAAATGCTCGCAGGGGAAGTTCCACAACTGCGATGCTTGGATTTTGATGAAACTGGGCACAAATTCAGTATATTTTTTCCTAAACCATATTCGAGGGTCTGAGATCGCGTTTTGTAGAAATGAAAATAGAAAAAATATGACATTTTTTCGCGCGATCTTTGACATGCAAGAGTGTCATGCCAATTTCTACCCAAGCGGGAAATGTTTAAACAAAAAAAAACAATTTTTTCCATAAGAAACTGGCAAAGTTATGGGTGAAAGTAGTTTCATTTCTTACCGTTTCCGCGTTCCTCGTACTTTCTCGGCCGCAAAATAGCTCAGTATTAAAAACAAAATGAGCTAAAGTCGAAAGGCTTACAGTATTCACTTCCACGCCTGCTCAAACTGATTGAAATACTCTTCCGCTTCATTTTCATGCCTCTTCACGCCCGGTCCCACTGAATTCGATAAAATTCCGATAGCCTGTAGATCCTTGATGACTGCGCTTCGTATGAACTTATTGCTGAACATGATACCCAAGACGTGGAGGAGGGAAAATGCGTCTGCTTGGATAAACCCAACCTAAAATATGGGTAAAATTTTATGGTCAACGATACCTCTGCAACAGCCAACCCGAGCGTACGAACTTCGCTTTGTTCCGGGTCGACGATGAAGTACCATATCCAAACCGACAGCCCGGCCGCAACCAGGAGGAAATACATGACAAATGAGACGCAAATGGAATGAGCCCATGTTGAGTTCTCGAATTGTTGATAGCGTGAGCTCAACGTCTTCATCTCCGCGCGGTCGTTGAACATCGAAACGCTTCGTCGATAAAGACCGTACATGTACTGAAAGCGCTTAATATGTAAATTCAAAACAACTGTTGTAAATGAACATAGGCATATATATATATATATATATATATATACTGTAATTCGGCACTTACCATAGCGCACGCCGACCCACTGAAACAGCCGGTAATGAAGCAAACAAACGATAAGCGCGGTTCGTGATGCAGTAACAGACAGCTCTCCTTGGTCTCAAGCATCGAATACCAGTCGTGGAAAAAGTACCATTCCAGGAAAATACCCAATGGAACAGTTTGTAGAAACTGAAAAAAAAACGACCTCAAAAGACGGAGGCACCACAACATCTACCATTTCGAGTAACGAACCCGTCAAAGCCTACAGTTAGTTAATTTGTACAATGGGGGACCTAATTCAGTGGCAAAAAACGTATTTTTTTGCATCCGGGAAGTATCAAAAAATGTGGTAAGATACCTTCCTCTTCTAGTGAAAAAACTCCGTTTTCAAAAGCGCGCCAACTCTTTTTGCGAGGGCAAGGACGCGCCCTTCAAAAAGAAGTTTTTTCACTTTGAGAGTGAAGCATTTTGCCACAGTTTTGATACTTCCCGGATGCAAAATGGTACGTTTTTTGCCACTGGATCGGTCCCAACTGCACTTCCTGCTTATGTAAAACAGTCGGTCATAAAGTTGCCGTCTATGCTGTCGAAAGGCAGGCGTTAAATTTCAACCCGTACAGTGGCGGACCTGATCCAGTCGCAAGAAACGCACCATTTTGCAACCGGGAATTTTCAAAAAATGTTGCAAAATGCCTCCATCTCCAAATAAAAAACTCCGTTTTTGGAGAGCGCGCCCTTACCCTCACAACAAAAAAAGTCGCGCTTTTGAAATCGCAGCTTTTTCACTTGAAGAGGGAGGTATTTTGCTGCGTTTTAAATACATCCCGAATACAAAATGGCACGTTTTCTGCCAATGGATCAGGTCCGCCACTGTAAGCCCCAAGGCTTCAAATTATGCTGTTTATTACTCTGTCGCGAAAAATAGTGAGCGATGTTGTTGCACCAATCGCGAAGTGAAAAGCAATTTGATTTTGCCCCGACACAATTCATTTTCTCGGCGGCAATGCCATTTCCGATGCGACAGAGGTTCATTATTTTCCCGACAGACTGATATACACCCAAGTAGTCATTTTGGTATGAAATTGACTCTTGTGACCTCAAAAATTGTTTGTTATAGACAGGTTTTGCTGCATAGAAGTTCACAGTCTCGGATATTTGATTTTGGGGTAGTTGTATATATACTACAGTCTGTTAGGAAAATAATACGAATTTGGTGCAGCAAAAGGCGCCTATGCAATTGCGCAAAAAAACTCCAGCCGCTGCAAAAGAGATAGATGCTAAAACTCACAACAATGCCGACCAAGACAACTCCCACCCGCATCGATCGGTTCTCGTAGTCGTCCACCCAAATGGTCGCAAAATACTGCTCAACCGTCAGCATGTTCATACACAACGACGCACTCGCCAGACATATTGTGTTGATGGTGCTGAGTGAGATGCAAATGCAGTTGATGATAAGTCGGTTCTCAACTTCTCGAGTCTCCTCGATCAGCAGTTCCGCCAGCTGCTTCGAAGCCGAGAGGAGGACAAAAGAGAGGGCACTTACGCACTAAAACTTACTTAAATATATATTTTAGAGCCACCAACTTACAAGGACCAATTTTAAATTCTTGTGGACCCGTTGTGATCTGTAGACCTTCCACAAGAAGTAGGCACTCAAAATGGAGGTTGATACGAACGTGTAGACCAGGATTTGTCGAACCACGGACACCACTTCGCTGGCGAGGTCTTCGTACATACCTATAAACACATAAGCTTAATACTGGTGGTTACATAAAGTGCGTAGACTTTTTCAGGACGCACATCACGACAAAATCGCATCGCCACGAGAAAAAAGAATTGTGTCGCGGCAAAATCAAATTTCCTTTCACTTCAGCGACACAATCGGCAGCGACATTATACTCATTATTTTCCCGACACACTAATAAAAGTTCGTAGAATTTTGCACCGTGAATTTCGGCTTCTTCGCGCGAGAGTGGTATTATGTGTCAGTGCGGCACATGACTACAAGTCTACGCACTTTATGAAAATTCCAGTAGTATTATAAAATGAGGGAAGTACTGACACCGGAAATACCATAACTGCGACGCTCAGATGTTTTTTCTACTATGTAAATACTACGTAGTCACCGAGAGAGTATGCGAAAAGTGGAGAGCGGTCATTAAAAAAAACAGTTTTTTGCCATTTCCTTCACGCGGAAAAAAACGATTTTTTTGTGAAAAAATTGACCTCTATGGCAGCAATGTATGAAACAAAGATCAACTTTCACCGGACTCTACAAGTCTGCATTTACATCGAAAAAAAACTCTAAGAAAGTTGCTAGACAGGTGGATTTTTTAGGTCATAAAATTAACGCTAAACCCCCCGTAATGATAATTTAATTACTATAGCTTGGGTACACGCGCACTGCAATTTTAAAATCTATGCTTGTGACACGCAAATTTTGATGCAAGCACACTCAAAAAACACGGTGTGGCCGGCGTCGCAAAATGGGGCGGGCGCACACTTGCGGGCAGCCACTTTGCGGGCAGCCGACGTTTGCGGCCAGCACCGGCATTTGCGGGCAGCCTGGCACATTTGCGGGCAGGGTCGACAGTTGCGGGCAGCCTGGAAGATTTGCGGGCAGCCGACATTTGCGGGCAACAGTTCCAAAAGTTGCTATACAGTCTGTGTGATTGTTTTTTCCTGTTGCCCGCAAATGTCGGCTGCCCGCAAGTGCCGCTTGCCCGCAAATGTCGGCAAATTTCCAAAATATCGCAGTAATATTTCCACCTCCACCCTGTTACCCTCAGGTGCCGTCTGCCCGCAAGTGTCGGTTGCCCGCAAGTGTCCCAGCCGGCCCGCAAGTGTCTCAGCTGCCCGCAAATGTGACCCCCCAAGTTTTGCCCGCAAAATGGTTGCCCGCAAGTGTCGCAACGCCCAAAATGGCTATCCGCGACAAACACTGTGAAAAAATGGTAATTGAAAGGTAGATTGAGACGGCTGGATATTTCAGACTGATAAAGCTCAGGTCAGCACCGTGAGTTATATCAGTCTGTCGGGAAAATAACGTGCATTTGTCGCGCCCTGCAATCCCCCATCATCGCTTTGCCACGGCTAACCGCGGCTGGAAATTTGATACGCGACCGAACATTTTGCTCCACATTATTTTCCCGATAATTCGATACTCGTTGCAAGTCCTTCGCGTGAAGGCACGAGAAAATGTCAAGACCCTTGGCCTGCCTACTTAATACAAAAAACAAAGTTTTCTTGCACATGTACATTTTGCCTAGATACGACAGCTCAATTTTGTTTTCCAGCCCGCCTCCCAGACCAATAAAAACAATGGCGTTGTAAATACTTGCTGCAAAATTAATGCGCTAAACTTTTCCAAACTTTTGGCGGCAAGATAGGTCGTCTCTGCAGAGCGCAAGTTAGAGTGTGCCTTAAAAATTTGGCTTAAATTTGTCCCCAGTTTCATACAAATCTGAGTGTCGCAATTCGAGCACCTCCCCCTTGAACTTATCTCTAACCTGTTTTCCACAGGTAATATGTGCATATTCAATTCAAACATTACTTTACAGATTATTTCCAAACCTAAAACACCTTCCAGTTTCACCTGTGTTCCTCACGCCCCTCGCCGTCCAATTATTGCTGCATATTTAACAAAGTATACTATAGATCTGTTGGGAAAATATTCTGGACTTGTCGCAACGAAATGTCGTGCCTCGTTGAAAAAAGAGTGCAGTTGCGCACCAAAGTTTCAGCTGTGGCAAGCCATCGCAAAGCGATAATGGGCTAGTACATACCCTTCAAAAGGCGTTGCGGCATATTATTCGCCTTTTCTACGCCGTATTCCACGAAGACAGCAGATTGTTGAAGTAGGTGTCGCCTTCTTGACCAGGTGCGGTTTTGGCGACGAATTCGCAAGGGTCGACGGAATGAAGACAGCAAAAAATGGTGCGCAAATCTCGACGGACAACATGGCGCATGGCCTCGTTGTAGAACATGAAACAAAACATGTGATAAAGGGCGTACATGTCAACGGAACAGTAGCCCATCTGAAACCAGTGGCAAATATAAGTCTGTCTGGAAAATAATGAGCACTCTGCCGCGTCGAAAATTGCATCGCCGTCGAGAAAATTAATTGTGTTGCGGAAAAATCAATTTTTTTCACTTCAGCGACGCGATTGGCACAGCGGCACTGTGCTCATTATTTTCCCGACAGACTGATAGAAGATGATTTAACTCACATCCGTGGTGATTTTCCCGTACGGGTTATATTCGCCATATTCCCTGGCAAACTTCCCTCGCAAAAACGACAACAGGAGACCAATCAAGCTCAGTATCATATACCCAATTAGCGAAGGCACAATTGACTGATTCGAATCCACATTTGCGGTTTGTTGATAGCGCGCGCTCAGGCTCTCCAGACTCAGCCGATTCAGCATCTTCCGCCGATTGTAGCGGTGCAGGAGGATTAGCCACTGAAAAAAAATCAGAAAAAAATGGCAATGCCTCCTGCGAACGTCGAAAATCGCATCGCCGCCGAGAAAATGAAGTGTGTCGCGGCAAATTCAACTTGCTTTTCGCAAGTTGAATTTGCCGTGACGCGATTGGCTCAGCGACAATGTGCTCACTATTTTCCCGACAGACTGATAGACATTCAGGAACCTCTACTTACCGCCGAACACAAACTACAAGTGATAAAGCACAACGCAAAGCCCATCAGAGCCAATTCCCAATGATGGTCCACCGGGATACAACTCTCAACCGAGTTATTCAAGTCATAGTCATCACTGAGGTACCACCAGTTAATAAACACTCCGAATGGCACGCACTGAACCACCTGCAGGGTAAAAAACGTCAAACAAATGAAGTCGTGAGTGATTCATGATCACTTACCACAATCATCATTAAAATAACGCCAACTTTTATCGACTTCTCCTCGTAATCATTCACCCAAATGGTCGCCAAATGCTGCTCCACGGCCAACATATTCATACACAACGCGGTTAACATCAGCGCAATCATGTGAATGGTCGCCAACGCCACGCATGTCACGTTCAGAAGGTATCGAGGTCTGATGTCCGCAGTCCACTCGATCATTAGGTGAACAGCAATCCGGGAGCCGTTCATCACCACAAAAGAGCCGGCGGCACAGGACTGAAAAATTGAGAAACAGTGGAATCTTAAGATTGAGCCTAATGACACCTTCTTTCATGCTGTCAAGACTTAGCTATAAGTCGAGGATTGTGAGGCCCCTAGTTTGCCTGCGAAACTAATAATTGTCTCCCCCTAATAACCGACACAACTAGAAAATTCTAGCTGGAAAGCGGCGACCCTGGCAATAGACTCGCTGCAATTGATTCCACTTTGTATAGACACCACCGGACTGTGTCAATAGGAACTTCCAATAAATCACAATAATTGGTTTATTTTACCCAAACGAGTGACCGAAAAGCGATCGGTCCATTACATTTATATCAAAATATTCGTCGGTTTATGCTAATTTCTGGGAATTCTTCACGGAATCGTGACAGTGCCGCAAAAAATTGTTAAAATTTTCGGAACTTGTCTTCATCTTTTCGTGGCTTTGCAGGCAAAATCTTAGCAATGTCAGCGCGTCGAAGATAGCAAATTTTTTACAAAACTCAAATTTTAAAACGCACTTCGCGAGTTGCTGAAGCAGGCTCAAGTGGGGGTCTGCCCTAGAAATTGACCCCCACTTTTTTTTGTCTTAACTGATGACATATAGGATGCTAAAGAACTTGGTGAATTTTTTTCGAAAAATTCGTCATCATGACCGAGATATGACGTATTTATTGAATTTCGTTTAATGTAGTATATTGTACTGATTTATCGCCGGAACATCTCAGAACTGTGTATATATACGTTATTGGCCATGCTGAACAACTTTGTAATTGACCCAAAGTTTGTCAGTTTACTGTAACATACCGTAACGCCCATGTCAATCAAAAAATCTCGATTTTCTCGATTGTTTTCAATAATTTTCTCGGAATTTTTTTTCATTTTTGGAATCAGCATCAAATTCTGCATCGGATAGGCTATATCCGCGTCTCCAGATAGGTGTACAAAAATGTCGTGGCGCAACCGGTAGTGGGTCGGACCACCATTCAAAAGGTCCCGGGTTCGAGTCCGGGTGGAAGCATAAATGCTCAAACGCGATGGAAATTGTCCCAAAACAGTTGTAATGTATTGGAATGTGTTAAAAATAAATAATAATTTACATTTTTCCCTAAAAAAGGCAAAATTTTGGATTTTACGAAATTTTTGAAAATCATGATTTTTGTGGGCCCAAATCTGCCGAAGAAATAAAAATTTTTTGTTAGCGATTTTTTTGTTTAGAAACAACATTGGGCATATAGAAAGACTATTCCTCAGAGGATTTCGCTCAATTTTGCCCAAAACACCAAAAAGCTGCACCTTTTCGTTTTAATCGGAGAGCCCAATCAGAACCCAGTAAACCGAAGTAACGTCATTCAAACGTGGATACACATGTTTTTCACTATGGGGAGTCGAATTTTTAGCAAATTTTACAAGATTGAACACTGTAACATCATGAAATATGTGAATATCAACAAATTTTATAATGTAAAATTTTTTGTGGAAAATTTTCGCGGCTGTTAGAAAACAATTTAAACGCAGCGCAAAAAACTGCTCTAGAAAAATTGGAAACGTTTCCGCGTAAGAACGTCTGAAAATCATGATTTCAATTTTTTGTCAAATGACAAAATACGAGAATTTTTTGGTGTCTTGGGCAAAATTGAGCGAAATCCTCAGAGGAATAGTCTTTCTATATGCCCAATGTTGTTTCTAAACAAAAAAATCGCTAACAAAAAATTTTTATTTCTTCGGCAGATTTGGGCCCACAAAAATCATGATTTTCAAAAATTTCGTAAAATCCAAAATTTTGCCTTTTTTAGGGAAAAATGTAAATTATTATTTATTTTTAACACATTCCAATACATTACAACTGTTTTGGGACAATTTCCATCGCGTTTGAGCATTTTTGCTTCCACCCGGACTCGAACCCGCGACCTTTTGAATGGTAGTCCGACCCACTACCGGTTGCGCCACAACATTTTTGTACACCTATCTGGAGATGCGCATATAGCCTATCCGATGCAGAATTTGATGCTGATTCCAAAAATGAAAAAAAATTCCGAGAAAATTATTGAAAAAAATCGAGAAAATCTAGATTTTTTGATTGAGCATGGGCGTTACGGTATGTTACAGTAAACTGACAAACTTTGGGTCAATTACAAAGTTGTTCAGCATGGCCAATAACGTATATATCACACAGTTCTGAGATGTTCCGGCGATAAATCAGTACAATATACTACATTAAACGAAATTCAATAAATACGTCATATCTCGGTCATGATGACGAATTTTTCGAAAAAAATTCACCAAGTTCTTTAGCATCCTATATGTCATCAGTTAAGACAAAAAAAGTGGGGGTCAATTTCTAGGGCAGACCCCCCTTCCACAGCTCGCGAAGTGCGTTTTAATAACTAAAAAATTGTTGATGTAACTGATCAGCTACATAACCAAGGCCTTACCGGACAAAAAATGTACATAACAACTTATTTACAAGCATTTTTTGATAACATAGAGCACGCTGCGTCTACTAAAGGCAAAATCAGTTATACGTAATAAAAGTTGAAACCACAAAAGTGAAAGGCCCGGCCCGAGAGCCTTGTAAACTCACCAAAACCAGTCGAAAATTCTTGTGAATTCTTGAGGTATTTGCCAGCCGATGGAAGAAATAGATTGTCGAAATGAGTGTTAGCAAGTACAAAACCCAATGAATTTTGGTGACGTAAGTACTTATTTCTACCATTTTGCGATAATTTGCTTCATCCATCCGTGATGACCTAAAAGAATACCAGGAACGTGACTTTCGAAAAGAAAATTGGACGGTTTTGCAAAAAAATTGGACCACCGAGCACAAAGTTATTAATGAATAGTTTTTTCCATAATTCTTGGAACACCCTGTATATGAGCCGGAGGTTTGAATGGGGGTATAATAAAGGCGTGTTGATGATGTCTGTGTGGTCAGCACGCCGGCAGCCTCAAAGACTGAAGATCGTTTGAGGTGACGATAAGTCGTATATAACAGTTGATAACGTAATGTATACTCCCAGTTCGTAAAGTCACTTCAGTCGTTTTTGGCGTTTGTACTGTACGAAAAATGTGAGAATGCTTTGCAGGATGCAAAAACAAGAAAAGAGAAATTGCACAGTGCACGGTGAACTTTTCTTCTCTCACACATGTCGCAAAAAACATTGCAAATAGGTGAAAGTTTTTTTGTTACAGTATCCGCGGCAAAGGGTTCAAAAGTATTTTGCAAAGTCCACAAATAGATTCGTATGTGAGCTTGCAGGAGAAACCGCAGCAAAACTCTATATATACATATATGTAATTGTAACATGAACTCATTGTTTTTGAACCCACATGCAAATGTTCTCGCGAGTAAAAAGGAAGTTGGATAGATTACAAGTACATTTTATGTAATGCAATGATCGGGATTGTTACAATTTCCCAAGGGCAGTCCATGTTTTATAAACAAATTTAGACGCCACTGGCACTGATTTCAAATATGTTGACTTATTTTCTGTGTAGCTCTAACATAAGACGCCTAAAAAGTATGGTGAAAGATCCGCTCATAAACCAAAAAACGAGAGAAGAACACTCCCATACGCCGGCAAAAAAGGACTTCGCAAAATGTCATGTCAGTGGAGCCAGTCGCACACCAGGGCCAGTGAGCTATCTGAAAGTTTGCTGAAAGTTAGCTGAAAATGGTAGGGCGCAGCTCAGAAAACAAGCTTTCGCAGCTCGCCGAAGCTAAGTTTCAGCTTGTTTGTGAGCTACGCCCAAGACGCGAACTGCGCCCGTGAAAGTTCTCCGAGCTGGGCCCTATGATTTTCAGCAAATTTTCAGAGAGCGCATTGGCCCCAGGACCCGGAATTGGTCCCGCCACGACAACTTCGCGGCACTGCTTTGAGAGCAACAGGGCGACAGAGGAAGAGGGAAAATGGGGAATCAGAAAGAAGAAAGAGATTGGTCAGGAAGAATAACGGTCATCGGACCTACGTGTGAGTTGCAGTACGAGGCAACCGTGAGAAATATTTGGGGTACTATCAGTATGTCGGGAAAATAATGAGCGGCCTGTCGCATCCAAAATCGCTGTGTCCCGGCAAATTTAAATCAATTTTCACTTCAGCAAAGCGATCGGCGCTATGACACTGCGCTCAACATTTTCCCGACATCCTGATTGTGAGATTACCCATTCTATTATTGTACTGTTGGCCATCAAGAAATATTATATAATAATGGAGACCTTTGGTGTTGGTATATTTGGTGTGAGTTCAAGACGGAAGTTGTCCCGTTGATACTTATAGGAACCAAGGACACCGGAATCGGCGTCAAGAAGGGCCCCACTACGTTTACTAATGGTCGCGAAGTGTACTTTGCCTGCAATTTCGTGCGTGAGCTATAAATTTCGAATCTTTATTGGGAAATAGTCCTCAAAATTGAAGGCCAGGTTCATCCACGGTCTTTCATGGCTCTACACTTCTAACGTGTGAGAAAAATATCGTGAAGGAAACGATGACACAAGATCCAGCCGTTTGCAACTGCAGACTAATTGCCCGGTTATGGCAATCCTTGTGTCAACGTAAATTTCACGAGATGTACGCTCTAAATAGATGCCCTAATTGCACGTTTGCATTCTGAGAACTAAAAGCGACACGGCTACAAATGGCTCAACAAACCTAAACAAATGCTTCGTTACCAGTCTTACGCTGTTCCAAAAGTGCGTAGACTTAGCTTCCACTGTGCATTTCTATCAATACTAAGGGCAGTAGGAGCAGAATATTTTAGTTGTCTCAACAGTCTATAGAATGCAATACTGGAGTTGAGTTCTACATATAAGTTAATGCAGAGTAGAAAAGGGCAGAGTGTTTTCGAATTTTTTTTACGTCATCGATCGGTGTCAAAAAAACTAAAAAACTAAAAGTAAGCCACAACATAGTAATTATATCTATATACATTGTCCATGAACAGCCTAAAAACCCTAAAAAGGTTATATTATCAGTCTGTCGGGAAAATAATGAGCAGTTGGGCGCGTCGAAAATCGCATCGCCGCTGAGAAAATGGATTCTGTCGCGGCAAAATCAAATTGCTTTCCACTTCAGCGAGGCGATCAGCGCATTGTGCTCATTATTTGCTCGACAGACTGATATCATTTTCAATTGAAAATAAAATATAAAACGAAGATCATAGTCGTACTATTATATACATATTATTATACGTTTAAATGGCGTACTGGGAAAGCAAAGGGCAAAGCAATTACTGGACCATCACATGCAATACGTAGAATAATAGTTTTTATAATTACTGTATGGAACTGTAGTTCTTAATTATACACTGATTAAACTACAACCATTGTAAATGTAGGATTTCTCAGGCGTACGTGCGGGTTTATAAAACCAATTTATTTATTGTTAGAAATGTTACATTTCACATTATCTCCAGGAATCCTGCAACCTTCGAAAATACACGTCCGTTTCTTCGACCTGATTCAGGCTCGGATGGGAGACGTCCACAACCGAGCACCATTTGGGAGTTTTGCTTCCAAACAACCGATCCAAGTCCCGATCCACCAGTCTTCGCATTCCTCGATTATATCGGATAAAACAGGCCATGTGGAAGAGGGCGTATATCTCCACAAGCGTGTAACCGTACTGAAGATGGGTCAGATTACTATTTGCTTTTAAAGTCGAAATATATCAATGTGTCGGAAAAATAACTTTTCGGGTCAACACAAAATCGATGGCTTAGGACAGGGCGTTCGCCGAAGGCTCGGCGGAGACTTACAGTATCACCACTATCTCTAATTTTAACCATTTTAGCCCTCATTCTTAATTCTGGGTTACTGTCGCATTGAGAAGACCAAAACAAAGAACGAATCTCCGCAAGTTTTATCTTGAAGTAATGCATGCAACACGCCTTAAAATAGGTGATAAAATATCCTAGGACAAAGATGGTTAATCAAATGGTTTCTATTAACTATGTCTTCCTTAAGCCTTCCCCATGCACACAATAAAAAATAAAGGCACTACAAGGTATCGCTGACCCGACTGTAGTTGACCCGAAAAGTCGTAGCGCCATGTGGATTTGTCGCAGCAAAATGTCCCGTCTCGCCGCACTCACCAAAGCGCCCTAGGTGAGCCCTCGCAAAGCGAAAATGATAAAGCGACTCCAAGACACGACGAATCCACATTATTTTTCCGACGTTCCATTTCAGCCAAAAAATTGGCTCTGACGCTCTCCAAATTGGACGCTCTGTCCCAAATTTTGTCAAAATATGAGCGTCGCTCTTTACGCACTTCCCCCATAAAACTTACGCCAACAGTCACTTGGTTCCAGGCGCTGTGCTCACCAAACCTTTTCACAATCAAGTACCTGGCCACAGCCCCTAAAAGCCCCAGCGCGCTGTATGTCATGTAGCCGACGACAGTTGCGGTGATCGACACCGCCGAGTTCTCGTTGTCGATTTGCTGATAACGTGCGCTTAGGGTGACGAACTCGGCTCGTCGTTGGCGAGTGTTGTATTTGCGGATTTGCATGAGCCACTAAACACTGATGGACTAAATATTATTAAAGGCGACTCACCATAGACGCGCCCATGCAAATCACCATACTTCCAAGAAAGAATAGCCCGGCGAGCTGCCAGTTGTAGGCTATGGGATCACAATTGTCGCGTGAATTCTCAAAGTCGTAGCCGCGGAGGTAGTAATAGTTGACGATAATGGAAATTGTAACGGCGTAAATTAACTAAAAGTTACAGACGAATCATGTAAGATCGTGTGTAAAGAGCGTGCACCGTATAAAATGTCACTGGCAGTCTGCAAAACCCCAAAAAACTTACTATCTGTCTGTCGGGAAAATAATGAGTGCAATCTCATTGCGATGATGCTGAAGTGAAAATAAGTTTGATTTTGCGCAACAAAAGTAATTTTCTCGTCGGCGATGCGATTATCGATGCGACAAAGTGCTCATTATTTTTCCGACAGACTGATAATAAAAATTATGCGTCGTAAAAAATGTCACCCGCAGTCTGAAAAACCTGACAAAACCTTACTGCCAGCCTGTCGGGAAAACAATGCGACACAATTTCGCTGCGCTAAGAGTCGCTGACGTGAAATAAATTGCGGTTTTTGATGAATCCCATTACTTCCCCGACAGACTGATAAAAATTATCATCGTATAAAATGTCACCCGCAGCTTGCAGACTCCGAAAGCTCACTAGTCTTGCCATCAATAGACTTCTCCCTCCTCCTACGCAGTAAAAATCCAATAAAAAACCATAGACCTTCATTAGAAACCTTGTTAACCCACCGTGAAAGCGATCAAACAAACTCCAATCGACATTGATTTCTCCTCATACGTCCGCACCCAGCGCGCTGCCAAATGCTGCACCAGCGCCAGCATCACCATACAAGCTGTCGAGCTGATTGCGAAAATCTGATTCAGCATGCTGAAAACGACGCAGATCCAATTTACGTAGAATCGCCGGGTGACGCGCTCCGAAGCGAAAAGTAAAATTTGAATGCAGCGGTGGAAGAAGGGTACCAGTAGAAAGGAGATGGCCGTGCAGCACTAAAACAATAAGACATTTAAAAGAGAGTTTTGTTACAGATTGAAGCTTCTCATAACAAGGGCCGGACATTTCGAAAAAACGACCAACTCAGAATCTTTTGATATTTTGCATAGTTGTTGTACTATGATAGCTGAACGTCAGCGTGAATTTTTAGTTTTGAAAATTACCGTATACGGGGGTTACGGTAGGTACAATTTTCTGAAAGATTGGGTCCGTGTGTAAAAACCCCAAGGAGTAAAAGCACAAAACCCCGCTATTTTACGTTTTCGACCATGGGGAACATTTTCATAATTGACACTTTCGCCGTAGGATGTAGCCTTCGACTACTTTAAAAAATACCAAGGTACCATATTGAATGTAACTTTTTTGCAGAGAACTTGTCTCAACTTTTGAAACCTCTCGAAAATACTTTGACATAGATGTAACAACATATCAAAAATGCGCGAAAATAAAAGGGGTGGTTTTGGAGTTACGGTACTTTGATTGCGGCCCGAACGGTATATAAAAATATCATTTTTTTCAAAATAGGTGTAGAAGAGCCGCATATATCGCCAAAATACGTTTTCGACCATGGGGAACATTTTTGTAATTGACACTTTTTTTGTAGGATATAGTCTTCGCCTACTTCGAAAATGACCCAGATACCATGTGTAATGTAACTCTTCGGCATTCTACTTGTCTCAACTTTTGAAACCTTTCAAAAATACGTTGACATGTATGTAACAACATATCAAAAATTTAGAAAAATAAAAGGGGTGGTTTTGGAGTTACGGTACTTTGATTGCGGCCCGAACGGTATATAAAAATATAATTTTTTTTCAAAATAGGTGTAGAAGAGCCGGATACATCGCCAAAATACGTTTTCGACCATGGGGAACATTTTTGTAATTAACACTTTTTCTGTAGGATGTCGTCTTCGACTACTTGGAAAATGACCAAGGTACCATGGTCAATATAACTTTTCGGCATTCTACTTGTCTCAACTTTTGAAACCTCTCAAAAATACTTTGACATGTATGTAACAACATATCAAAAATGCACGAAAATAAAAGGGGTGGTTTTGGAGTTACGGTACTTTGAATGTTCCCGGTACCGTATGTCAAAATTCAAATTTTTTTAAAATCGGTGTAGAACAGCCGCAAACCTTGCTAAAGTAGGTTTTCCACCATGAGGAACATTTTTGTAATTGACACTTTTTTCGTAGGAAGCAGTCTTCGACTACTTTGGGAAATGTCAAGATACCATGTTCAATATAACTTTTCGGCATTCTACTTGTCTCAACTTTTAAAACCTTTCAAAAACACCTTGACGTATGTGTAACAACATATCAAAAATTTAGGAAAATAAAAGGGGTGGTTTTGGAGTTATGGTACTTTTAATCTTGATCATAAAGTACACCGAACGTTCGTTGTGATGCTGACGTCCGAATTTGGAAGATTCTACCGTCATATGGCACACACGACTCTAAACCGTGGTAATTGTCGCAAAAAATTTAAGAAATCGCTGATCCTGCTGTTACAGTAACCAATTATCTATGTTACAGTATGCTTAGGCCTAAATGTTCTGAATTTCATGGTGAAAATAGTTTTTGAGGGTCTTACAACACACATAAAACATTACATTTAGTGTTTAAAATAATCTACGTAAAGTTTAGCCGAGCATAAATCGAAGTGTACTGTATGTCCAAAATTCAAAATGCCAGAACTCCAAAACCACCCCTTTTATTTTCCTAAATTTTTGATGTGTTGTTACACATACGTCAAGGTGTTTTTGAAAGGTTTTAAAAGTTGAGACAAGTAGAATGCCGAAAAGTTATATTGAACATGGTATCTTGACAATTCCCAAAGTAGTCGAAGACTGCTTCCTACGAAAAAAGTGTCAATTACAAAAATGTTCCTCATGGTCGAAAACGTATTTTTGCGATATATGCGGCTCTTCTACACCTATTTTGAAAAAAATGATATTTTTATATACCGTTCGGGCCGCAATCAAAGTACCGTAACTCCAAAACCACCCCTTTTATTTTCGCGCATTTTTGATATGTTGTTACATCTATGTCAAAGTATTTTCGAGAGGTTTCAAAGGTTGAGACAAGTTCTCTGCAAAAAAGTTACATTCAATATGGTACCTTGGTATTTTTCAAAGTAGTCAAAGGCTACATCCTACGGCAAAAGTGTCAATTATGAAAACGTTCCCCTTGGTCGAAAACGTAAAACAACGATGTTTCGCCCTTTTACTCTTCGGGGTTTTTACGTACGAGCCCAATCTTTCTAAAAATTGTACCTACCGTAACCCCCGTGTACGGTAATTTCCGAAACTAAAAATGTGTACTGACGTTCATCTAAAATAGTAGAACAGCTATGTAAAATATCAAACGATTCTGAGTTGGTCGTTTTTTTGAAATGTCCGGGCCATCCTTCGAGTTGTAAAAAACTCCGTTTTAAAGGGAGTTGTTTGAAGTGCGACGCAATTTTTTTTTTTTTTTTTTTTACACACACGTCGGGTATACATATGTACGTACTACAGTGGGGGACCTGATCCAGTGGCAAAAAGCTTACCATTTTGCATCCAGGAAGTATCAAAAAATGTGGCAAAATACCTCCTTCTCCAAGTGAAAGAACTCAGATTTCAAAAGCGCGCCCGCTCTTTTTGTGAGAGCCTTTCCCTGCGCCCTTCAAAACGAAGTTTTTTCACTCGGAGATGGAAGCATTTTGCCACATTTTTGATACTTCCCGTATGCAAAATAGTACGTTTTTTGCCACTGGATCAGGTCCCCCACTGTTGTTATCCCTAAGTGCGCAGACTTTTCGTCGCCTTTTTCAAATGCTTCACCGAAAATTATAATACATGGCTGGGACTTGGACAGTACAAAATTATTTTTTGCACGGTGGCTTGCGCACCGTTCAAAAATAGGAAAGATGAACTGTCAGCGAAAAGTCTACGGACATTGTAGATAGACTAGTAGACCGCACATAAATTCCTGAAAAGTTTAGCTCACGCTTTGCAGGCCCTGCCGAATTACAAGTCCCTCCGGAAAGTCGCCGGACCGATTTTTGGCACGTGCACTGTGCGAAAAAAGTAGATGCTTGCGGCCCCCAAAAAGAGCCTATTGCACGGTGCAAAAAGCAAAAATTTTCACAATGAAAAAAAAAATTGTTTTTGCACAGTGCATGTCGCCAATTTCAGTCCGGCGACTTTCACTAGTACTAGTCGCGACATAAAGTCCTGACACATTTTGTCGCGGGTGTCGCGCGAGAAAAGTGGCGAACTCGCGCGAAAGTGCATGTCGCTAGTGCAAAAACGGGGAATTGCCGCGACGAGTACGAAAGGAAAACAAAACGCACGGTGCAAATGTGTCAGGACTTTATGTCGCGACTAGTATGGAAAAAAGAAAAAACTTTTTGATTTTTTGTAAATAGGACACACTTTTTGTAAATATCATACAGTTTCGAAATAGCATCCTAGTCCCAAGTGGGCCATATAACAACCCTTGAACTTTACGACTATAAAAGGAAAGAGTTTTATATTCAAAACAGCTAACAAAATACTACAATCTGTAGTATTTTGTCTCACCAACAACTCTCCATCTCACCAACAACGTCATCCTCTAAATCACTTTGAAAAACTCACCAGGACCAGCTTGAAATTGACATGAATCCTTTTGCACTTGATCACCCGTTGAACAAAGTAGACGGACAAAACGACCGCCGCCACAGTGACGATAGTAAACGCTTTTTCCAACAGAACTAGAACGTCATACAAGTCAGCAAGCGTCTCGTCTTCCATTTCATTCCGAACGCTTTGTACGTACAACCATGTACAGTTTTCAACCGGCTCTCGCCCTCGGCCCCTATGTTCTGTTTGAGGAGCCTCCTTATTTATGTACCAGCTGTTTCGTGATGAATACAAAAACCACAGAATGAGTACATTCCCTAGGCATACGTGGCCGGCACAGCGAGTTTATTTTAGTGTTGTCAACAAACACGGCGAATAACAGACGGGGGCGATGAGTGTTTCAAGTCTGTCTGGAACTGGTTACGTAGGTTATTGGCCTTGCGAGGGCTTGGCAAAACCCTGTAGATTTAGGAATGAGATCTTTTTTGCTTTCAAAAGCAAACAAAACAAAAATAAAACCAGCTGTCAATTGGCTTAATGTTTCGACGAATCAAATGATCCCAACGACATGGCACAACATCATGCAAGAAAAAACTCTCCATTAAGTCTCCGTTGAGCGTTTACCGAACATCCAACGACGTTGGCAACCCAGAGAGTCTCCCTCCTCGTTTCGGCACTTCGCACACCCAGTATTGGTCAAATTCACACGAAATGTCGATTAAGATAACTTACTGGCTACCATCCTCATCGTTATTTCCATGAGCTTTGCAGTTGTCGGAAGTACTCATCAGCTTCGTCAGTGAGAGTGATCGTCGGTAAGGCCGGTCCAACCACCACCGACGTTCGCTTCATGATCCGCACGCCAAACAACCTCAAAAAATCCAACTTGACCATCTTCCTCATTCCTCGGTTGTACTTCATAAAACAGGCCATATGAAAGAGCGCATACAGCTCGGCAATCAGGTATCCCAGCTGTAAAAATGACGGTAAATTATGCGATTTTATGCCACAGCTGTTATGCTTACTGCTCTTATTTTATTTTTGTTTTTTATTATTTTCCCGACAGTTTGATAGCTAACTCACCCCAACAAAAACCGTGTCTCCTTTACTATGGTCTCCAAACAAGTCATAAAAACACATCCGAAGCAACGAACCAACCACCCCGATCACACTGTACGCCATATAGCCCACAACTGTGGCGGTTATGGAAATCGCTGCGTTCTCGTTTTCATGCTGCTGGTAACGTGTGCTTAGAGTTGTAAATTGAGCACGTCGCTGCCGCGTATTGAACTCCCGAACCTTCATTAGCCACTAAAGAATTAATTCAACAAATTATATGAGGATACCCAGCAAGCAAACGTGCACATTCCCAGGCTGGCCGAATAGAAGAGCATTGCGTAGCCCCAGTTATAATTGACTGGATGACAATTGTCCGTGGAGCGGTAGAAGTCAAAGTTGTGCAGATGGAAGGCGTTGATCCCGATACTGATTGCGATTGAGTAGAATAACTAAAATCGAGACAGAGAATAGAATTTTTTTTATTTGACCACACGTCAGTCATAGGCTACGTATCAATTCCTAAAGGTTTTGGCTTGCATTTTCCAGAAGCCGCCGAGGTATTCAGCGATCCTTGAGAGTGTACGCGAAACGCGGAGAGCGGCCAGAGAGAATTGCCCTTTTCATTTTTTGACGTTACCTAGAAATAGGTAACGTCAAATCGATTTTTTTTGTTCTGAAGGCATGAAACTGGTCCTTCCAAAATTCGCAAAAAAAGTGCCACATTTTTTTCAATTTTTGAGCCGAAAAACCCGGCCTCTTCTACAGCGCGAAATAGGAGGAAGTTATTATAAATGTGTGATAAGTTTTATAAAATTAGCATTGCACTTAGAGCTCTTCCCTGGAAATTCATTAACACTCACTGTAAAACAGGTCAATGTGACCCCAATACTCATCGATCGCTCTTCGTACGTGCGTACGAAGCGCGCCGCTAAATGCTGCTCCAACGCCAACATCACCATGCAAGTTGTCGAGCTGACGCACGAAGCCACGTTGACTACGCTGAGACCAACGCAAATCACATTGATGTAAAGCCGGTTGGTGATGCCTTCAGTAAGGAGGTAGAGAAGATCGATGAGACGTCGGAAAACGGGGAAAATCAGGAAAGAAATGGCGGTGCAACACTGAAATCAGGGTTTCTATAATAATATCAGCCTGTTGGAAAAATAACGTGGATTTGTGGCGACGAAATGTATCGCTTCGCCTCATTCGTGCAACAAAGCTCCAACTAGAAGTTGCAAAGCGATGATGGTCGACTCCAACGAGCTACGATTGCAAATTATTTTCCCCACAGACTGATATCCTAAAAATACTTCCTATTTTAATTACAGGGTATTCCAAAAAATCTGGAGGGTAGCAACCGCCGATTTCTCGGCAACGTATTGGTGGAGGAGCATAAGATTTTGCACAATGAGAGCCGAAGCATTAATCCGAGGCAAAACGAAGTGTAAAAAACTGATAGCGAAGAGTCTATTCCGGTCACCGGACTCCTCAGTTTGACGTTCAGCGCAATTTTGTGTTTTTTTTTGCACTACGTCGCGTGCCATTCCCATTTTCCGCAGCGACAAATCTTTTCTTTGGAGATATTTATGGGCGATTCCAGAACACGGCGACTATTTTCCCGACAGACTGATGGCAAAAGAACCTGCGCCTTCAGTGTGAAAAGTCGTGAGCTTTTCCGCCAACCGCCTCCCAAGAAACCGGCAATTACTTTCCACCACATCCCATTTTCTCAAACTCTCTGTACTTGCCAACTTGTCAATTTCCAACTTACCAACACCAGCTTAAAATTCACATGGATCCGTCGGCACGCGATGACCCGATGAATAAAATAAATTGACAAAATGAGCACAACAACCGTAACAATGACGCAAACTTTGTCAAAAACGATGACATAATCGATTACTTGCAACAGCAGATCCCGCCATGTCATTCCAAAGCAGAGAATCAAATACGGCCCCAATTTTCGGTCGTCGTCACTTGTTTCTAATTCGATATTCTCATTTACAATGTTAGAGTTTAGCAGCTGCTAACTAGGCTGGAAGCCTAAACGTTCTCGGTTAGAGACCAGCAGACATTCGGGGCTGGCGTATTTCCCCGAAAATTTGTAATTTTTTAATTTGAAATGCAAGCACAGAACAAAGAGAGAGCATGATGACCAAGCGGCAAAATTGTGACGAATAGGGTCACACTATTCGTGCTATCACTAATATTAGTCCGTCGGGAAAATAATGAGGATCCTGTCGCAACGAAAATCACATCGCTGTGGAGGAAATGAATTGCGTCGCGGTAAAATCAAATCGCATTTCGCTTCAGCGATCGGCGTAGCGAAATTGCGCTGAATACATCACCGCCAGACTGGTATTAACGTACATAATGCAGTTTGGGGATAGATCCAGTTGTCTGAAACTCTTATGATTGAACATGGCTCTCGGGCGGGGCCTTGCAAATTTGACAGTCGGTACTTTCGACCGGGCCTGGTAGATTAAGAACAGAGATTGCCACGGCTCCGGAGCCGGCTCTCGGCTCCGGCTCCAAGTCGGGAGCCAGAGCCGGAGCCGGAAGTTTTGGGTGCGGCTCCGGCTACCGAGCCCAAAGTCGGAGCCAGGCTTCTCAACGTTCAGAAAAGTAAAAATTTCGTGATCTTGTTAAATTAAATTGCTCAAAAAAATACTGCGGAGAATGCATTCCGTATGACTTGGCTGCAAAAACCATGGCTGTATGACCTCTGGCACTAGCAACGTTTATTTTTAGGGAAAATATTTTTAAAAAATTCTTTGCACGGGAACGAGATTCGGAGCCGCAAACCTTTTTAAGCTTTTCATGGGAGCCGGGAGCCGGAGCCGAAATTTTGACCGTGGCAATCTCTGATTGAGAATCTGTGGGAAAAAGTCCAAAATGCATTGTGCGAAAGTGACTAAATGTCTATGCAGCAAAAGTGCTACCACTCGCAGTCCTTCCGGAAAGTCAGCGGGACGATTTTTGGCGAAAAAAGTCAGGATGGGAGCGACGGCCGAAAAAGCGTACTGCAAAGAGGAAGAATGTGGGAAGTGCAAAGAAAACCCTCGTTTCCGCACAATGCATGTCGCAAAATCCACTCCGGCCGACCTCCCGGAAGGGCGGGCGCACACTTGCGGGCAACCAGTTTGCGGGCAAATCTTTTGCGGGCAGCCACTTTGCGGGCAGCCGACATTTGCGGCCAGCACCGGCATTTGCGGGCAGCCTGGGACATTTGCGGGCAGGGTCGACAGTTGCGGGCAGCCTGGAAGATTTGCGGGCAGCCGACATTTGCGGGCAACCGACACCTGATTGTGAGGGTGACAGGATGGACGTGGAAAAATTACTATGATATTTTGGAAATTTGCCGACATTTGCGGGCAACCGGCACTTGAGGATTACAAGGTGGAGATGGAAAAATTACTTCGATATTTTGGAAATTTTCCGACATTTGCGGGCAGGGAATACTTGCGGGAAGCCGACATTTGCGGGCAACAGTTCCAAAAGTTCCTATACAGTCTGTGTGATTGTTTTTTCCTGCTGCCCGCAAATGTCGGCTGCCCGCAAGTGTCCGCTGCCCGCAAATGTCGGCAAATTTCCAAAATGTCGCAGTAATATTTCCACCTTCACCCTTTAACCCTCAGGTGCCGGTTGCCCGCAAATGTCGGCTGCCCGCAAGTGTCGGTTGCCCGCAAGTGTCCCAGGCTGCCCGCAAATGTCTCAGCTGCCCGCAAATGTTTCAGCTGCCCGCAAATGTGACCCCCCAAATTTTGCCCGCAAAGTGGTTGCCCGCAAAAAATTTGCCAGCAAACTGGTTGCCCGCAAAGTGGTTGCCCGCAAGCGTCGCGACGCCCCCGGAAGGACTACTAACACTAGGTGGGCCATAAAAATCTTGACATATTTCTGTGATTTAGACAGAGCAAAAAGTTGTATAAAACATGATCATTTACTTCTTCTAATAAAAAAAGAAACTCTCACAAATCCCTTAACCCCACGCAGACTTGAACTGGTTGAAGTACGCCTCCGTCTGTAGGGCTTGAGATTCGGGATGTACGGACTCAAGGCTGCAGCAATAATCGGCCGTTTTGGCGCCGAAAAAGCGTGCGATGTCTTGCCGAACCAAACTTCGCATCGCATTATTGAAGTACATAAAGCAGGTCATATGATAAACCGCATAACAATCCACTACCATATAGCCGATACGTGTAACCAACTCCGACGCCGGGGTCTCCTTTCCATTCGCCACAACGATCCGACGTCTGACCTCGGACAGGAACATCCCGATAAATGCGAGAATCATGTAGCCGATGATTGATGGGGCTATCGATTTATTGGAGTTCTCGTTCTCTGTTTGTTGGAACCGAGCACTAAGGGTCTTCATTGAAAGACGATCCTTTGTTCTGGCGATATTGTACTTGTGGAGACCGATTAGCCACTGAAAGTGTATAGTATCGGTTTGTCGGAAAAATAACGAACACAATGTCGGATCGTGTCGCTGAAGAGAAAAGAAATTTGATTTTGCCACAGATTGATAATACAAAATGTGCATCGTATAAAATGTCATCGGCAGCCTGCAAGACTCCAAGAAAAGTCATACGACGGTCTAATAAGTTTGTCGGGAAAATACTGAGACACAATGTCGCTGATCAGATCGCTGAAGTGAAACGCAATTTTTCCTTTTTTTTGCCGCGACACAATTCATTTTTTCAGCGACCAAAATTAACGACTTTCAATGCAAAAAATTAAAATTTGGTTTTTTCCAAACCGACAGCACTTTTGAGAAATTGTCGTCTAAATGTAAAAGAGTCGCATGCCAAGAACATTACCAGCCTGTCGGGAAAATAATGAGCACTTTGTCGCATCAAAATGTCGCATCGCCACCGAGAAAATAAACTGTGTCGCGGAAAATTACTTTTCACTTCAGTTATTGGCCCAGCGACATTGTGCGCATTATTTTTCCGACAGTCTGATAAGACCGTCGTATGAGCTTTTTGGGGTTTTGCAGGCTGCCGATGACATTTTATACGACGCTTATTTTTTATTACCAGTCGGGAAAATAATCAGCACTCTTTGTTGCGTCTATAATCCCGTACACTTACAAGTGAGCAGCCCATGCAGCTGACGGCGCTGATCGAAAATCCCAGCCACGCCAACTCCCAATGCATTTCGATCGGGATGCAGGTGGTTTTAGTTTTATAAAAATCGTAATCTTGCAGTGTATAATACCAATTGAGTAAAGAGCCCGTTGGAACTGATTGAACTATCTGAAAGTAAAAGAAAGAAACAAAAGTAAAATTAATGCAGTGACGGCCCTGGTCCAGTGGCAAAAGACGTACCATTCTGCTTTCGGGAAGCATCAAAAATGTGGCAAAATACTTCCCTCTCCAAGTGAAAAAAAACTTCGTTTTGAAAGGCGCTCCCTTTCCCTCACATAAAGAGCGGGCGCGCTTTTAAAATCGGAGTTTTTTCACTTGAAGAGGGAAGCATTTTGCCAAATTTTTGATACTTACCGGATGCAACGGTAAGTATCAAAATTTTGCCACTGGATCAGGTCCCCCATTCTAATGCTTACAACTGCTCTTGACCATTACCAGCAGAACTTCATGTCAAAAAATCGGCTGCATTTTATCGACAGACTTACCACAATTAACAATAAAATCAGCCCAACTCGATAAGTCCGCTCTTCGTAAGTTTCCACCCATATGGTTGCCAAATGTTGCTCCACTGCCAGCATGTTCAAGCATAACGCCGAACTCATCATTGTGATCAAGTGTATCGTACTTATTATTGCGCATGTGAGGTTGATATAAAAGCGTTCGTCGATGTGTTGAGTGAGATCGAGAATGAAATGGATGATTAGCCTGCTCGCACTATAAGTTATGAATGATCCAGCTGCGCACGCCTAAAATCTTTGATTTTAGGGGTTGAGGTTTACAAGGGAAGTGCTCTATGTGCGACGCTCAGATTTTCTTTAAATTTTGCATACAGTTAACGCATAGGTGACATATCAATTCCTAAAAGTTTTAGCTCGCGCTTTGCAGGCGCAGCCGAGATATTCAACGATCTTTGCGGCAGAGAGAGTACGTGAAATGCGGAGAGCGGACAGAGAAAAAACACTTATTTGGCTATACATATCTTCGTCAGTTTTGCGCTTAAAAAATTTTTTACTCTACGGTTGAAATAGGCATATTATTTTTTTCTTTTCATGCCAAAATTCGCGAAAAACTGTCATGCTTTTTACAACTTTCCATCTATAATAAAAATCTCGGTCATTCCTGCAAAAGCTAGGAATCCCACATATATCATAAACAAAAAACTATTCTAATTTTGTGCCGATTTGTATCAAAAACTGAGAGCCCCACTTTGAGTGTCAGTCTGTTGGGAAAATAATGTTGTTTTGTCGTTCCTTGGCATCGGATCATTGATTTGTGCCGGAGGCCAATGCGTTAACTGAGAGTTTTCTACAAATTATCTGAAAAAAAGATAGGGCGCAGCTCGGAAAAAGCGTTCGAATCTCTCCGCGGAGAGCTGTCCGAAGCTAAGATTTAGTTAGCCCATCGGCCCCCGGTGGAGGGTTGATGCGCGACTGTGAAAAGGCGAGACGTTGATGTGACAAAAATATCGATTTATTTTTTGGTATTTCCGTTGTTAGAAACAGAATGCCATCCAAGATTTTATTGGACTATTCCCTATCAACATACCAAAACCAGCCTAAAGTTGGGATGAACCCGCTTCGCGCTCCTCAATCGGTAGAAAAAATAGATCGTTAAAACAGTGACTGGGAAGAACACTGCCCAATGCAGCCAGCTGACCAAACGATTGACCAGGATAAGATCTCCGTCCGTTATATTCATTCATACAGACTCTAAAAAGAACAAAGTCAGTTAATGCATGACATGTGAAATTCAAATGTTGCGTGTGCCAAAGTAAAACGATCATGTATTTTCAATGGGTTTGTATTTTAAACCCTGTGGTACGAATTGGTGCACGAATATGACCGGGAAAATAACAGTAAATACAAAGTTTTGTTTGCCCAAAAAATTCGAAATGAACTGGTGAAAACATAAGGAAGATGTAGGCCGGAATAGTCGATTAAAATTCAGGTATTCACACAAAAAAGAAAAGTTCACTTTGCACTGTGCAATTTGTAGTTTTTGCACCGTGCAATACTTTTTTTGGGGGGTCGCTCGCACTCTGAATTTTTTGGCACTGTGGTTAGCGTCTTAGTCCGTTGGTAAAACGCAAGGGAATAATAATAAAAAAATTGCTATTTATGTACATTTAGCAAGAAATTTATGTTCTATTCCCTTCGGGGATTTTATACGAGCAAATAGGTGCACGTAGTCAGGTTCAAAGTCAAAACCTTTTATGTCAGACTATATTTTTGGAACCAATGAAAAAATTTTTAAGTCAGAAACATTTGAAAGGTCAATTATTGCTCTGCGCGGGAGGAAAAATTGTAGCAAGACTTTTGAATACAAACTCGACGACAAAACGCATCATAAATAATATCTTAAAACACAAAATATTCCATAAATTCTATTGTCAATGGTGCAGAATGCATCTGTACATACGCAATGAACCCTCGTAATCCAATAACTCCAATTTTGCATCCATTTCAAATTAAAATTTCGCTCCGCAGCGAAAACTTGTAATGCCAAAACCATTTCTGGCATTCTGTTGCAAGTTGCGGACTACGGCTAAAACAATTCTTTGTTGCGTTCATGTTGCAGAACAAGTAGATTACACGCGTTGTTTTGAGTAATAACCCAACTCCCGCAACAATGACCAACGTTGGAGGTAATGGACAGGTCAACAACATTAAATCACCTTCAGAATCTCGCGGTTTCTTCGAACGCAGTGCAGGTAATTCTTTTTAGATGCAGGAATCTGTCCTTTCACTGTGGAGATTATAATTTCGTACTATTTTCATTCTGGGAACTTTATTTCTGCCAGATTACATTATTTTAGGTAACAGTTTTTTCTAGTGCAAAATAATTGTGAATACAGTAGTTTTTTCGTCAAAGTTTGGTGATGTATAGTGAATTTTTACTTGAAGACAGGTTTAGAAGACAAAATTAATTCGAAATCCACGTTTTTTCAGTTTCTGATATTGTTTTAGACATCAAGTGGAGAGATCCGAAAATTCAGTGTTTCCCATAAATTTTGATAATTTTTTGGCCTAGGCTTTGTTGTTTTGCCTCACACTTGGTTTTACTTGTCTAATATAAATTTATTTCCAGATAGACGACCTAACGATGGAGAGCCTTCCGATGCCGAAAAACACGCTGCGGCCATGAAACGGAGACACGAAATTGTTGATCCAGCAACTGGTTTATGGTAAGTATTTGTTGTGTAGACCCTTTTCTCTCTTTAGGTACAACTTTATAGTCGAGCATTCCTTTTAGTTGCCAAGAGTTATGGAAGTTTCGGGAAAGGGAGGCCAAAAAGGTGCTCGATGCGCGAGTGGCCAGTCTTTCGAATGATAAATGGACCGATGGCGATGTGGAATCTATCATGGACCTTTTTTCTCGTCTAGAAGTGCCCGACAGCGCTGATGTCCAGAAGATTGTGGCCACATTTCTCCATTCTCACAACGAACCCGGGTCTATGTTGGTAAGGATAATATTTTTGAGGAAATTTCATGTAATCGGATTGAAAATGAAATGGGTTGACGTTAAATATGATAGAATAGACTGTGAACGAAGTGATGAAAATATTTTCAGTGGCTTGGTCGGTATCTCGACGCCACATGTGGAGGGCCTTACGAAAAGGCCAAGTTGGAAGTCAAGCATGTGTGGAATGTCGATCATCCCGACAATTGTCGTTTCAGAGGGGAGTTGGGGAATATGTGAGTTGCTTGTCCAGTTCATTACGAGTATTTTGACATCTAAATTTACTTCCTTTGCCTTAAAATTTTCCTTTTTCAGCCACTTTTTGATGCATGGTACCCATAAATCGCAGGTTTATCCCATTTTGAAGGGCGCAGCTTCTCGGCCAGAGATGAATGCGCCGGTAAGTTGTTTTACAGTTTTTTGTTCGATTTTTTAGAATCCATACCATCGAATTAACTTGATTTACCACCTTCTCAATGTTATCCATGACCATTTTCCAGGCCAAAGCGGTTGCTGGATCCGGGATTTACTTCCAAACCAATTCATTGAAAGCTGCCAATTTCACACTGCCTGGGGCATACGGCAAGGCGAAGAAAGCGGATCAACAGCTTGATTTTCTGGAGGATGGCGCCACCTTTTATCTATTCCTCTGCCATGTCGCAATGGGCAACACTGTGTACATGCCGAAGACCATGAGCAAGACGGATGATTACTTGAATGATATCTATCTCAAACACGATTCTATCGTGCTGGAAGGGCTTTTCGCACCGCAGAAGAAGCTTATGTAAGATTTTTTATATTACACTTGGTAATGGTTTAAAAAAATTTAATTTTTATGTTTTTCTTAAGAAAGCTGATTAGTACTGGGACTTATCAAGCTTTTACTAAGATTTCTAATCAATTTCAAGTTAAAATTTGCAAAAATTTTCGATAAATTTAAGATTTTTTGTTATAATAAGGCAAAAAGTTTCTGGTGAGATTTTACCGTTTTGAGTCGCAAAATGCCTTTTTTCTGCATTAAACAAAAATTTAGATCACTGTCCAGATATTCAAAGTCATTTTCGGTAATTTCAGGCTAGACAACGACAATATCGCCCTCCCATTGGGCCCATTCGTCCGTCAGCCCGACCAATCCTACGTTGATGTTCAATGTCGGCAGATCTGCGACGACTACGTGGTCCGCAACTCCACGCAGGTCAGATTTGCCTATCTTCTGGAGGTTGTGTACCATAAGCTTCTCGAATAGATGTGTATTTTGTCCTCTATCTGATTCGAGGTTGTGTTGTTAAAAATTTTCTGAGGTTTTGTTCTTTTTAACGATAATGCGATGTTTTTTGGAATAAATTTGTTTGTGTATATGAAGTAGATGCATTTTTTGGCAACAGGTAGAGATTCCTGTGAATACTTTTGGACACAGGTACAGTGGCGGGCCTGATCCAGTGGCAAAAAAACGTACCATTTAGCTTCCCGGAGGTATCAAAAAATGTAGCAAACTACTTCCCTCTTCAAGTGAAAAAACTCCGATTTCAAAACCGCGCACGCTCTTTTTTGTGAAGGAAAAGGCGCTCTCTTTAAAACGGAGTTTTTTGTAGTTAGAAGGGGAGGCATTTTGCCACATTTTTGATACTTCCAGGATGCGAAATGGTACGTTTTTTTGCCACTGGATCTATTCGTCTTTTATCTACTAGTGGTTCTAGAAAGTGCGTAGACTTTTTGTCGTGGGCCGCACCGTGCACAAAGCACCTTTTTACACAGTCGCGTAACATGCATTGTGCGGTGCGAAAAAGGCCTAAAAAAGTCTACCCGCTTGCTGGAACGACTTCTCATTGCATTGTTGGAATGCGTAGAGCAGAACATGTGGAGAAGGGCGTCGAAATCGACGGCTATGTATCTTACGTGAAATGCAATTTTATACGAAATTATCTTTGTAACATGAAAATAAAGCAATTTTTTTGTTTTTTGATACTATTTTTTTTACGGTTGAAATGCACTAATTGAATCGATGCAAAATTTTAAAAGGTAAGTTCCCTCTTATTCTTTGCAAATTGCCAACAATCTCTGCCGCGACAGAAAATTTTATTTTTACAGGGTTAAAATTTTTATAGCCCCGTTAATTATTATGCTCGATTTTAACGACGAGCTTATTATTTGGCAAACAACGGTAATTTGTGTCATGGGACAGGAGGTAAATGTTAAATTGGCCAACGGTTGCAGAGTGCCATGACGTTTTCTTACGTTTTAGGTTGTTATTTACATTATTAGTTTTAAAAATTTTAGTGACGTGAAGCAAAAGAGGAGTCAGCTCCAAGCAGCGTCGAATTGTTTGAAATATGTCTCCGTTTCGGCGCCACTTTTTTCAGGCTGAATTGAGTTGTGCCGGCAATTGGCAGTAACAGAAGCCCCAAAAAGTCGGCCAATGTCTCGAACAACCAAACTTCTCATTGCATTGTTGAAACACATGAAGCAGAACATGTGGTGAAGGGCGTAGAAGTCAACGGCCATGTATCCAATCTGAAATGCAAGGTATTGTTTTTGAAGTATTGCAGTACAGATCAATTTATTAGGGTGAACCAAAATTTTTTTCCGATTTTTCATTAAAGCTTTGAACATAATTTTACAACAAATGAAAACCAGTTAAGTTTCAAAGTAAAGGCCATTTGAATCTATGGCTTGAGCCCATCTATGGGAAAGTTGTTCGATTCCGCTACGGTACCACTCCTTGTTCTTACAAGGGCTCGGCAAAACCTCGTCCCCTGGTTTTATCTTGAAACATATACCATTCGAAAGAGCGTAAAAAACTGGTCTAGGATCACCTTAAATTAGCTGCTATTATCCACTTACGGGCTGGCTAGCGGGCATTTTTTAAAATTTCCAAATTGGATTTTGGAACTCTTTGCTTCTGAGACGTGAACGAGATCGAATAATCACTTTTCATATAAATATTAGTCATTTATGAGGTTGAAGCTTCAACCTATGTCAAAAAAATACAAAAGGTTTTCTGAGTTTGAGACATTCAGGTTGATGTACTCAATGAGTGATTGCGCGATGTTTTAGGTCCTGTAACTCAAGACAAACGAAGATGTTCCAAACATGTATGATGTTTTCAGACTCAATTTTTACGTACTTTCCGTTAGCGGGCATTCCTAGTATAATAAAAATATGAAAGCCTTCGAAAGTTTCAACCACCCAGGATGTCCCACTACAAGGTCAAAGAGGCCAAAATAAAAAAAAACGAAAAAGTTGTAGTTTTTTCTTTTAAAATGGACCTGAGTATACACAAAAGTCTAGTCAAAAATTAAACATAACTTTCTGACTCTATTTGTTCCATATTAGCCAGAAAAATTAAAAAATTCAAAAGAGGATTCGAACCCGCTTCGCAGGTCCTTGAGCAGCGCCTTTCCCCACTAGGCCACCGAAGCACTGCTTCTGTTTGCTTTTAAAACCGATCGCGTTTGTTTTCTCAAATGAAGGGTGAGACTAGCCTAGAACTAAAAAATTCTCGCTAGCCAGCGCGTAAGTGGATAATAGCAGCTAATAAAAGTCGCTTCTAGACCAGTTTTTTACGCTCTTTCAAATGGTATATGTTTCAAGAAAAAACCAGGGGACGAGGTTTTGCCGAGCCCTTGTTAGAGGCGAAAAACTCGCGGCACCCGTTTTCGACATCGTCCCGATCATTGAAGCTACGACCACGCAGAAAGTGTGCCATGGAGCGGAAAAGGTGATAGTCGTATGACACAATGTGCAGACTATTCGCTGGATGTGGAAGAAGTTCAATGGCGTCGAGAGTTTTGATTTTTTCCTTCGTTTGTTTGGCGGTGCGAGGTTTTGCGTTGTCTTGTTGCAGGGGTACGCGCTTTCGATTGATCAAAGCGGGATATTTTTTGCCAAGTGTCGATTACATTTGATCGAGTGGAGTGTAGCAGAGGTCTGCGTCGATAGTCCGACCATTCGGAACCAACTCGAAGTGAATTACGCCTTCAAAATTGTTTTTTAAGACGTCTTGCCCTCGAGGTCCGTGTCGCCGTCGTTGAATCGTTTGAACCAATCGCGCAGTAAGATCTGAGACTACATTGTAGCCTTCAACTTCGCTTATCTTCTTTGCTGCTGCAGTTGCGTTGAAGCCTTGTTTTCAGTAATGACGTAAAAAAACACGAATTTCGGATTTTTCCATGTTTTTTCTACAGCTTAAAAGATTTTAAATAAAAGACCAATTAAAAGTTTTAATATACATTATGATAAAGCAGCTCAAGACCTTTAAAAATATGTATAATACATTCATCTAAAAGTCTTTATTTTGTACAAAAACATTTGGACAAAAAGACACCTAAAAATCGGAAAAAAATTTTGGTTCACCCTAATACTTTTGTCTACCCATTTTACAGACTGCAACTAATTATCTACTGCCGCTGATAATGATCGGCTCATTTTGAACCCCCACGAACTCACTTGTGTAGTCAATTTGGGCCACGCACCATATTCCCCATAGATTAAAACCAGTCTTCGCCTCATTTCCGAGAGAAATAGCCCTACCAATCCGAGAACCATATAGCCAATAAGCGACGGTGCGATGGACTTGTTGGAATTCTCGTTTTCAGTTTGTTGAAAACGTGCGCTCAGGCTTTTCATGTTAAGCCGGTTCTTTGTCCTGACGGCATTGTAACGGTGAAGACAGACTAGCCACTGAAAACCCGATCTTTAGGTAGAAATTTGACAAGAATACCGCATTTTTTTTAGGTATTTCGCAACATACACTGCTGGAAAAAATGATATGCTCACCGCAATTTTGCAATTCATTTGCTATGAACAAATTGCCAGCGCAAAATTGCGGTGAGCATATCATTTTGTCCAGCAGTGTAAAAGTAAGTGGTCGTGGCCGACCAAAGCGAAGAAATCTAGCTACGTTTTACCGGAATTGGATTGTATCTATGTAAGATATTATGTCCGTCAAGACGACTTACCACTGAGCAAATCATACAACTGATAAAACACGCACAATAACAGAGCATCGCAAGTTCCCAATGTAATTCTATTGGAATGCAACTCTCTTTCGAAGTACGGAAATCGTATTCCTTTCCAAGATACCACCAGTTGATAAAACAACCAGTCGGAACGGATTGTAGCGCCTGAAATTTTGAGTTCGGACGAGCGTTTGACATACCACAATGAGCAGTAGTATCATGCCAACACGAGTGGATTTGTTCTCGTATTCGTTAACCCAGGTGGTTGCAAGATGTTGTTCAATAGCCAAGCAGTTCATACATAATGCTGAACTCATCGCACTGACCGTATGTAGAGTGCTTAATAGTGTGCATGCTATATTTATGACGTATCGGTCTTCGAGCTGTGCCGTGCAATCAAGTAGAAAATGGATGAGAAGTCGGGTTCCACTGAACACTAGGAATGATCCGGCAGCACAACACTGAAACGTTGAAAACGTTTTTATTTGAAGTATGTAGATTGGAGGCTTACCAGAACAATTCGAAAATTGGCATGAACGCGCTTTACACCAATCAACCTGTAGAAGAAGTAGATGGTCAATACTGTAACTGCCATAAACAGCCAGCAATGGAAGTCGCCGAGTACTCGGTTCAACCAGATTATGTCTGTTTCGGTTATATTCATTCATAGATGTTGCTAAAGTTAGTCACTTTACATTACACGTAATGTTACATAGACTTTATGAAATATTGAAAATAAAAACAGTTGGACAAAGTGGCAATCTGAGGAAGACACATGCAAGAGGGGGTTTCGTAGCCTGACTTTCGGACTAAATGAGTTTTTTAAGTCAACGGGAAAAACATGTTGTAATATGGTACAATTTGAACGTCCGAAAAACATTTTTTGCTTCCTATTGCGGCGAATATTCTATAATTAAGGCTGTTACGTTAAAATCAACCCCTTTTTCAAGTATTCCTGGAAATTGAGGGGTAGGAAAAAATTGAAGCACAACAATTCAAAGATCTTCGCGGCGGAGAGCGCACGTGAAACGCGGAGATTAATCACAGACGAAAAAATATTTTACGGTTGTGTCTTTGCCATTTTTTTGCAGAAAAATTGATCTTTCATGCCATTCACCAAAAAATGTCACACTTTTTGCCAATGTTTGGCCTCATGCAGCTCTCAATAAGTCAGTAATTGGCGCCGAGCATCTGTTTACGCTAACAAGTAAAGAAGACTGGAAAGGTGTCAAGGCTGCAATTATAATTTGAACGTTATGAATTGTTACAGATGTAATTACAATCAAAAAAAAATTGTTGTCTTTTGAGCGAAAAATAAGTGGCGTACGCATGTAAATTATACGGTTCTTTAAATTTTAGCGGTACTTCCGCTTAATAAAAAGACCCCCAAGGAATTGCTGAAGGTGCGAACACATTTTTTGCTACGGTTAAGTGATATTCAACTTACACCACTTCAGAGGCGAGACGAAAAAATGTCGAGAGCCAAAGTAAGTGTGTGCTCTTCTCGTCATACAAATAGTAGATCGTCTTGATCTCAAAGATCCTTGATATTCTTGGAAATGCGAGCTAAAAATTTCAGGCATGCTTTCCCTTGTATGTTTGTTATATCGAATGCTGACTATTCAGCATGTTTTACATAAAACAGTTGATCTTCCCATTCTTGGACATTCTCCGACAAACTAGAGAGTTGTTTTGCGGATTTGTGAACCGCTTCATCTTTTCACGTAAACTTCCTTTTCCGTTGATCATTTCTCCAAACACTTAGTCGAGAAAAAAGAAGAGGATCGCTGTAACATTTCGCTGAACTATGACTGGGCAACATATCAACAGACTTGAGACTCTATTTTGAAGTGATCGCCAACGCAATCTTAGCATTAGAATCGTGGTCAATCTCTTCGCTAAACAGAAAAAGAAATTTAGTCGATTTTTTCAACGGAAAGCTTCTTTATAAACTCGGTCTTTTTACCATAAATTCAACACGAATTTTTAGGCTGTGGGCGATTTTTCATATGAAATGTTCTCTAGCTACTTTTTTTATTGAGAAAAACAAGTTTACTTCCTTTTTCATAGCCAATGTTTACGTTCATATGAGAAGCGGAATCGCCAGTTTTTTAGGTTACCTTAGGATTGTAAAGTTGATGGTTTCATAACTCGGAAAAAAGGGTTATGGGGTTAAGTCGAGTTTATTTTTGGAATTTTTGTTGGTTGTCATTGGTTCATAAAGCATTCGCAGGGAGGTTGCGATGGCCTCATTTTTTTTTTGAGGATTGGCCCAAATTTGAGTAATTATTTTTTTCATACTTGCGAGATTCCTGCCTTGCGCTCTGCAGGAACGACGCAGATTTCTTGATTAATGTTTCCGCAAAAAATTATTTTTTCGTGCAACACTGGCAAAGATATCGCCAGACAGTTTCGTCTCACAATGTCAGATCACAATCCGCGTTTCGCGTATTCTTCAGGCCGCAATGAATATCTCGGCTGTGCCTTTGTTAGTATGTCTTCGGGTTCGTCGTTTTTTACTGTTGAATTTTATAGCGTGATGTTTCGAACTTTTAGATCATGAAATTACTTGTACCCTTTCTTCTTCTCATCCCCTTAGCCCTGTCGAGGCCTAATCCAATGAATCTCTTCCGCCGTGGAGGACCTCTTGGCCCCGTATTTGAAGACCTTGACGACAAACAAAAAGCTGAATTCAAACAGATCTGGAGGGACAACAAGGATAAGCCTCGCAAGGCCATGAAGACGGCTGTTGATGAATTCGTTAAGAAGTTGACCAAGGAACAACAGGTTGAAGTTGAGAAGAACAAGGCCAAATATGACAAAAGAAAGGAAAAAGATGACGCCAAAGCCGAGAAGCTGAGCGATGAAGCCAAAAAGTTGTACGATGATGCCAAAACGATCATGAAGAACGATGACTTGACTTTCAGGTGAGGAAAAAGTTAAGAGCGCAGTAAAATAAGGAGAGGCTTTTACTGTAGCACCTTTGCATAAAAAATCCATTCTAGGGAAGCCTTCAAAGCCGTTCAAGAGTTAATCCACTCGGCGAAACCCACAGTTCTGCAGGAATTCAAGAAAAATCACGTTCGCATCCCCGGAGGCCGTCCATTCCACGGAGGACCGTTGACTCCCATCTACAACGATCTGGATGAGGCGAAACAAAAGGAGTTGAGCGAAATAATGGAGAAGAACTTTGACAAACCAAAGAAGGAGGGAAAGAAGGCCTTCGAAGATTTTGTGAAGACTTTGCCCGAGGCGATTCAAAAGAAATACGCTGAAGCTGAGAAGAAACGCGAAGAACACAAAAAAGAAAATGCCAAAAACGCTGAAAAGTTGTCCCCAAAAGCCAAGGAATTGTTCGATAAAATTCAAGTGAGTGTCGCCAAGCTTTTCGATAGGACCGATCGCAAGGGTCAGAAGCTTCTGCAAAATGTTTATTTTGACGTTAAATTGCGACTTTTTTAGTCCATCAAACACAGTGACGACTTGACCCGCGCGCAAGTTCACGATCAAGTCCATGACGCCATCTTGGATGCCGATAAGAATGTTCTTACAGAATTCCGCGAAAAGAAAGTTCATCTATTCGATTTGGGCCCCCATTTCTGCCCGGCCAAGGGAAGCGCATCTGATTCTGAACACAGCGAATCTGATGATGATGACAAACCTGAGCCGGAGGCTGAAGAATAATCCTACAATACACTAGAACCATGCAGTTACGTGCCTTATAATTAAACCAAAAATTTGTAATAAACAGCAATACAAGATTAACAATGGAGCAAACTTTTTCCTGCAATCGACTGTCTATGCCATAGGTTCATTTTAAACAAAACATTAATACTTTCAATGGTTCCGCAGCTTCTTTCTTGATATTTAGAGTACAATGCAGACCTGCAACCTGATGCATTCGGAAACAACTTCATATTTTTACCTTTTTTTTATTCATACACTGTATGACCTGTTTAACAAAAAAAAAACAAAAGTAGATATGAAAAGTGATGATTTTAGTTTGGGAGGACTCGAACCTGCGACAGCTTGCGCGAAAAACTGACCGTTCGGCACTGGTTCACACTTTTTTGTGGCTTACTTTCCGGAAGCACCATACTTTAATTTTTATTGAAAACCGAAGCTAAAGCGAAGAAAAAATCCAGCTCGCGTTATGCAAGGGCAGCGAAGATATTGAATGATCATTTCCGCCAAGAGAGCATTCAAAAGTGCTGTTTTCTTCATAGGGGAAACGCAACTTCTCCCTTCGAGCATTTAGCCTGTAAGAAATTTGTTTGGCCACGCTTGAACAAACTTGGACTGTATGTACATTATGAAGTACAATTACAGTTTACAATACCGTCCAACGCTTTCGAAAAACCTTCGTAAACGACTCACTCGTTTTCAAACGTCGGACAAGTTTTCATACTTCATTGGCGCATAATATTACAACTACAGTTTGGTATGCTTTTGTCTCTTCTCTCATTGTAATCGGCTTCTCTAGTTGAGGTTGTATAACCAAACCATGAACAACGAAGCTACGGGTGATTTAATCATCCCATCGGAATCGATTTTATTTATTTATCGAATGTTTAGCTACGTTTTTATGTTCGTGAACTTTTCATGTTGCGCAACGACAATGTTTGCTATTGTGAAAAGTGAGTTTAGAGTTTTTTTTTTACAATGCCAACCGCTCAATGGTCAAGATGACCTTTTATTTTTTGATCCAAATGACCATTTTGAGCGGTGCACAGAAAAATATCAAGGCACCGGTTGTGTAGATTCGGGAAACCACATTCCCAAAGACTTGGGAACCTTAGTTTCTAAATTTGGCCTTTCGAGTGATCAAACCTGCGGTTTCTTCCTAGTTATTGCCTATGGTGCCTGTCGATTAGGATTTTGGCATGTGCTGCATGCGGGGTTTGGACATTCTTGACTAGCGCCGCTTGTAAAAGGTACCATTTGACATTGTTGATGTAATACTAGGTGTAAAACCTTTATTCTTTCGCAATACCTCAAGGAGTGCTTTTTATTGGGCTGGCATGGTTGGTGTTTGTCTTCATGACGTAATCTTCGGTATTGTTTTACTTCTTCTAGAAACCCCGTATTATATGTATAATAGTAGTCATTTTGTAACGTCTCGGCCCCTGCGTGTTTAAGTTTATGCGGTAAAGATAAGCGTAGTTGTAACAAAGGGATACTTGTAGTCTTCGTTTAAAGACGCCCTCATCCTCAAATAGACAAATATTTTCGAGAAAGTTTTATTTTAAAAAATAGACTTTGAGAAAATTTTACATTTAAAAAAATATACCCATCTTTTTTGATAGGTATGTAAATATTATTAGATTAACACAAAAAATCAGTTGGATAGTCAATAATTGGAAGATTGAGCGCAATCAACAGTCTGTCGGGAAAACAATGAGCACAATGTCGCTGCGCCGATCGCGTCGCCGCAGTGAAAAGCAGTGTGATTTTGCCACGACACACCTCTGTATTTTGCGACATAGTACCGATTGCTCATTATTTTTCCGACAGACTGATAGTTGAGTCTTGCAAAAAAACCCTGTCTTTGCACTATCTTACATTTTCACGCAGTTCTTTTTTGTACAGTAAGATCATTAAAGCCACTAATTGTAGCCCGTTAATCCTAAGAGAAGAAACTAGCGGAACGGCAGTTTAGCATATTGTATTCTGTACGGAGAATCTTGTAAACATAAATTACCACTGCATGCTTGTGTTCTCTGTAAAAGCTTATATTCTGTGTGACGTATTCGAAGAGGTATGTAGGTTGATACAAATTAGAGATCTGGATACAAAGTGTATATTGTACTTTAATAGCATCAATATTTGTAAATTCTGCGAAGTGAAGAATCCGTGTAAACCCCGTTCAACAAACAGCATGGCAAACGGAGAATATTATAAACACAAGTGTTTACGGTTACCCTTTACGTCAGATTCTTTGTTGTTTTGCATAACCAAAGTTGTTTTCGAAGGGAGATTGAAGTAGGAATGCGGGGTTAGACAAAAAAATCATATACAGGGTGTCCCAAAAAAAATGCATGTTTTTTTCCATGGGTCCTGACGCAAAAATGTTTAGGTCAGGCCAAAAGATTTTTGTACTGCTAAAATCTCCGTGTTTTTCTGCCCTAGTTATTTCAGTTTTGTGTTCATATCGATTAAGTAGCATTGTTTTTTAAAATGTGAAACAAAGGAACTGCGATTTTGTCACTATTTTTGAGCCGTTCAAGTTGTAAATTTGCCCAGTATAGAAAGGACGTTGTGTCAAAAGTAATCACGCGATGGAAGGAGCTTGATAACGATAGTAAGCGTCCAGGACGTAAAGGAAAACGCACCGCCAGCGGTTCTGTCAACCGGGAGAACACCAACAGCAAAACGCTATTTTCAAGAAAAAATTGCCTTGGAGATCGGCATCAGCGACCGATCGGTCACCCGAATAGTCTATGATGAGCTACGCCTCACGCTGTATAAGCTGTAAAAAGCTCAGATCTTTAAAGTAGACGGCAAGTGCGTGCGGCGCGAAAAATGTCGAAAACTCAAGGGCTGGGCCGCAACTCACAGACGTGAGCGCATTCGTTCGTGGTTCAATATTTGGCGGATGCACAACCACCAGAGCAATTGGATCTTCTTAGATGAGGCCCTCGGCATGTCGGCTAACGTCGAAAGCCGTCAAAATCCGGGCCGTCATCGCCTAAGGCGGAATTTCTCCCAGCGGCAAGAATTCCATGGTTTTCTCGGATCAAGGGGGCAAAACTTTAGCGCCGCGTTAATCTTGATTTTCCCGTACTTCTGTTGACTCAGCAGAACCTCGGCAATGCAAATTTGGCGTCCTTGCTAGACTCAGCTCCGGCTCACAAGGCAAAATCGACTCAGGATCCGAAATGGGAACGATTTTCCCGATTTCACCCCGTCCGCAAAATGGCCGTCTGCTCGCCGGATCTGAATCCGTTTGACTACTATTTTTTTCAATTGGAGGCCATTGCCTGTACTACACACCACAAAAGTTTGGAATGGCAAAGTAATCGTTGCGCCAAGAACGGGACCGATTTCCTCGAAAAAGGCTGCGGCCCCGAGCCCAAAATTTTAAGTTACGTTTGAAGCTCTATATCGCCACCAAGGGCAGCCACTGTGAAACTGGCTTGGTATGTTATCAATAATCCTCTATGTTACTGATATCCATCGTTAGTTTGGCTAAATTTTGTTTGGTATATAAAATGTAGCCATAAAAATAACATGCATTTTTTTTGGGACACCCTGTATATGAAGCACTAGACAATACGATATTTTATAAGGAAAGCATAATGAAAAGCATAATGATTTTTTGCTTTTCCCGATAGTCCTAGTCCGAACGCACTGCGGGAGTAGTTCTTCATTTGCCAGGGGTTTCAAAAAGCTTACAGAGCCTTTATGAATATCCTCACGGTACAACAACTTTCAGCACCAGGCACCTACCTCACAATCTACCGTTACTACCTGCTTCACCAAGTGCTTTGGGCTTTTGTCTTTGACATTGCGATTTTCTTCTTCATTCCCATAGTTCACCTGCCTCACGTTTGTTATCAATCTACGGGAGTTCTGAAAACAGTGCTCAGCCATTACGGAAACTATTACTTCCTCTATATTTTTACGATTCTCTGCGGCGGAAAAGCATACGCTCAATGGTTATGCATTTTGTACCGTTATATTTTGGCCTACCGCCATCGAGCCAGATATGGAGCGCTCATGGATTACTTAGCGAGATTTGGGCTGCCATGGACACCGACGCTTTACTGCGGTGTTTTTGTTTCGGGTATTACGGCGGTTTGGGTAAGTATAGAAGGCTGTAAAAAGTTTATTGGCGTAATTCGGAGAATTCATGTATTCATTTCAGCTTGTTCTTAGTTATTTCACCGGAAATCCTGCGGCCACCACCTCCAATCTCAGAGTTTCCGACCCCAAAGTTCGTGAATTACTGCTGTATTTTCCCAAAGCAACGTGCATGATACAGCAGAATTCAAGCCACAAATTCGTCTTTCTTAGTGGTATTTTTCTGCTGGTTGCGTGGGGCATGGCGATGGCGTTTTTGGCCCTCTCAATGGCCTATACGTTGAAAACGGACAAGCACACGTTTTCGAAAACCGGTCGTCTACAATGGATGTTGTTTCGATCTTTGGTAGCGCAACTTGGTGTGACGCTAATATTCATGTACTTCCCCGTATTGGTATGGTTTATGGCCGGATATTTCGACAGCAAATACGACATGTTGTTCGGTCTTGGGGCTGTTGCTTTTCTGGAGATGCACTCGACAGTGGATTGTGTGGCAATCTTACTGTATGTTCGGCCGTTTCGACATACAATCCGAAAACTCTTCTTCAAGACGTCGGACAATAAGACGCTTTCGTCTAGGTCGACTAAAAGCCATATTACCGTTGTCATGCCACGATTCAACTATTGATTCCTCATTGTGTTTGCTCGTCACAAATATGTACTATCGTTGTTGACTCGGCATGGCTCTGAGGGCCAGCCAAAATGCGCTCAATTGATTATCATTTTTCCACGTAGGCCCTGCGAGGCGCGGAAGTCATCTCTCATTGTAGACTGGTCAATTGAGGATACGAATACGAATCTTTTGTGTTATGAAGTTTGCGACAAAGCACACATTTTTTTGGTCTTTTCATCTGTTGCTTCATTGTACATACCATACATTATGCTAAGGATATCGTGATTTACGCAGGTCGTCAATAGACAATAAACTCCTCATGTCTGTCATGTCGTAATTGCTCGACTTCTTTGTGCTTTACAATAATTATGCCACGTTAACCCACATACACTGTAAAACTTTGTTTATACACTGAAAAAACTGCAAGATTGATGGGTTCAACTGAAACCTTTGAAAACCAAGAGCCTCTAAGAGAAAATTGAAAACTTCAGTTGTAAGGTCTTCACCACATGGCACTTGTGCGCTCGCCCTTCCTTCCATGGAGTTTGTTTTCTTTCTGTCGGCTGTGTTCCGCTCTTTGACCTTTCCTTGAAGCGAAAGTTTTTGTGGAAATTCTCAAGAATATTAAATTACCACACCTTCCTTGCACTGGTATTCACTTATAAACCGTTTATAAATATTATAGTTGATTATGAGTAAAGGCAAATTGAATTCATCTACAGAATCATTTATTTCTTGTTAGTTGTATACTGTAATTTGATTGTTTCCCTGGCTCCTGGAACAAAAAAGGTCAATTGGGTTTGAATAGCAGTATAAAAGTTCGCAATTGAACCTATTCTTTCTCCCGTTGGATTTGTTTGTACGTTTCTTCACGGCACAGAACTCCAAAAACTGTATGTATGTTCAGTCCTTTCTTCACTACAAGTGACATTTTGTAGTTTCGTTCTCTAACTTTACTGTAATTTTATCAGCTGGCCGGAAGTGTTGTCTTAATTGGGACCGCTAAACGCCAATTTTAATCTCTCGTGGCGTTTGACCCCTATACAGATTTGTCAGCTTTCAAGTAATTAGTACGGTAGCCCACCTATGGAAAATGTCAACTTCGCTAAATGTCGTTGAAATCTGGGTGGCGTTTCAATAGATCAATTTGTTACAATAAGCAAAATTTACGTCAGAGGTACACCACGGCGAGAGCTCGCCTTCGAAGGCTCTGGTAACCTCAAATTTGGCGTCATTGGCGGAAAAGAAGCTTTTGAAAAAGGTCACCAATCGTCTGTCTCTCCGGTAGGGCGTTGAAAATGATGACTGGACCCTTATCAGTCTGTCGGAAAAATAACGGCGAGAGCGAAATGTTTCGCCTCGTCGGAAAACCAGTGCAGCCGCGCACCAAATTTCCAGCTTCGTCTTGCCGTCGCAAAGCGATGATGAGCGATTCGAAGCGAACGACCCGATCTTATTTTCCCGACAGACTGATAGACTTCCATCCCACACCACGGCAGCCTAGACATGACTTTCGGGCCGGCCCGCGGGCTGTACCAGTCCGTTCGTAAAGTCGCTGGAATGATTTCGGCGACGTGCACTGTGCAAGAAAACTCAGGGTGCGAGCGACAGCTCGAAAAAGCCTATTGCGCCGTGAAAAAAGCCAGAAGTTGCACAGTGCAAAGTGAGCTTTCGTTTTCGCAGAGTGCATGTCGCCGAAAACATTCCAGCGACTATTAGGCGTTTGGACCGGACTGTTTCACATATGCTTGTTGTTCTTACTGCATTCCGAGGCTGTCTAAAATATGCAAATATCCCGAAAAAGCCAGCCGAGGTTTGCGTTTTTTTATTGGCAACCTAATTTCCGCTTCGATTCTCATGTCGTAATTTTCATGATTTCGGGCCGATTTCGGCTCGGAAGCCATGTCGCAACTAGAGAATAGCCCATTTCGCTTCTGCGATTCGTCACCCACAGCAGAATTTTTTATGACTTTTCGATGGGAAAATATTTTTTCGGTATCCCTTTATTCCTTTGCCATTTGTGGCATTTCGTATATCACGTAGCTCAAAAGTGGGCGGGAGACATTTTTGTTCTATTTCGGGTGATCTTCTTCTCCTTGGTGAAATACGTCAATGGGTTCTTTCTTCAGAACTTTTTTTTAAACTGGATAAGATAAACTTCAATTGATGAATGTCTATTTCGGTCTTTGAAATCTAATGTCAGCCCTACAATCCCCTACATTTCAAAAACAATATGTGCCGGTTCCCCCCTACAAATTCGAATTGAGAAACATATTTTCCCCCTACTCTGCCTACAACTCTTTTGATCGAAGAGCATAGTATTACGATAACGTAGGCAGCCGTCTTAAGAGATAAAATTGTAGCTTTCCGGTTTAATCGATGCGCTTTTTTCGCTTCTACAATTTTCCGCGTAGCCTGGTCGCCCTTTACAGTTGCGTTTTCTGTTATTTTAGACTGCGTAAAAATGCGGGAAAATATTTATCAGCTGTCACTCACCGTAAATGCTCGAATTCTTTGTACTTTTGGGACCCGTTGTAATTTCCACTTCTTTAATCGAAGTGGCAAAACCATGGACGATGACGCTACGAGCGATTTAGTCATCCCGTCGGAATTGGTTATATGCATTTATCGAATGTTTAGCTATGTTTCGATGGTCGTGAACTTCTCTTTTTGCGCTACGACTACATTGGCTATTGTGAAAAGTAAGAGTTTCGAGATTTTTTTTGATAAGGCTTCATGATAAAGATGCGCTTCCAATAAGCTTCCTGCAAGGGAAGTACCCCAAGTGCGACGCTAGATTTTCTTCAGATTTTGCACGGATGTCTGTGCGGAAAAAAATTATTTTTTGTGGAAACATTACCCTCCATGGTAGAAATAGGCACGAAACTTTTCGTGCCGAAATTCAGCAAAAAGTGCCAAAATTTGGCCGACTTTCGATCAAAAAATTTCGGTTGTTTCTGCAAAGCGCGAGCTAGGATTCTCGCATACATTTTAGAAAAAAATATTTTAAATTTGCTCCCAGTTTCATCAAAATCTGAGCGTCTCACTTGAGGTACTTCCCCTGTAGGGAAAATACCATGCTGCCATCAGCCCCATTTTTAGGCTGATGGAAGCTGGCGTTGGATTTATTTCTTCAACATGAAAAAATTTCCAGCGCCCGCCGCCGACCTCACAATCTACCGTTTCTACCTGCTGCACGAAGTGCTTTGGGCTTTTCTGTTTGACATTGCGGTTTTCACCTTCATTCCGATCGCTCATCTGCCTCACATTTGTTATCAATCTACCGGCATTCTGAAGACGGTGCTCGGCCATTACGGAAACTATTGTTTCCTATTTATTTTTACTATTCTATGCGGCGGAAAGGCGTACGCTCAATGGTTGTGCATTTTTTACCGTTACATTTTGGCGTACCGTCATCGAGCCAAATATAGAATGGTGCTGACGTACTTGGCCAGATTTGAGCTCCCATGGACACCGGCGTTTTACTGTGGTGTTTTTTTGTCGGGCATGTTGACGTTTTGGGTAAGTGCAATGCCGTAGAAACATAGTCAGATTCGTGCTTCTGAATAATAGGATTTTAAATTTCAGGCTCTTCTTAGGTATTTTTCCGGTAATCCTGTCGCCACAACCGCTACCCTCAGAGTTGTCGACCCCAAAGTTCGTGAATTACTGGTGTATTTCCCTCAAACAACATGCATGTTGCAGCAGACCTCAAGCTACGAATTCGTCTTGCTCTGTGGAATTTTTGTGCTGGTCGGCTGGGGCATGTTAATGGCCTTCTTGGTCCTCTCACTGGCTTATACGTTGAGAACGGAGAAACACTCCTTTTCGAAGACAGGCCGTCTACAATGGATGTTGTTTCGCTCTTTGGTCGCGCAACTCAGTGTGACCCTGGTGTTCTTGTACTTTCCCATATTGATATGGTTTTTGGCCGGGTATTTCGACAGCAATTACAACATGTTGATTGGACTTGCGGCTTGTTCGTTTCTGGCCATGCACTCAACGGTGGATTGTGTGGCAATCCTACTGTATGTTCGACCGTTTCGACAGGCAATCCGGAACTTTTTCTGCAACTCCACGGAGGTTGAGAGTTTTCCCAAAAAGTCTGTAACATAGTTGTAGAGTGGGCTCTCGGAGCAGGTTGAAAATCTCAGCCCGGCTAGGCCAGCTTGTGTTAAGCTTCTCTCCATCTCAAGAGCTATGTCTATTGCTGATTGTTTTGTTGACGAAACGTATCTTGAACAGACGAAGCTTGTTTTTGTAACACAGATTTTTAGAGTCTTTTTTTTTTTAACTGTTGTACGGTTGCTCCATTTCACTGCGTACATTATATTATACTAAGGGTATTATGATTCTTCCTCAGGTCATAAAAAACACTACAACACACGTATATGTACCTCTACTCCAATCTGCGATGCCATAATTTCTCGCTTTCCTTTTGCGTTGCCATACAATTACGGGTTGACTTGCTAGTATTATAATAAAGCGTTATACATAAATACTCTAATTGACTTGTATCTTCGATTATAAACAGTGCTTACGCAAAATTATAACTTTTGTATGTTACACTGCTTCCTGACTACGAATGATATTTTGTAGTTTCGTTCTTTGATTGTACTGCAATTTTTTATCAGCCGGTAATGTTTTAGGTTTGACTGCGTCAGTTTTGGGCCGGCAGTTTTAAGCTTTCTCTCACGGCGTTTGACCCCAATCCGGATACGATTCCGAGCCCGCTTGGACGTAACGTCGGCAGGGACTTGGCAAAATGTCGTTGAAATCTTTGCGTAGCTTAAATATATATAATAAATAGAACGGTTTGCCATCGAAAATAAGTCAGCATCACATTTTTTTAGGCTGATAGATGTCGTATATTCGCTCACAAGCCTGTTTTGTAACTGTTGAGAGGTTGCTTTGTAGACCTGTTCTACTGGACCTTTCCGAAATTGCACCACCCTGATCCTTCTGAGCTATCAGCAAGTGCCATCTCCGCGCCCAGTCAGAAGCCCTTAACGTTTACTCCCAACAAAGGATTTGTATCCCTCTTTTGACACCTCGTCATATGAAGGGCTATTTCAGTCGTTGAAATCGAATGTCAGCGCTACAATTCAACGACAATATTTACCGGCTGCCTAGTACAAATCCGCATAGACAAGTTTATTTTTTTCCTCCGCTCTGCCTACAATCTTTTTGATTGGAAAACATGCCTCAATTTATCCGTCTTAAAATACACAATTATAGTTGTCATGTCGAATTGATACACTTTTTTGTATTTACAATTGTTCGAGTAGTCTCATCGCCCTTTACAAGTTGCGTTTTCTATTATTTCAACCTACGTAAAAACGCGTGTAAATATTTATCAGCTGTCACTAAACGCACATGCTCCAAGGACATTCGGTGTAAGGTAGTCTGAGAAGTGCGGCGCAATGGTGTTCGAAGAGTTGTGGATACCGACGGAGGGAGTGATACGAGTGTATCACGGCATTGAATACGGGTTTATGGCCATCAATTTGTGCTTGTTGACGCTGACAACATATGCCATTGTGAAAAGTAAGTCGAAATTACGGTAGATTCGTAATCACCAATAGATTCTGCGAAGTGTGAGGCGTGAATTTTGATGATGCTATTTTCAATTTGTCGGGGAAATAATGAGCACTCCATTGCATCAAAAATCGCATCGCTGCCGAAAAAATGAATTGTGTCGAGGCAGGATCAAGTTTCTCTTCAGTTCAGCGATCGACGTAGCGTCTTTTTGCTCATTATTTTCCCGACAGACAGATACAAAAACATTGGTTTTTAGGACGTAGTTGCAAGTTAGCGCCCACCCTAAGATTGGCTAAATTTAGCCTTCAAACTTTCGGACCGTTAAACCCGAGGTCCTAGGCGCAGACCGTCACAACTCCTGTAGTTTGTGTCATCCGTCACAAGCCCATTCAAATTCCAAAAATCGAAACGGCTTTTGATTGTTTGGCATTTTGAATTCAAAGTTCAAGCGGCCCCAGGGTGTCCCCTACACCGCCAAAAACACTCCCCATGGCATGCGTAATTACCCTGTGTTTGCAAAGATTTCCTGTTACTAAATTTCCAGCTGCACGTAAACCCTGTATTAATGCTATTTTTACAAAGGTCATGGCATTTGGCTGAAATGTTGAAAATTAGGGGTCAATCTTATATGGAAGTACACCAAGTTCAAATCAGATTTTCTTTAGATTTTGTACACGCGTTGAGCATATCCAAGAAACAGTCGTTTTTTCCAAATTTTCCGCCAAAAATCTTGGTCGTTTTTTGCGAAGCTCGAGCCAGGGCTCTCCCTTTCTTTTCGAAAAAGCCTTGGTAATCTCCAACCGAAAAAATTCGGGATTTCTCAACCATTTTCAACCGAAAAACACTTGTTTTCGGGGTAAAGGGCCCTATTGCAAAAGGTCGTAACGACCTCAGTTTGCACCTTAAAATCTTGTTATTTCGCAGACAGAAGTTAATGTCGCTTAAAAATACATATTCCAAAAAAGAAGTCTCTGCGCCATCCCTGACGGAAGCTGTAGCCTGTTTATCTTTTTCAGCGCCAGTCACCTACCTCAGCATCTACCGCTACTTTCTGCTGCATGAGATCATATGGTCGTTCGCGTTTGACTTCTCCATGTGCATCTTTATCCCGATTCTTCATCTACCTCATGTCTGTTATCAATCCAGTGGATTTCTAAGCGACATTCTAAACTCTAGTGGGCATTATTTTTTCATCTATGCACTCGTAGCACTTGTTGGAGGAAAAGCCTACTCCATCTTGCTTTGCTGCTTTCATCGGCACATGCTGGCGCATCGACATACGAGACATTATTGGCAAATCTTGAACCCACTGGCGGATTTTCGTCTGCCGCATGCGTTCCTTTTTTACGGCGTGATTTATGTTGTAATTGTGGTCGCGACATGGGTAAGAAATGAGAATTAGAGACATAAGACCTGACTCTTTGCAGATCACTATCTTTGCCGTTGTGGACGACCCGGTTGCCGCTACAGCGCAGCTTCAAGCCTCGGACAGCCGAGTTCGAACTGTGTTGGCGCACTTCCCACACACCACATGTCTGGTGGCCAGCAAACAATACGAATACATTCTTCTCATCCCGATCATGATATTGGTGGTTTGGGGCTTCGGGATCGCCGCTTTGCTCTGCTCAATGTTGATTGTTCTCAAGACAAACCCCAAGGCGTACATGTCCACCATTCGCCTCCAATGGACGTTGTATCGCTCGCTGCTGGCGCAGCTAGGTGCAACCCTGGTATTCATGTACCTTCCGCTGTTAATCTGGCTGGTTGTTGGACTGTTGGACGCGAATTACGGGATGTTAGTAGGGGTAATTTGCATGTCCTTACTGGCAATGCATTCATCCGTGGACTGCGTTGTAATCCTTATATATGTAAAGCCGTTCCGCCGTGCCATTCAACGAATTTTCAATAGCCAGCAACAAGATACGGTCGTTTCGAAGGCCACCCGCAGTCCGGGTAGCCCGACCAAGGTAAAGCCGAAGCCGAGAAGCGAAAGCGTCTTTGCATTCCCGCCACCGGCAAATTTCATGTTTACCAGACGATCACTACCGCCGATTACTTTATGATGCTTTATAAAACTAAAGCGAACATGTTTTAACAATAAGTTATTTCAACACTCATAAAATATTTGAATTTTTCACGCAACAATAAACAGGAATGACCCTCCAAGTGAAAGGCTTGAATTTTATTGAAATCTTTTACAAGAACATTTGTCTCTAGGCTTTAAATAAGATAGGCTTGCTTCGGCACAAAGCAGAAGACTGGCCAAACATTGCGCAGAGCTATGTTGCCGTCCAAATCTCTGAAGGTGCAAAATTCCACGCATACGAAATCAAAGCCCCTAATAACGAATGTACGTCGCAGAGAGATTTTTTCCATACCATAGATTCTTCCACAATCACAAATACCGGCGCGGATATCCGTGAAACTTCATGCAAACGCCTTCTTCTATTAGGCGTAGAAGTATAACCGTGCCGTTTTTTATTTGAGCGTTTTTTACAAGCAGAATTAAAGTTTTGGTACTACTGTACATATGGCCTGAAAGTACGTTGAAAACGCTATCTATTGGTGTATGCTGTGTATGGTCAGACTTATCGTATCGGTTTCTACAAAGCTTCAAAGATGACCAACTTTCGTCCCACAAAAATGTCATTTGCGGGAAATTTTTGAATGCCCGCAAATCAAAAAAGCCTCCAAATCAATCAAAACTTGTTCTCATGGAGTCATAACATCTTTATTTTACATTGAAAGTAGTTGAGTTATCACTTAAAGGTTTGTTATTATGAATTTCCTCTCATTTTTGGGATAAAGCGCCTCTTCCTGCAGCGCGCCGAGGTCTTCCGGGTGGGTTTCCAGTAAACCCGATGATTCATTGACAGCATCTAAATCAAACACGTCAACGTAGTGAATCTTTTTTTTCGAATATATATATATATATATGTTAAAAAATCACAACGGCTTACCGCGTTCGTCTACAGGATGTTTCAAGAAATATGACAGAAACTATTTGCGAATATCTTTGAGCTCTTCTGAGTTATCGCAGATATTGTTTTTGTTTCTAAAGCTTGATATCGGGCGGTTTTGTACTGAGCAAAAAAAAATTTTTTTTCGTCGACGGAGAGGCCAGTTCTCGGCGGAGACATTTGGGGCCTTTTTTAAAAATCACACGTTATTGCATGGTGGAAACTCTGTTACAACGGCCAAAATTATGCTTACGGTGCACCTCCGTGGATTTTACGGTACGCTTTTTTGCGTTTTCGATTTTACGGACATCCGCGGAGGCGTGGCGGAGACCTCAGATTTCGGCGGACTTTGTTTTGGGCCCTCGGCTTTTGCAAATCCATGTTTTAAAAAAGGTTGTGGCGATTTTTTGTTGTCATCCGATGCACAGATGGCAGAAATTTCGTACTTTGTTTCCCCGGCGGAGGATTCGGCGGAACACCCTGTATAACTAAACTTTGGATGCTTTTGTGGTCGTTGGAGCTGTGCGGCGAAACTGGCCCTGGGGGTAAAACATTTTCGTCCGGTGCTTTGTCGTCAGCAATAATTATTTCTGGTGATGCAATACGCAGAATGCTCGAGTTCAATTCAAACCTGTCCTTAATTTCAAGACGATATCTCTCCACGGAAAAATCTAAAGCGATATGATTAGTTTAGATCAATTTGCGTTACTTTTATCCTTTATTATACGAACTCGTGGATTTGTCATCTTTATCTCGGCGAACTTTAAGATAAACACGCCGCAATTGCAATCATCCCATTGCCTGAAGTTATTCTTGAAGACAGCCATTGAAAAATGTCGAAGGCTTGGTCTTGACGGTTGTGCAATACAAGTCCAAAAATTTATCGATATCTGCTTTGATCGACGGTTCTATTGGATTATCTTTGCTAATAAACAACCGAGTTTTGGCTAACAGTGAACCAAGCAATTGTCCAATGGTTTGATCTACATATTGGAAGGATGAGGGACTCGGCTTCGTTGTCGTAGTGGACAAAAGTATCGGTTACATCTTCAATAGTAGAGACAATTTCACTGCTTGCAAACCAAATGGGATCAACGATGGAGACGTGACCTTGTGTTCTGTTTTCCAAGATAATTAGATAATCTCGGACATTCTCATCCGTCAGATAGAGCTGTTGGTTAAGGACACCCTTGAAGGAAACAATGGAGCAAAATTAAAAATACCGCCGTTATTCCAATATGCAGATGTTCGTTGACAAAAATACGTCTGCTTCGCAGAACATCCTTGTTCAGATTTCTTGTGAGATTTTTGCCAATCTCAAACGACTCGTTGTATTGGTAAACCTGTCCGGAAAGACACGGTTTATAGCCGGGAAACTAAAAATCAGTAACGGAATACGGTAACTTACTATGTTTGGATGCCGACGGCAAACGAAAATCTCTCTATCTGGAGTTTTGTAAGAACAAAAGGATAAAACCACGAAAACAAAACATATCATCTTGTAGTAAATAACGGCCCAAGAGGGGCAGTAGTTAAAATTTTTTAATTTCTTATGGCTAAATCTGATCGCTTCTACCAACGGCAACATGAGCCAGAAATACAAAATGAAGAAAAAACGTCGTGGTTACTCTTCTCATAACAGAAAAAAAGAAGTCAAGATTTATCTGTCAATTATTTAATTATGCATAAATTTTTCTGCCAAGAATATAGGAACTGCATTTTTGTCATCTTTTAATTATTTAATTACGTATACATTTTTCTGCCATGAGAATTGCATTTTGTTATAGAATTTCAGATTTGAAAGTGTTCTTGGACTTGTGAGCATCGAAGGTATTCTAGAGCTGTTCCCAGTGTATGACAACATGTTTTGATTGATTTGGAAGCTTTTTTAGACTTGCGGGCACTCAAAAATTTTTGGAACTTTTTTTGCCCGCAAATTTTAATTTGCATTTTTCCTCCGAAAAATAGGTGCGGATGGTAGCAAGAAGTGTCAGAATGGCATTATAAGCCCAATTTTACCCAAGACAACAAGTTTTAATTGATTTGGAAGCCTTTTTTGATTTGCGGGCATCCAAAAAAATTATTATATTTTTTCTGCCAAAAAACCGTTTTCCTGCAAACAAATCGGCCCCAATTGCCGTCAGAACGATCATAGCGTCTAATCTTGACATGGTAACCAAGGTTTTTTCACTACTGTGACTCACGAAAGATTTTGGAGCATTTTTTAATCTGCGGGCATCCAAAAGTTTTCAAACTTTTTTTGCCCGCAAAGCTGAAATTCAAATTTTCTACCTGAAGATGTGCAGCAATTGTCTCGTGGCAGCTTGAAATTACTCAAAAAATGATAACAATGAAGATTTTTACATTCGTAACGTCTGAGGACCCGATTTTCCGATCTGCGGGCATCAAAAAGTTCGTTAAATCAAAAAAAGTTTTTCAGCCTCATAATAACTTGGTTTGGACTCCATATTCATCAGCTTTGTCCAAAAACAAGATATCATCCCGTGATTTGGAATTTTATTTCAGAAAACATGCGTCTGAGACAGTTCTCAAAAATTTTTTTTGTCAAATGCACTTTTGCATATGTAAATTTATTAATTCCACCAGATCTATACAAATATTTCACTAATGTTTCAGGCGTTTTATATAATAACATTTTTATAATTTGCGGGCAGAAAAAGTGCGGGCAGATTTCGATTTAATTTGCGGTCGCGAACCGCGAAAATTTGCGGGCATCGAAAAGTCCATTTGCGGGCGAAAAAAATTCCTCCATATTTTTTTTCTTTACAATCGTTTTATGTTGGACTTGTAGACAAAGCCTTAGTGCGCCTCGTGGACCACACAAGGAACAAGCTGTACTTCAAATCCATTTCCTGGTGTTGAAGAACAGTTCACTTCAATTTTCGTTGCTCTCAATCCATTGTAGTTGTTGGGTACCGTTGCGCAACGTAATCGGGACTTTTGTTATCGCTCTCTCATTGGCCAGAAGGATGAGCTAAACGTTTTTCGTTAATGGTTTCTATTTGGGATCGCATACAGACCGTGTTGTTAGCTAGATTGGTTTTAGGTTATTCAATTCGGAAGGAAAACAAACTTGCTGAATCTAATTGAATCTTCTCATGCGGCCATGTGTCAAAACATTTTCTCTCTGCGTTGTGACTAATGAAGGGATAACCTAATCATAAGTATCAACTCTCTATAAACATATGTTGCCTTGTTAGACGGCTAGTTTAATGCGGCTCGATGAGTAAACAGGAGAACAGGAGCGCTATGAGGAGAGGAGTCCAGGTTCAACTTTCTCAAAGGGTAGTATCATAGCAGTCTGTCGGTAAAATAATGTGGATTCGTCGCGCCTTGGAGTCGGCCATCATCACTTTGCGATGGATAGCCGCGGCTGGAAATCTGTTTCGCTACTGCGACGGGACATTTTGCTACGACAACTCCACATTATCTTCCAGACAGACTAGTATTTTCATAAAGTGCATGGACATTTTGTCGTGATCCGCACTGTTCACAAAGAACTCCCATTTTGCACTGTGCATTTCAATTTTTTTTCTTTGTTTTGAGTCTGCACCGTACATTGAAAATATGTATGCGTCGCGGCGTAAGCTTTTCTCAACTCGGTCGCCGTTGTGTTGAGCTTTCCTGTTGAAGCTGAACAGAATTTTTCTGTTGGATGCAAATGCGGGCTGATTTCACAACATGTCCGCAGAATCTCCGTGGTTCTTTTAGCTGCCTGCAAAGTGGTTGCCCGCAAGTTTTAGGCCCGCCTGTAACCGATACCGATATACGTATTTTTTCTGCCCGTATTTTTCAAGAACATCTTCCTAAATTAAGGCCAAAAAGTATCAACAGTTGTGTCTCTCGGCTACCGCCGCCAAGCACGGGCTACAACTTTCAGGAATTGATGCGTGGCCTATGGCAGAATTTTGTGCGAAATTTAAAGAAAATATGAACTTTGCACTTGGTGTCAATCGTCTTCCCTGGTCCTGTGTAGTTCTCATTGTAAAATTCCTTGAACCGTTTTTTGACCATTTTTGGTAACAGGGCGTTTGCCCAGCGAAGTCATGCGAACCCGGGCTCTTCGCAGAACTACAAACTATTATGGTTCTGCCAGGTCCACTTCTCGTTGCACCCGATTGTATTTTGGGATTTCACCTTGCCATAAGTAACCCGTTTCGTTCGCATTCTATGGCATTACTCAATGACTTACCATAAAGGGATGGACGAGGTTCCTCAGCTACGGATACCGACGGCGGACCTAATCGAGGCGTACAAGGTTTTTGATTACTTTTTTATGTCCATCAACACGGTGATGTTCTGCTTCACGGCGTTTGCGATTTTGAAAAGTAGGCAAAGTTTTAGACATGATTTTTAAATTTATACCTGGGCTACTTCCTCTGGCCAAAAGCTCATAGTTTTCTTACTAATATAATTACATTATAATACACTGATTTTTCCAGCCCCTGCCACCTACCTCAGCGTCTACCGCTATTTTTTGCTTCACGAAATTGTTTGGGCTCTCCTTTTTGACATCATGATCTTCATCAGCATCCCAGTTGTCCATCTCCCACACATTTGCTTCACTTACATTGGAATGCTGGGACCTGCGCTCAGGGCTGAAGAAAGTTCTTACTATGCCTTGGTTTTGACCACACTATGCGCAGGCAAGGCGTACTCAATGTTCATGTGCTGTTTTCATCGCTACATCTTGGCGCATCAGCATACGGACGATCATTGGTGGTCGGGGATTAATCACCTTCTGCAGTATCGGTTTCCATGGACTCCGATTATGCATTACGCGATTATGATCACCGCCACTGCCTCGGTTTGGGTGAGTAAAGACGTGTTGAAGCAAATTGGAATGCAATCAGTCTGTCGGGAAAATAATGAGCACTCTGTCGCATCGAAAATCGCATTGCTGCCGAGAAAATGAATTGTGTCGTGGCAAAATCAAATTGATTTCACTTCAGCGATTGGCGGAGCGACATTGTGCCCATTATTTTCTCGACATACTGGTACACTGGCGGACCCAGTGGCAAAAAATGTACCATTTTGCATCCGGGAAGTATCATAAAATGTAGCAAAATGCTTCGCTTCCTTCTCCAAGTGAAAAAACTCCAATTGCAAAAGCGCACCCGCTCTTTTTGTGTGGGAAAGGGAGTTCAAAGAGAAGTTTTTTTAGTTGGAGAGGGATGCATTTTGCTACATTTTTGATACTTCCCGGATGCAAAATGGTACGTTTTTTGATTTTGGATCAGGTCCGTCACTGTAATCAATTCGGGGCTTTCTGGGTTCAGCCCCTCAGGAAAGGTGATTCAAACCCCACCGTTTTGCCCGCTACAACCCCCCATAACGAAAAGATTAGAATCATACAGAAAATGCAAATTAGAGCAAAATGTAGCGGTGGACCCGGTCCATTTTTCAGATAGATGAAACTGCTGTCGGAGCTCCCAAGTACCATTGCGGTACACCAGTTAAGCTAATTCGTAGAGTCGCAGTGATTTCGGACTTTCGGGCAACCCATCTTGCACATCAGTTTTCAAGAGCTAGTGCAATTTTCGAATCGCCGTGTATGTCTTTTAACAAAGAAAACTGACGTAAAGCCTAATGTGCAAGCTTGCAATTGAACTTTTTTTCGAAATTAACCGTTTAAGCACCCACTTGAGAACAAACACCCCCAAATAGTACGATTACACTACAATACGAAATTCATATGCTTTTTAAAATTGTAAGAATACAAATTTTAAACTTTTAGATTACGGTTTTCTTCTGTTCCGCGGACCCGGTCTCTACAACTGAGCACTTAGCGCAGAGCGAACGCAATATTGCACGGCTTGTACGACAAAACCCGAACATGACTTGCATCTCCGGCTCAGCGAATTACAAGATAATCCTTTGCATCGTAGTTGTCATCCTCGTTTCGTGGGGACTCGGGATTTTAATCATCATCTCCACACTGGCCTATTCTCTCAAAACCGACGACAATCCGTATCAGGCTACCATTCGGCTGCAGTGGATGCTATTTCGTTCGCTGTGTGCGCAACTCGGCGCGACCCTAGTCTTCATGTACTTCCCATTACTAATATGGTTCATACTCGGCTATTTCGAGAGCCCCTACGAAATGACCGCCGGAACTATTGCCATTTCAATGCTGGCAATGCATTCCACCGTCGATTGTGCGATGATCTTGGCGTATGTTAGGCCGTATCGACAGACAATCAAACGGTTTATTTTGGGACAAAAGGCCGATACGACGGTGTCGGTAGCGTCGAAAGGAGCGATAAAACAGAAAAGCTCGGGGAATACGATTCAACATCATTTTCGAGGAAGGGCAGAGGTGACGGTGTTCACGATGAGAAAGTGTAAAGCGAGCATTTTTTAACCATCAGGGAGTAAAAGTTCTTTCTTGTATCGGCGCCTATTTCTTGTCAGACTGAACCACCGAACTTCGAGGATTTTCCCACGAGAAACTATCTTGATTTATTCAAATTTGATTGTACTTTTCTATTCCCTATAAAAGACCTCCTTTCCACTGAATAAATCACTTGTCTCTTGAGCTCTCGGTCGATTATTGGGTTGTCGGGCCTTTCGACAGTTCCCATTTGGAGACTGACTTTCAATTTGGCTTTCCGACTTCTCGATTCGACGAAGAATCGATCGACATCGACCGTATGGAAGGTAAAGCCCAAAAAAGAACACACAAGACGTGCGTACGGGGTCTGACAAAGCAGTTGGATGCTCAGCGGGTGCTCGGCGAACACTTGGCGGAAACTTGGCAAAGAGCTACACTTTGACCTCTTTTTTATATTATTTATTTCAAATGTGGCTTCTCGACCTGCACTATAGAAAAGATCAAAATTTGCTCCAAAAAACAAAGCACGTCAATCCAAAACAGAAGAAAAAACTTCCCGCCCCTTTTTGGTGATTCGTTCAAAACGAAATGTAACTTTCCGATAAAAAGCATTTTCTTATCTTTCTTCTTCCTTTTCGAGAAAAAGCAATTATTTCGGGCGGGAAAAAGCGCTGATAATTTCGCGACATTTTGTCTCTCTTTTAAATCAATGAAAACGATACGAAGTTTCGAAACGGTTCAGGAAATGCGCTGGATTGACGTGCCATAAGTTTTATCTGAGTGTTGTTGCAGTAGTTATGTAAAACCTCAAAATGGGTGATAAACTATCTATTTCCTTTAACCAAGCCTTCTCCTTTCCTCTACCATGCAAACAACGACAAAATCGAAATCACTCCCGCGACTTTGCGGACTAGTATCACGCCAGCTTTAAGTGACCTGCAAAAACCTTAAGGACCAAAAATCATCTCGACCTGATGTAAATACCGTGTTCACTACCCAACTTCAAACTTCCTTCTCTTTTATATAGCTGTGTAATTTATTTAGTCTTGAAATGTTTACTCGATCCCTTCCTACAAGAAGTTCAGCTACAATTTCAAACAAAAACGTACAAATGAGGATAAAAGCAGAGCACGGGGCTCTTAGCTCATACTTAGAAACTTAACATTCAATGCTCAACACGTTTGCTACAATGAGACCCGTCATATCGCAGATTAATCTGGTGTTTTCAACGATTTGGTGATGGATGACGACTTAATTATTCCACCAGCAAGTGCTGTGCAATTTTATCGGCTTTTCGACTACCTTTGCATGTCCCTCACTATCTTTTTGTTTACTGTAACCACATTTGCCATCGTTAAAAGTAAGTTGATTGTTCGAAAAGAGGTTATGAAAGGTTGTTTATTGGCTTGCTGAAAGTTTTGAATGTCTCTGTATGGCCTAGACATGGCCTTTGGGTTAGACCGAAGCAAATTTGATACGAGCCAGACTGTCTTGTGGTTTCATGGTCATAACATGTGCTGCAGTGGGGGTTTTGCCAATGGGGAGGTTATCCATTGGCAAAAAGCCTACCATTTTGCAGAAGCATCAAAAAATGTGGCAAAATACCTCCCTCTCTATGTGAAAAAAAACTCTGATTTCAAAAGCGCGCCCGCTTTTTGTGAGGGAAAGGGCGCGCCCTTCAAAACAAATTTTTTTTTCACTTGGAGAAGGAAGCATTTTGCCGCATTTTTGATTCTTCCCTTATGCAAAATGTTACGTTTTTTGCCACAGGCCCTCACTGTATCTGGCCGTGCATACGAAAGTTTGAAAAGGTCCGAGTCAAACCCCTCCGGAGGCAGACCGTCCAGCGATCATTTATTTTTGACTGTGTCTAGGATGGCTATACATTTATCTGTCGGGAAAATAATAAGCCTAATGTCAATCGCGGAAGTGAAAACAATTTGATTTTTCCGCAACTAAATTCATTTCCTCGGCGGCAATGAGATATTCGATGCGACAGAATGCTCATTATTTTTCCGACAGACAAATAGTATGATTCTGAAACTGTAAGCTCTTATCCGTTTATCCATCTCGACTTTTCAGCACCAGCCGCCTACCTCACTTTGTACCGCTACTTTCTACTTCACGAAATAATCTGGGCGTTTCTTTTTGACCTCATGATATCCCTGGTCATCCCAGTCGTCGATCTCCCTCATATTTGTTATCAGCCCAGCGGAGTATTGGGCAGCGCCTTGTCACATTACGGAGCGCACTTTTTCATCTACGTGTTGGTGCTGCTCTTGGTTGGCAAGGCGTATTCAATGTTTTTGTGCTGCTTTCATCGCTACGTCGTAGCGCATCAGTATACCAAGTACTCGTTCGAAGCTGTCCGCTATTTGAGTCAATTCAAAATGCCCTACACGCCGATTTTTTACTTCGCGGTTTTCGTGGCGAGCGTTTCTGCGCTCTGGGTAAGATTTTTAACATTTTATGCAGTTGCAATGCATTTCTATTCCTGTATTGTATTTTGTCTTTGTATTTCCGAGACATTTTGAACCCGAATACAAAATCCCGCAGTAAAATCGTAGAGTTATATTAAAGTGTCATGTTTCCTCATTGAGCCCACGTATATGTTGGGAAAACCACAAGGGTTTTTGATCTCGTGTTATAATCATCAGCAAGATATCAATGGGTTCATACAGTTTAGTCTGTCGGGAAAATAATGTGTATTCGTCGCGCCTTGGCCCATAAGATATTATATACTGATCGTTCTGCGACGGCTTGCCGTGGCTGGGGATATGGTTCGCAAACGGCGATGATACTTGACATTTTTCTGCAACAAATCCACATTATTTTCCCGAAGGATTAACACTAGTCGGTTCGTAAAATCGCCAGAGTGATTTCTACTATAATACATGCAGTCAGAGCGCGGGCGACGGCCAAAGAAAGCCATTCACATGATGTAAAAAATAACAAATTTCGCAGTGCAAATTGAACTTTAGTTTTCTCACAGTTCATGCCGGCGAAATCACTCTCTCGGCCTTCCGGGCGGACTAGTGCATACATATAATATATAGGGCTGACAACAGCGTCTAGATCAAAAACTGTGCTCTCCACGGCACAAGTGACATTTGAAAGTCAATTTAGACCAGGTGGTACAGTGGGGGACCTAATCTAGTGGCAAAAAACTTACCATTTTGCATCCAGAAAGTATCAAAAATGTGGCAAAATACGCGTGCCTGCTCTTTTAGCGACTTTTAAATGTGAGGGAAGCATTTTACCACGTTTTTGACACTTCCCGGATGCAAAGTGATACGTTTTTTGCCACTGGATCAGGCTCGTCATTGTAGTGAGTCTAAGGGCTAGTTTAAGACCTCTCTGTGATGATTAATTGATACAATGTAGGAATATCATTCTCACGTCTTTTGTACTTCAAGTTCAACCTTTCAGCTCCCCATCTACCTCTACTCTAACGACCCGCTTCTAACTACCAACAGTCTTCTCCAGGAAAACCACAAAATTCAACGTTTGCTTGCTGAATACCCGTCGATGACTTGTCAAGTTCTCTCCGACGACTATCAATACATTATCCTCACACCGATCGTCGTTCTGATTTTCTGGGGCGCCGGAATTTTGTTTCTCCTTCTCTCCATGGCGTATGTAATCAAGACCGACCCCAAGACGTACATGTCCACCCTTCGCTTGCAATTTATGCTGTTCCGATCGTTGTTGGCGCAGCTTGGCGCCACTTTATTCTTCATGTACTTCCCTCTGCTGATATGGCTGATTCTGTCGTACAACGAAAGCCGTTATGCGATGGCTGCGGGCCTTGTGGCAATGTGTTTGCTGGCCATGCATTCGTGTGTCGACAGCTTGGTTATTATGTTGTATGTGCGGCCGTTTCGACAGGCCATCAGTCAGTTGTTCGTCCGAAGCCAGGAGGAGTCTCTTTCGAAGAGTGGACGAAGTGCGGTGGCTGTGGCATTGAAACAACGTAGAAAATGCAGTAGCTCGGTTCGTGTTGATAGGACTTTTATGTGAATAAAGATATTACCTTTGACACTGGAAGTTCACCAAAAAAATAACCTTTGACACTTGATTTTCACTAAAATGGTAAGTGTTTAAAGTGCAACGCTCAAATTTGCTTCAAATTTTGCACACACATCACCCGGGCTTCATAAATCAATGACTGAAAGCTTTAGCTCGCGCTTTTCAGGCGAAGCCGAGATATTCAGCGGTTTTGCGGTTGAAAGACTGCGTGAGAAGAGGAGTTTCGCCCCGAGATAAAAAAAATTTTTTGCCATACATTTTTTGTGAAAAGATTGCCTTCAAATTTTCATGTCAAAGGTCACAAAACTGTGGGGCATTTATCTAAATTTCGATGTAAAAGTTTCGGTCTTTTCTGCCAAACGCAGGCTTAGAGTTTGGCTTTTTTAAAGCTCACATCCTATGAGGAATACCCTCTAAGTCTCTGTAAAATATTCCCACAATCCCCCTCTATCTTCAACCAATCCCTATAGTATTATTTCAAGTGAATTCGCACTTGTAATCACCGCTGAACACTTGGTTTGTCCTTGTCGAAGACCAAAGCCGCTTTTCCACGCTAATCCTCGAATTTGATGGGCGGGAGAGGCGCTTAATCGTTCGGAACTTGATCCGGAAACCCTGTGGAAGCTACAGCCTCTAAACAAACATAAACATCAGCATCTAATATTAGCCAATCCGAAATTTACGAGCTGATTGAGAGCGAAACCGCAACTAATCTCCTCAACATTTCACAGGGATCAATTCTTCGAAGCCAAATGATCAATCAAACAGCTTTTTCGGGACACAAAAGCGATCATTTGTCCATCGCCCGGTCAATTTTCTCCTCCCGGAGCGTCTAGCGCGCAGCCAGTAGAACATATTTTTGGAGCCGCGAACTCCCCCCACATTTGCGCTGTACGCAAATCGCTTAAAGAGCGGCTGGGGGGATTATGACGAGAATAATGGAGATCGGGGGGAAACCGGTGCGCTGCTGCAGACCTCGCTTCATCTCCCCATAATTGCGCCCCCACCGAAACAGACGCAACTATATCGGGAAACTGGAGTATGTCACGTCGGTGTTAGCGGGATGAGGCACGGAACATGATCGTCGTGCTCGTGGTGCTCGCGGTGATCGATGTCGCGGTGGGTGGGGTCTGCGACACGGCGCTGGACTGTCGGACGTGCTTGTCGACGGTGGATGGGATATTGCCTTGTCAGTAAGTGGAGTGCTTGTCATCATTGCAATAAGATATCAGTCTGTGGGGAAAATAATGAGTATAATTTCGCTCATGTTTTTCCTGTCGATAGTGTCGCTGAAGTGAAAAGCAAATTGATTTCCCACGACACAATTCATTTTCTCGGCGGTGAATTTTCGATGCAACAGGGGACACAGTAAAGCTATCTGATCGTCTTTGGTTATGTACTGTCGAAAGGCCCGACAACCCAGTAACGAGACGAGACGAGAGCTCAAGAGTCAAGTGATTTATTCAGTGGAAAGGAGGCCTTTTATAGGGAAGCCCCACGTAGGAAAGTACAATCAAATTTGAATAAATACAGATCGTTCCTTCTGGGAAAATCCTCGAAGCTTGGTCGTTCCGCCTTACATGTACTTTTCAAAGTAAATGGCCACACTCTTTTTGAAGATTTACACATTATGATGACTATTCCAAATCATCGTAATATAAGGATTCTAGGCCACAATATGCTGCTTTGTAGTCAGGATTCTTCCTTTGTGGTGCATTGGCTTTATAAAAGCCTTTTACCACATCTTCCTGTACACGACGTTTTGAGTGAACGATTTGTTCTCTTCTTTTCGTCTCTTTTAGGAATTTCGTTTTCGATTTCCCGACAGACTGATACGGTAAGAGGTTCTATACACAGCCAAGCCTGTGTACAACCAATGCCAAATAAAGAATTTATTCACTTAAAAAGGCCTCCTTGTACAGGGAGACATTTTGGCCTAACATTCATTCTTAGAACCTTTGAAATTGCTCGCTATAGAGAGGAGGTTTTGTAGCACTAGTCCTCCCTGAAAGTCGCAGAAGTGATTTTTGGCGTCTGCAGAAAAAAATCAGGATGCTAACGGCAGCCGAAAAAAGCTATGAGCACTGAGCAAAAAACAAGAAACTTGTTTTGCTCGGAGCAAAGCAAACTTTGGTTTTTTAACAGTGCCTGTCACCGCTTTCAGTCCGGCAAAATTTCGAATTGACTAGTATGGAAGTATCAATTTTTCTAGACCTTGCGATATTCGTACCATCATTTTCTGTTGTAGATGGTGCACAACGACATTCCGCTGCTCCAACTCATTGGAGATTCTCTCCAGCTGCACCTCCGAAGGCCGGGTAACCTTGTGCTACGACTGTCCATTGGCTCCGAATGGGCAACATGTTTACGTGGATTCCTTCGCCAGACAAAAAGCGCTGCCTTTCATTGCTGCTGCCAATGCGAAAGACGATTATACTGTAAGGTGATTTTTTGAAAGTCCAGTAAAATGATTACTGTCGACTTTTCAGGCCCAGACCTGCATCAGCAACAACATTCCAGGAACGATGATCTTGAAGCGATACTCACTACCTTGTGATCTCATGATGGTAAGCGAATTTTTGTAAATCCATTTTGTGGAAATGTAATCCTGTCGGGAAAGCAATGAGTCTGTCGCATTGAAAATCGCATCGCCGCCGAGAAAATAAATTGTGTCGCCGCAAAATCAAATGGATTTTAACTTCAGCGACACGATCGGCGTAGCCACATTGTGCTCATTGTTTTCCCGACAGACTGATGTTCTATTTATTTACTTGCGTCCTGAAATTTAAGAATGAATGCCTCGCAATTATTGGATTCTCACCCACCGACAACGCCGTGATTCTCACTTTCCGCAGTACCGACAGCACCTCTCAGGTAGATTTGTAAAACAGTATACAGTAGCGGCCTGATCCAGTGGCAAAAAACATACCAATTTGCAGCCGGGAAGTATCAAAAATGTGGCAAAATACCTCCCTTTCCCAGTGAAAAAACTCCGATTTCAAAGGCACGCCCGCGCTTTTTGCGCAAGGAAATGGCGCGCTCTTCAAAACGGAGCCTTTTTATTTGGAAAGGGAGGCATTTTGCCACATTTTTGATACTTCCCAGATGCAAAATGGTACGTTTTTTGCCGTTGGATCTGGCCCCCACTGTACATAATCTATTAACCACTATAAACTTCCATTTTCAGCTCCTGGTCGAAGCACTAAACTTTATGTTCCAAACAACCAAAGATTTCCAACCAGTGGGTGGGAAAGTGGTCGCTTATTTCTACGACGCCTTTTTCGCCCTATGGAATGGCGGACTGGAGCGAGAGATGTCGGCCGTCCTGCGGGAACGCCCCTCATCCGATGTCTGGGTCTTTGGCCATTCGTTGGGAGGCGCGCTAGCATCGCTAGCGGCCTCGTGGATGTCGCGGCACGGCATGGTCAACCCGGAAAAGCTGAGGTTCCTCAGCTTCGGACAGCCGAGAACTGGGAACCTGTTTTATGCTCAAGCCTTTGATTTATTAGTAAGTTGGAGGTTGAAGTGGAGATCGGGGTGGGCTTGGCACCATGTAGCCAAATGGTAAATACGGGTCGTTTAGGAGACTGCCAGTTTGGGCGATGAAGGATTTGATGACTGTTTTGGGCAAGAAACGAAATAATATATATTATATCATGCTGGCAGAAAGGCTTTCAATTTTTGATAACTCTTTTTTGGTCACAGCCTTTTAAAACTTGACATAAAAAAATGTAATAGTGACTATCAGTAACTACTATACAAATCTCATCATCTGACAATGAATGCGACAAGGTATCTTCAGCAGAGAAGCCAGAGGAGTAATATAAGATATTTCTGCAAAAAAATCATTTCGGAAATGGCCGATCTCCCGGCCTTTTTAAAAAAAACGTTATTTTCAAACAATTTTTCCTCGTCACTAAACACTAGTTCAGGTGCCATACAAGTACCGAGTAATCCACCAAGGAGATCTGGTCACAAAGCTCCCCATCAAAGTTCCACTAACCGCCTTCACTTTTCATCATCATCGATACGAGGTGAGGCCTCAAATCTCAATCTTTCTACCTCCTCAAATTTCATCCAAAAATTCTATATAAATCTTCCAGGTTTACTACCCAAACGACATGACCAGCACCGAGCCGTTTGTTGTTTGCCTGCGGGCCGAAGATCCCTGCTGCAGTCAGGCCTGCAATTTGGGCGACGCGACGGTCCATCGCAACTACTTTAACGTCACACTCGCGGATTGGCCAAGCATAGGTTGCCAGCTGCCGCAGGATCTCTACAAACTGTTCGCCAAGCCCTGGTGGGAGCCGGGCCAGAGGAGGCTCTATGGAAAGTAGGGTAAATACGCTGGTAGCCAGTCTGGTTTGGTTGTATACTTGATTAATAAATTTAGTACTGGAGAGGCAGAACTTTGAAATTTCAGTTTATTGTCCAAATTACGCAAAGATCATGTGAGAGGGGAATAAAAAGTAAGGGATAACATTATGTACAATATCAGAAGACGATACATATAGGAAGAAAACGGGACTATAGAAGCAATTTGATGAGATTTTTTTGGCAAAAACTTTTTTGAAATTCATCAAATGACTCTAGGACTCTGAAAAAAAAATTTTGCGAGATAAAAACATGCGCGCAAATTTTTTAATTCTGAAAAAGGGCCAGATTTCAGTCGAAAATCTTGAAGGGTAGCAGTATTGCGATCTTAATCGCCAAAAAAATCACAAAAATCAAAATTTGGGTCCCACCACGAAAACCACCAAATGTGGTAAAGGATTGGATTTTGCTTCCAAATTCCTGAAACAGCTAAAAGAAAACCCAAAATCTCAAAAAATGTACAAAAATCGACAAAAAAATTAGCGAAATTTTGGGTCCCGGCACGAAAACATTGGAATTTAAAATTATGCCTTCAGAGCCGAGATGTGGAGAAAACCGAAGTGAACCTTCAAAAAAATGGCCAAAACATCAAAAAATTCCAATTTTTACGTGCACATGGCCATCTTCCTGACGCCCTTCACTCTCCTCTTCTGCTTCTTCACCTTGCTCTTGGTGTACATCCCGCAGAAGTTGCAGGTCAGCGGGCACATCTTCGACAACAGCTTGAAGTACTGCGGTTTTTGGCAGAGGTCCAGCTTCGCCAAACAGTCGGGCGACGTGTCTTTGCAGCCGAACAGAAAGTCCAGCTCGTTCTTGGTGCGCTCCGTCTCACAATGGCCGCAGGTCTTGGGGCAGCGGAAGACGGCCATGTTGCGGTAGTCGCGCTCCTTGCAGATCAACGGCTTCAGCTTCGGGTCTTGGCAGTTGAGGTAGGTGTCGACGCAGAGGAGCGGCAGTTCGGCGGAGAGTTGAGCGAGGAATGGGAGGAGGAGCAGGAGGGAGTGGAATAGCATCGTCTGAAGGGTCGTATTTAAAACGAGGAAAACTTTGGTAAAATCGCACAAAAGTGTATTCGTTGGCGAAAGATGTATACAAATCTTACATAGCATGTTTGTAAAGTCGCTAAAGTTATTTTTGACGCATGCACCGTACAGAAAGTTAGGGTGCAAACGGCAGCCCAAAAAAGCCTATTGCACGGTGCAAGAACCAAGAAATTTCAGTGCAAAAAAAGGCCTTATTCGCACATTGCATATAAGAGGGGTTCCGGGTAAATGCTTTTTTTTCGGCCATCATGCTCAGCCACGCATTTTGGCCATGCCAACTTTTATGTCTCGCAACTTGCAGAGCTCAAAACCGGATAAGATGTGTGTTAAACGGTACAATGGAAAGAACTATTCGCAAATGGCGCAGTTTTTGCTTATTGTGTGCCCTGTACAGTGCAGAAGAAAAAATTCTTTTGTCCGAAAAGCGTGGCCAACCATCATGGCCGAAAAACATGAATTTATCCGAAACCCCTCTTATATCTCCGAAATCACTCCAACAACTTTGCAAACGGACAATTTGACAAAGAAGAAAAGTAGAAAACATGGAACAAGCCGTGAAAGGCGTGTACAAAGCCCAAGCATGACAAAGCATGATATAAAATAATTTTATGTATCATCCTGTCGGGAATACTGGCAGATATAGCGCGATGAGCCGCCGTTATTTTCCCGACAGACTGATGTTTCCATCGCATTTCAAAGAAACCCTTTTCCGAACCATAATGATGCCAAGATCAAGACCATACCACCACCTTATAACCCTGTCCAAAATAGACTTGCTGCCTCGTAACCCTGCTCGATATAGACTTGCATCCCTCAAAGACTTGAGTTTTTATACTCTAGCGCATTAGCCGTTCTCGTATTTGTTCAGCCGGCTTCACTGACCATTCAAAGTCAAAGAAAATCCGCAAAAAAGTAATGTGTTTATTCAGAAGGGCGGGTCATCCGTCGTTATTTTTGGGCGGTGTGATCGACTTCAGCTTTTTGTCCGCATCAGATGTCGAACTCTTGGACTGGCGCTGCTGAAACGGGAAACAAAATAAATTTTGTGTTACAATAAAGTATCGAGGCTCTCATGAACTTCAATTCCTCTGCAACTGACAGGGAAAGTACAGTGGGAGACCTGATCCAGTGGCAAAAAATATACTATTTTGCATCCGAGAAGTATCAAAAATGTGACAAAATGCTTCCATCTCCAGGTGAAAAAACTCCGATTTCAAAAGCGCGCGCGCTCTTTTTGTGAGGGAAAATGCGCGCCCTTTAAAACAAGGCTTTTTACTTGAAGAAGGAAGCATTTTGCCACATTTCTGACACTTCCCGGATACAAAATGGTGCTTTCTTTGCCACTGGATCAGGTAGGACAATCGCAATTGGGGAAACGGAAAAATATTATCTTTCTTCGATGCACGTGTCGAAATCATGGTCATCGAGGGTGCTGATTTCGAAAATTACATTCATTTTTTTGATCTTTACTTGTTTCCTTAAGTAGTACAACAAAGTATAGTAAGCTTTTGAATTTTGATGCTTACAGTACTACTTACGGAAATAAGTAACTATCAAAAAGTGAGTGTCATTTTCGAAATCAGCACCATCGATTATCCTAAGTTCGACCCTTGCATCGAAGAAAAATAATAATTTTCAGTTTCCCCAATCGCACTTTTCCCCGATCGTCCAACTCCGCCGCAAGCGCAGGCCACCGCGAAAACATGTCAAGACTTTTTGACCCGCCGAGTACAAAAAAAATCTTCTTTCCCCGTATTTTACCCACCATTGAATTGGTCTTCGTCTCCGGAGTTTCGCAGCCAATCTTCGGAGTGACAATCTTCCTCTCCTCCTCCGCTTTCACCACCCCCAACAAATGCATGCATTTCCCCGGCAAACTTTGGCATTTCCCCATCATGCTCATGCATTTGCCCAGTGGCTTGGCGCGCTGATCATAGTCTTTGGGCTTCAGCCTCTTGCTCAGCTCTTGTTCGTCTTGCTGAATGAGTTTGGCCGGAACGCCCGACTGTTTCTCCTTCAGCCGCTCCATGGCGCGGTCCGATTCGCGGATTTTCGGGGCTTCCGCGGCTTCTGCCGAATTTTCTCGCGAAGTTTCGGTGGTGTCGTGGCTTTTGGAGGCCTTTTGAGGGTCCGGATCAAAGAGTTTGCTCATGTCCGCGGCCGAAGTTCTCGAATCCGCACCGCGAATCCGAGCGGCCTCCGGGTATTCGCGATGAGAATTGTCGGAGGAGAAATTCTAAAGAGTAGAAAAATCAAAAAAAAAAAAAAACTCAAAAAAAATCAAAAAAAAATTGGCCGTAGAATGCAAGTCAGAGATTTTAATCTTTATAAATCTATTTTAAATGTGCTCTATTTTAAATCTATTTTAAATTTGCTCCAAATTTCATCAAAATAATTGCAAACTCACGCCAGGTCTGCTCCGTTGAGCTGCAACAATTCCTTTGTTTCGCGTCGGATTTTTCGTTTTTTTACCTGGAAATATGACAGTAGAAGTGTTCGAGGTATGACGCTCAAATCTTCCTTGAATTTTGCCTACATTCGGTTTTGGTCACATAAGAAATTTCGGGAAATTTAACTCATACTTTGAAGGCTTAGCAGAAATATTCGACCGTCTTTGCCGCCGAGAGAGCACGCGAAACGGGGAGAGCGGTCAGAGAGAAACCCACTGTTTTGGTTATATCTTTGCCAGTTCCGCGAGGAAAAAAGTTATTTTTTGTGGAAACATTACCCTCTACAGTAGAAATAGCCATGAAATTTTTCATGCCAAAATTCTCAAAAAAAGTGTCACATTTTTGTCAAATTTCGACTTAAAAATCTCGGTCGTTTTATCAAAATGAGTCCAGTCAACCAAGAAAAAGACGTCCTTACTCGCACACCGAAGAAAGATTGCACATTCGATCAATATTACCAAAATTCCGACGGCAAAAAGCATGACAGGCCACCGCACTTGGTTGTAAAAAATATGAAATGAGGTGAAAAAATCAAATTTTTTTTGTTTTTTGGGGTTTTTTGACAAGAGAATGTTCAAAGTGCGACGCTCAAATTTTGATGAAACTTGACATGGAAAAAGTTCCTTATTTTGGCCACAACAAAGGTATTCCGCGAACAGCGCCCAAGCTTGGGCACTAAAGTTGGGAAAAAACGCTTCGACCTAGCTGGCACTGAATTACCATAATAGCTCTATAGTTTTAAGGTGCCTACGAAGGCTGTGACGACTCATTTAGTTCCATACGGAGGCAATAAGTTTAGTTCCGGACATGTTTCATCGTATAAAGTGTAAAATCACAGGCTGCAGCCGTTTTTGAAGGTTAGGGTGGTACGTAAAAAAGAAGGTACCTCGCTAACTAAATCCACACTGTCCGGGCATTGACAACGATGAATTGAGCGTGCACGCTAAATTTGGGCTAATTCCGAGCAGTTTCAGCAAAGTTATAAGTTGTGGCCTAAATAAGGAACTTTTATCACTTGACACAAATTTAGAATATTTTTTCTATATGACATATGCAGGACTCCTAGCTCACGCTTTGCAGAAATTACCAAGATTTTTTTGGTCGAAATTTGAAAAAAAGTATTTTTTTGAGAATTTTTGCATAAAAAATGTCATGCCTATTTCTACCATAAAGTGTAATGTTTCCACAAAAAATCAATTTTTTCCACGCGAAACTGGCAAAGATATCGCCAAAAAAGTGTTTTTCTTTTCTCTCTGACCGCTCTCCACTTTTCATATACTCTCTCGGCCAAAAAGCTCCTTTAATATCGTTCCTTCATGAGATTTAAAAATAGTTTTTTTGCAATCAATTTTTGCTACTTTCCAATCCGCAATCGTTGATGTCAATTCATCGTCAAATCCCACAACATTCAATATAAAAATAATATAAATCTTGACGCCTTTCCTGGATTTCCCGTTCTGTTCGTTCATTGACCCCGTTTCTGAACCGCCGCTTCGCATTGTTTTTAGTGGATTTGGGGTTTCCATTTATATAAGACGTCTGCAGCGGCGATATTGACTAATTTTACCACTTTTTGGAGGATTTTTTGTTGGAAAAATTTTTGGGATTTTTTGAAAATTTTTTTGATTTTTCTAAATTTTTCGCTGAAAAAAACAAAAAAGCTCTAAAATTTTTGCTTTGGCACATTTTTTTATAAAACAAAATATTTTTAAAAAAATATTTTTTTTCGATTTTTATATATTTTTTTTATTTTTTGACAATTTTTTCTCCGCTTGCAAACCCTGTCTTATTCAAATTTTTACGACATTTCTCTTTTCAGGTCGAAAAAAGTGATGAAAAAGTAAGCACAAAAAAAATCAAAAATCATGGTTAAGCTCGGACTGTGGTCACTATTTTTATTTTCCCTGGTAAATTTCGCTTATTCCGAAGGTGAAATTGGAGACGAAAATGGGTTAGAAAGCTCTGGAGAGCTTCCGGAACAGAAAAAGCGCTCCAAAGCAGGCTGTAATCGTCGATGGGTAAGGAAAAAAAAGATTTTTTTACATAAAAATCACATGTTATTAGTTAAAAATTTTTTTAATCAAAAAAAACAAAAATTTTTTAAATCAAAAAATTTCAATTTTTAGCTTGGCGGTTCTCGAACCTTCTCCCCAAACGACGTCGACGAAGATGATGACGACACATCGTATTCGAAAAGAACAGCTCATCAAGATGTCTATTTATGGCCCAGTTTGAGCGATCGGGACCGGCAAGTCATCCGAGACGCGTTCTTCCAAATTTCGAGGAGGACTTGTATAAAGTAAGCTTTGAAAAAAAGTTTGAAATTTCCATCAGTTTGTCGGGAAAATAATGAGCGAAATTGCGCATCGAAAATCGCATCGCTCAAGTCAAAAATTTGATTTTTGATACAACTTGATTTTCTCGGCGGCGATGCGATTTTCGCTGCGACATTTTGCTCATTATTTCCCCGACAGACGAATATCTAATAGCCCTTCCATTAGAAAAAAATATTTTTTTCATTCTTTTCAGGTTCGAAGAGCTCGATTACAAGCCCTGGTACCATGCCGACCGTTGGCAGGAGGACAAACCATACGTTGTGATCAAAAAGAGCAAGAAATTCAGTGGTAAGAACCTTTTTTAAAATTAAAATATCCAAACAGATACGCCATCTGCCTTGGCTTTCTTAACAATTGCAATATACAACACAATTTTGAAATTGCCATCTCAAAAGTCTTTCAGGTTACACCGACAACAACATTGAGGACGTGACGCAACGCTCTTTGATCTACCTCTCCGAGAAAGCGTTGAACGAGGAGAACTTCAACAACTCGCGAGGAATGGTGATGGAGCAGCTCCTTCGTTACATGGGATACCGCGAAGAGTACTTGCGGCCGGACGCCGCCTCGTATATCCAGCCAAAGAAGAAGATCAAGATCAAAAAAGCGATCCCTTCCTTTTCGGAGGAACAACTGCAATGGCCGTTCGATCCGGAAAGTATTACAATCCCGTCGCAGGCAAGGAACTGGTATACAGTAACTTTGTATTGCAATGGAAGAGAGGACAAGGATATTGGGAATGGGCAACGTGCCGGGCTGCTGACACGGTAAGGTTTGGTATCACACGTCAAAAAAATTCTAATTGAAAAACCAAGGAATCCCGGACCATTGATTTTTTGCGAAGTGCCACAGAAAAATCGCCTACACAGTTAGCCAAAGTGTTCGCTTGGCCTTTATATCTCGAAAATGGCTGGCAAAAGAGTTGAATTGGATTTCGACTGCCCACGTGGAAACTTCAGCGCCTCCACATGGGCAGTCAAAGGCCAATTCAACTCTTTTGCAAACCATTTTCGAAACACAAAGGCCAAGCGAACACTTTGGCTAACCGGGTAGACGATTTTTATGCCAATACAAAGGTTTGGCTACCAATCCAACTCTTTCGCTGGCCATTTCGTTGATTTGGATACCAATCTAGCCCCTGAAGTAGATTAGTTACCACAATAGGTCATAATCAATATTTGTGGGTCGTAATCGTACTAGCTCTTGCTAGAAAATCTTCTCTTCAACCGAAATGCCTGGTTTGTGATACTTTTTTTTACCAAATTTGATCCTGACCGGTCTTCATCGTATTTTTTAACCGTCAAAATCTTTACTTAATGTTTTTCCTTTCAGATGGGACGCAGTGAAACTCAATAGCATGTACTGTCCGCACATGGTTGGCTTTGCGGATCCGACAAAAGGACCGTGTGTGGTGAAGAGAAAAGGGAAAAAGAAGAACGACTTCCGCATTTGAAGTCCTACTTATGCCTCCAAATCGGGCATTCTAATATTCTGACATCACACCATGTCGTAATTTCTCATCTCCCGTGCTTAATAACATCGTAATCTCTCTAATTTCGATTCAAATCGCAAAAAATAAAACTCAAAATATTTTTTGTCAGTATAATGTGGTAATAAATACGTAAAATTGTCGGAGTACCGAAATTTTTCCAAATTCATCCTTTTTTTCAACGAAACAAAAAATTTATATTCTCTATGCCTAACTATTGGTGAAATGGAATGTTCATAATGAAAAAGATTACCCGACAAAAAATTTGATATGGCAATATTGCACAATGTGTTTGGAAGACCACATAAACAAAGTTAAAGTAAGTAACAATTAAAACAATTGATATAAAACGTATTCGTGATCAAAAATGACAAGAAAAGTATACTGTACTGAAAGATATAATTAAATATGGCTAGTCATGACTGTTTTTTGGCTATAAATATCCGATTTGGCCAATTTCAAGGGATTTGGCAAAAAAAATCGAAATTGAAAAAACAAATTGTTTAGTAAATCGACCGGTCGATAAAAAATTTTCGCTAAAATTTGATTTTGAACGCTCCAAAGTTCCATAAAATGCCCTCAGGCAGCTTAAAAAATATTTAAAAATTTAAATTAAAAAATCGACCGGTCGATATTTTCAGACCTCTAAAAAAATTAAAAAGTTCAAAAAAAGCTACCGTAGCCTCCGAATCACAGGGATATTGGTCAAACTGACATTTTCAAAGACATCAAAGAATAGATTTTGAATGAAAGCTCTGGCATCGGCGCTGAAATTCGCGTCCGACAGGAGCAAGAGGACGTCCGCGTAGAGGCAGGGATGTGTGAAGAGGGCGGGATTTTGGTCGTACCAGCTGAAACAAGTGATTATTAAAATTCTTATTGTGAGAAATAAATATAATCAACAACATGCTACGACGTATTTTACATTTTTTACAAAAATTTGAACGAGCATTTTTAAAATAAATTAATTCGAAATGAGTGTTTTGACGTTGTTCTTGAAGGTTGATGGCGTGTTTCCCTCGCGAATCCAACTCAAGCGCTACGCATGAAGCGTGAAAAAGCTCAACGATTCACTACGAACTCTCTAGCCGACAATTGCGACCAACTTGCCTTTGGGCAAGACGTTACAGTTTTTCACAGCACAAGGGGTTCAAAACATAATTTCCCGGTTTAAATACCCAAATCACACGTGGTAATTTCGACATTTCAACCGAGTGCAGTCTCTGAGGTGGAGGGCAGTTGGTTTTTGAAAAGTTATAATGGAGGGTCATGTTCTTGGCTAAGCCAGATACAGTGGGGGGACCTGATCCAGTCGCAAAAAACGTGCCATTTTTCATCCGGGAAGTATCAAACATGTGGCAAAATGCTTCCCTTTCCACGTGAAAAAACTTCGTTTTGAAGGGAGCGCCCTTTTTCCTCACGAAAAGAGCGGACGCGCTTTTGAAGTCTGACAAGGGAAGTCGTTCAGATCGCAAATGAACTATGACTAGGGCTCGAGACTTCGCAGCCTGCGGCTGCTCACGTCTCGAGGGCAGCCCTGCGCCCGGTTTCGCTGCTCTTCGCGCGATTTGGACCTGTTCAACGTCCAAAACAACATAAACGCTCGCCAAAGCTTTGCCGACGGCCTCCGGCCGCGGCAGAAAAACGCTACGCGTTAGACTGAGCCTAGTAGCAACTTTTTAGGTCGAGACGTTAAGATTGCTAAGCTTACCCTAATCGCTAATCTCAGGTCAAATCGCTAAGCCCGACTAAAGAGCCCGCCGGCATGAGGCGACGGCCTACGGCCGCCACGAGACTACATTTTGTTACCTAAAATAATCTTCCTTCCACCAAAACTTGATCAGAAGCTCATACAATAAGGAAAAATCAACTAAAACCTCGAAAAAATAGACTCAGCACTCAAAACTATCCAAATACACTATTTTCCCCGAAATCCCCGTCAAATTTGGACCTAAAACGGCCAAATCCCGAGAATCCAGGGCCAAAAAAATAATTTTACAAAAATTTCTCAAAAAAATCCAGAAATCCCCGTCATTACGCGTCACGATGACAGTTTCCGTACCACCCTCCTCACACTCAGCACTCTCTCCGTCTTATCTCTGACCGAAATCGAAAGAGAAAACCTTTGTCTAACCACCCTCTACCCCTTTCCCACTCTCTCTTTTCTCCCGCCAAACGAAGAAGGAAGCGGTTCTCTGCCCGCTCTCTCTTTTCGCCGCGCTCTTTTTTTGTGTTTTCGGTCATGGAAGTGGGCGTTTTTTCAAAACTGGCACTTGTTGCACTAAAAGTACCGGGAAAAAAGATACGACTATATCCAAAATGACATGGAGGTTCCGAATATGCAACCTTTAGACCGATTGTAGTTAGAAATTTTCAAGTTTTGACGGTTTTAAAAATTTTAAATTTTTTGGTGTCAAAACTCGCCGAAAGATTCTGCCATGGGGATTACATCGACAGGTGTAATTCAACCGGCATCGTCAACCCAGCAAAATTCCCGAGGGGATGTTAGAGCCGGATTTTTGAATTTCGACCTTGTTCCCGAAATAATTCCACTTTCGTACAATAAAGTAAAATCCAAAAATTCTGAAATTCGAATACTGCCTTTTGACCTTGTCCGTATTTTAGGAATTGATACCTGTTTCTATAGCAGTTCAACGTGCTGAATACGATGGAGGTATATAAAATCCGAAAAAATTCCGTTTCAAGCCCCCAGGGCCGAATTTTGGCCGAAATTTCGAAATTTTTTTTCGGCCGCACGGTGCGCACGGAATATTGCAGGTAGAAAGCTGAAACTTGGCATGATGGTAGTTCATTTTGTGTCCTATAGCACCCATATGATCAATTTGTTCAAGTCCGCTAATTGCCCTAAGGGCGATTTTTTCGCACGGTGCACCAAAAATTGACCGAAATTTCCGGCGGCTCTGACGGCCGTAATTTTAAAGATACGAAGAAGATGTAAGCGGGTAATTTGTAGAGCTCTTCGAGCTCTACAATCTATTGTTGGACATTTTTGACATTGTTGTTGTACATCAGGGAGAAAATTTTGAAAAAGTCAAAATTTTTAAAATTTCGAAAAATTGCGTTTTCAAGTATTTAGATTTTCTGAAACGTTGGCCATGTAGAATGTTCTGAAAAAATTTAGGGAGAGTCTTCGGGCAAAAAAAGTAAGATCAGCGAGCCGTTTTTTTGAATTTCGACCTGGGAGCCGAGAACGATTTTTTTGAAATTTGCACTGTGCAAATCGTATTTTTTACAGTAAGCCAGAGCTAAAATACGAAGGCGAGTACGGGAATGAAAGACACGTACTAATAGGAAGTCGAGCACGTAGAATTCAATGGAATCGAAAAAATCCAGAAAATCCGTCATCATGACGGGGTTTTCTGGAAGTGTAACCTTGTACATGGCCGTATCTACACATACATTGAGATATCTCTTAGTTATGAATTTGCTTTCCCGATATGGACCTGTAGAAGCTTGCATTTCAATATTCCCCGGTCTAATTAAAAGAGAGAAAAAAGGTCTTTTTTTGAGATTTTTTTCGTAAATTTTGAAATTTCGAAAAAATCTCGACAGTGATTGTCCCATTATGTACCATACGCGACGAAACCAAAAATCAAGTCGATACCTATAAAACGAAGCGAGATATAGTAGCTCAAAGTTTCGACTTTTCATGACGTCATAGGTCACTCAAAATTGAAAATTCCGAATTTTTTTTTCAAATACTCAAAGAGAGCATCTAAAAGAACCACCATACCAAAAATCAAATCAATCGGGGCAAAAAAAAAGTATAACCACAAACCCTATGAATACTTGTATTTTTTTTTAGACATGAGACCTGTGTGGTTTTATAGTCACATACTCTACTATATCGAATATAAAGGCATTTTTGCGTCTGGGCCCCCGCGGCCGAGAAAATCGACTATAAAGTTTCGCAAGAAGAGAGCGCCGAAAAAGTCCTCTCTCCGAAAGCAAACCCAAACAGCTGCCCAGTTGGCCGAGTGGAAAGAGCGCTCGTCTAACGAATCTTCTTTTGGGTCGGGGGGCTGGGTTCGATTCCTTTCACCTGCAATGTAAAGGGTAAGACTACTGTGTACACTACAGTATGCGTAAAAAAAATTTTTTTTGTGTTTTTCCAATTTTATGTAGATTTGTGCCTTTTCTTGAGACAAAAACAAACAAATAGTCGACTTTTCTCCAGACTGTTAAAAATGGCATGACTTGGAATGGTAATCGGAGAGCTTCCTGCGGCTACGCCGCAAGGCTATCGGAAAGTTGTCGAAAGGAAGTAAAGTGATTTTTTATCACTCTTTGATTTTGTTTGGACATGGGATTGGCGCCTAAAAATGTTGTGGCTCTCCTCTTGGCCGAGTTCGGAACCGGGAACTCCGAAGACGCGACTTACGAGGAGACTCGGATGGCAACCCGACTGAAGATTCTGCTGTCTCAAGCGGCGGAAGACGCGAATATTGAGGTTCAAACGGACGATGAGATTATGGACAACAATAGCAGTGGGGACGAGAATGACGATGACAGCGACTTCGAATTGGACGTTGAAGGCCATCAAGAACGTGATGAAAGAGGAACTGGAGAGATATGGATGGGACGAAAATTCGTGTCGCTAGATCAAATACGAGCAGTCAAACGATATTGGCTATCGTCGAATCGATCGGTTGGCGCTGTCAGGAAACGGTGCAGGTTCATTCGAAGCGACTACTACTGGAGAAAGATGACGGACCTGTGGAAGAAAGGTAAGGCTACAGTTTGTTGATGATTTTTTTTGTAGATGAAGTTGTCGCAGATCGGCGTGTTCGCATAAAGAAGCTGGCTTCTGATCTTTTTGAGTGGGCGAAGGAGAGATTGTCGACTGGGACTTCCGATCCGATTACCATTCCAAGTCATGCCATTTTTAACAGTCTGGAGAAAAGTCGACTAAATTTGTTTGTTTTTGTCTCAAGAAAAGGCACAAATCTACATAAAATTGGAAAAACACAAAAAAAAATTTTTTTACGCATACTGTAGTGTACACAGTAGTCTTACCCTTTACATTGCAGGTGAAAGGAATCGAACCCAGCCCCCCGACCCAAAAGAAGATTCGTTAGACGAGCGCTCTTTCCACTCGGCCAACTGGGCAGCTGTTTGGGTTTGCTTTCGGAGAGAGGACTTTTTCGGCGCTCTCTTCTTGCGAAACTTTATAGTCGATTTTCTCGGCCGCGGGGGCCCAGACGCAAAAATGCCTTTATATTCGATATAGTAGAGTATGTGACTATAAAACCACACAGGTCTCATGTCATAGTTCATTTGCGATCTGAACGACTTCCCTTGTGAGTTCTTTCACTTAGAGAGGGAGGTATTTTGCCACATTTTTGATGCTTCCCGGATGTAAACTGGTACATCTTTTGCCACTGGATCAGGCCCCTGTACAAACAAAAACCATTCCAGATCATGGTGATTTACAAGTCCACCTGCCCGGACCTCCCACTGCCCGAGAAGAAAGTCCATGAGTATATCTTTGAGTATATCCGAAAACACGAAGCGGAACGACCACACCAGCCAATGTTTATCGACTCATTGACGGGAATTGTCACCACCGGCACACAAATTATCGAGCGGACCTTGTCCTTGGCCAATTTCTTGAGAGAAAATGGCTTCGAAAAGGACGACTTCATAGTGACGCCGGTCGAAAATGGATGGCCATATGTGTGTGCGATGTTGGCGGTCAGCATGCTGGGCGGCGGAGTGGCTGGCGCGCATCCCAAGAACAGCGCTTGTAGGTGTTTTTCAGCCAATTTATTGAGCATTTGCAGCTTTCAGATGAAATTTCACATCAGGTTCGCTTATGCAAAGCAAAATTTGTCATGTGTCAAGATCACGTTCTCCCCAAGATTTTGGAGATCCTCGACGACTGTGCGTTGGTAAAAACAATCATCACGGTTGGTGATAAAGTGGAAGCCAGCACCAAAAAAGTTCCAGTGGTTCGGATTGAAGACATTATCAAGGATGTCTTGGAAATCGCACCAGAAGACTTCCCTCAAGTTGACGTTGATATCAAAAAGAGTGTGTACTTCTTGCCTCCATCGAGGTGAGTTAAATTGGGGAAAACTACGGAGCTTTGCGAAGTAAATGAACGTACAGTGACGGACCTGCTCCAGTAGCAAAAAACGCACCATTCTGCAACCGGGAAGTAACAAAAAAGCAGCAAAACACTTCCCTCCGCAACTCAAAAAAACTTCGTTTGAAGGTTTCTGTCACACAAGAGTGGGCGAACCCTTATAAACGGAGTCATTTTAGTTGGAGAGGGAGGTATTTTGCTGCGTTTTTTATACTTCCCGGATGCACAATGGTACGTTTTTTGCCACTGGAACAGGTCCGTCACTGTATGTGCAGCAACCCGTCAACAATCGCATGTAGAAAACCATTCTTTTCAGCGGCACAACCGGCCTCCCCAAAGGTGTCTGTCACACCCATTACAGTAACATGTATGCTCATTGGAATTTTGTCAGGTATGCCAAGCTCCAGTAATTTGATCGCGCGTTACTTCGTAGTAGAGCAAAACCGAATTTCTAATTTTCAGTGTAATCGCTGATCGTTTGTTAAACCCAAACTTCCCCAACTGGAACTGGCGCGACAACAAGGTCCTGCTGAACATGCAGCAAGGCTTTGCGTATGGCCATGGAACCACTTTCGTGTCTCTCGTCACCGGTTCGGTCGGCGTTTTTGTCCGCAAACCCGGTCCGGACCACATTTTCCACTGCATTGACAAATACCAGATACGACTGTTGTATGGGCATCCAGCCTTATTTCAGGCTCTGACTGTCTGCAAGCAGCAGAATCCGGAAAAACTCTCGACTCTCGTAGCGGCGCTGACGAGTGGCGCGCCGCTGAAAGAGAAGGTCGCCAAAGAGTTTATGAGCACGTGTAATGTGAGCGTGCTGCAAATGTATGGCATGACCGAAGGTATGGTAGCCATGGCCGCAATCGACTCTCCGATAACTTCCGTTGGAAGGCCGATGACGAGGACAGAGTTGAGGATTGTGGATGCCGAAACGGGCGAGGAATTGGGGTAGGAGTTCGTAAGAATCGCTTGTTCATATCCTAGCTACAGTGAGGACCTGATCCAGTGACAAAACACGTAGCATTTTGCATGGGAAGTATCAAAAATGTGGCAAAATACCTCCCTTTTCAACTAAAAAAAACTCCGTTTTGAACTGCGCGCCCTTTCCATTACAAACAGAGTGGGCGTGCTTTTGAAATCGGAGTTCTTTCACTTGGAGAGGGAGGTATTTTACTGTATTTTTGATACGTCTTGGATGCAAAATGGTACGTTTTTGGCCAATGGATCAGGCCCGCCACTGTAAGTGCGCAACTGCAAATGCATGCCTTTTAAATATTGTAGCGAAATTGAAAAATACAGTTGGTTTCACCTATGAGTCTGTCGGGAAAATAATGTGAAGTTTTCACAAGAGACACACAACTCCAGCCACGACCAGCCGCAATGATGGGCGATTCCAAGGCTTGGCGAATCCACATTATCTTCCCGACAAGCCGATATAAAGCGCCGATGTTATTGCCAAGACTTTCACACTCTAACTTATAACCAAGAGACCTTCATAATGTCATCTCTCGCAAATCTATTTTAACATTCTCCTTTTCAGTCCCCAGGAAGTTGGAGAGCTTCAGTTCCGCAATCCGACCATGTCTACTGGATACCTCAACAACCCCGAGACCACGGCCGAGTTATACACCACAGACGGCTTCCTAAACACGGGAGACATCGGCTACGTCGACGAACAGCAAAATATTTTCATTGTAGACCGGAAAAAAGAGATGATCAAGGTGCAAGGGAAATCCGTTGCACCGGGCCAACTGGAGGACCTGCTGTATACAAACAAGAAAATCAGAGAGTGCTGTGTGTTCGGGGTGCCCGATGACACGCTGGGAGAGAGTATTTGGGTGTTCGTTGTGAAGCGGGATGAGAGTTTAACGGAGAAAGAAGTTATTGACACCGTAAATCGTAAGTTTTCTATCGGAAAAAACGCGTGATTTTCCACCGTTTCAGCGAACATTCTGGATTACAAACAAATCACGGGTGGAGTTGAGTTTGTGGACGTCATTCCGCGAAACACAAATGGCAAAATGTTGCGGAGAAAGCTGAGAGAAATCGTCATGTCAAACAATAATATTGCCGCATGAACAAAAAAAATTGTTGCACCATTAAAACAAACGGCATTTCTTTTTTTTTCTTCACTTTATTCCGCGTGATTTGACGGAAATCAAGGTTGATTTCGGGGTTCCCTCACACAGTTGAATGGCAAAATTTACCACGTGCAATTTGGTTTTTAAACCGAGGCATTATGTTTTGGTCCTTTTGTGCCGTCAAAAGCTGTAGCAGCCCTCCCTAAGACAACTTGGCGGCAATTGTCGGCTAGAAAGTTTATAGTCAATACTTGAACTTTTCCATGTCTCATATGCATACAATGGCGGAGCTCATCCAGTGGCAAAAAACGTACCATTTTGCATCCGAGAAGTATTAAAAACGCTGCAAAATACCTCCTTCTCCAAGTGAAAAGACTCCGTTTTGAAGAAGCCCTTTCAAAGAGCGGGCGCTTTTGAAATTCGAGTCTTTTCAGTTGGAGAAGGAGGCATTTTGCAGCGTTTTTGATACTTCCCGGATTCACAATGGTACGTTTTTTGCCACTGGATCAGTTCAGTCACTGTATACATATAAGACATGAAGAAGTTCAACGATTCAATAGGGATTTTCTAGCCGACAATTGCGATCAAGTTGCCTTTGGGCAAGACGTTACAGTTTTTCACAGCACAAAAGGGCCAAAACATAATGTCTCGGTTTAAGTAACCAAATTACATGTGGTAAATTTAGCAGTTAAACTGAGAGTGTTGCCTCTAAAGTAGAGGGCAGTTGTTTTTAAAGGTTATAATGAGCGGTCACGTTCTGCTCTAACCCAACTTTTTTTTGTCTTTCCCGTGCTTGGGTCCTCTAAAACACCATCAAAAGTGGCCCCTAACTCCAAAAAATTTTAATTCAAAAAATGATTCTCATCGTATTTTACCCCTCAATCCCTCAAATCCCCCGAAAATCCCAACTCACTTTGCCAACCGGGTGGTGGTCACCTGTTCTCTCAGCTCGAGAATCCCGATTGTCTTCAGAATCTCCTCCCGACATTCTTCGTATTCCTTTTGCCGGTATTCCTCCGGGTCTCGGACCTTGACGAACATGTTCCATGGCCTTTTCTTCGTCACACAATAGAAGCATTTCTCATGACGATGGCCCTTGCTCAGGACAATGTCAATCGACGAGGTGGTGTTATGGCTTTCGTCGGAGACGTTGAGTTCGGTATTTGGGTCGGATTGAAGGCTCGTTTCGGGCTGATACGGGAGGAAAATGTTCTGAAAACACGATATATATCCTCAGGGCATCATTTTTGGTACTTTTGGAAACTTTAAAAAATTTGCCATTTTGGCGCAGTCGGTAGTGAATCAGACTTGTAATCAAAAGGTCGTGGGTTCGATCCCGGCGGAACCAAAAATTCAAAAGTCGTATTTTAACTGTAAAACACGACATTTAATTTTTCATAATATAAATACACTCAAAACATTCCTAAAAATCTCACTTTTAGCATGTTTGTTGGCTCGGACGGCAGTGCAACCACAGGGCAAGCGATTCCATCCTCTTCTGGGTTCCATTCCTTACGTGTAGATGCTACATCACTCTTCAAACTGCTTGAGACCCCCTCTCTTCCATCTAATAACGCTCTCAGCTGTTGCATGGATTGTTTTTCCGGGTCGGAAAGGATCCAAATGTCCGTGTCTTGCTCGGAAACCGGTAATGTATCCACTCTGGCAAACTTCACGGTCTCCATGTAATTTTCTGGGACCAAATCTTCGGGTCGGATTATGTTTTTCGAATTCTGAAAATTGGGAACATCAAAAAATGGGGTGGAGAATATAGATTGAGGTCTAAAACCAATTCCAAACGTCTTCTTACCACCGAATGTGCATGGTATTTTTCATGGTCGTCTTTGTTTCGGTTCAGGGTCTTCATGATTTGGAAATCAAAGCTCACAGCGTCCAATTCGAAGGTGTCTTCGGAGAGGTCGTTCTCCAAGATACTTGGTGTATTTTCATGGGTATGTTCGGTATGTGGGGTGCTCATCGAGTTGCTGCTGCTTTTCCGACGTGTATACTTCCTAAACCGCGCGAAATTAAAAATTGCGCTCATGGCGCAGTGGTTGTGAGATTGAGCTTGGGGAAAAATCTTGCGAGTTCGATTCCGGGTAGAGAAAAAAATAAAATTTTTCCAAAGAGCTTTTTTTCTGCTCTAAAATCATAAAAATTCCTTTCAAAGCTACAACAATAACAAAAATTTTTTAATTTTTCGCCCAAAACCAGACATGGCAGGGGGGCCGGGCACGTCAAGAAATTGCGGGCATTGCAAAGGTTCTCACAGCGAAAAAAAATTCATAAAACCTGTCATCCAAATTGCACATAACAACAATTTTTAACCTAATTTTTTTAATGGGAACTCTAGGGAGTACTACTAGTCGTATACAACTGTTTTTTATACCGCTGGTACATTCTAGATGGGTATCATCGTGACGCATTTTCTGAACATGGTTCGAGCTAGGCTAAAAATAGTGCAAATTTCAAGGCCAACTATCAAAAAAACTGTCCCATCAAGCGGGACGGGACCGGTGTAGATACTCGAAGAACAGTTTAAGGATTTTTTTGACGTGGAGCCTATACCTCCTTCCAGTGCTCTCTGACTCGGTATCGTCGATACAAATTTTTATTTAGACGTTGTATTCTTCGCCATGGAAAACTGTCAAAATACTACGATTATGGGCATATTTTGGTTCTATTAGCTTAAGCAGCCCTCGAGCTTTCTATTGGTATCAATATCTTGTGATTTACTATTAATCTTTACGTCAAAATATTGCAAACCATTTGGACAAAAACGGATTTGCACAGGGCAGAATGCCAAAAAAAATTCTAGGCTTTTTCATTGGGCGCCCGTTTTTCTTTTATTTTTTCTTGACGTGCCGGGCCGGGCTTTGGAAATTTTGAAAAGGGCCGGGCCGGGCCCAACGTTCCGGGGGCCGGGCCGTGGGGCCTAGGGTTGGTTTTTCGGGCCGGGCCGTGGGGCCTGAAAAAATTTGGGCCCGGCCCCTTTCAAAAAAATTTTTTTTTAATTTTTGTCTTGAAACGAAAAATTGGGGTGCCAATTTTTTTTGGCATTCTGTTTTGAGCAAAAAATTTTTTGTTTTTGGAAGTAAAAGCGGTTTGTAAGACAGGAAAACCTCATTTACTACTTAGAACCTTACTGGCAATGACAAAATACATCGAAAAAGTTTTTAAAAGTTAACTTTTAGTCAAATTTGAACAGTGTTTCACTATTTTTCAACTAATTTTGTCCAAAATATTTTTTCATTACAAATCCCCGACCTTCCATTGGCTTAAACCTGTATATTCGTAAGGATATTGGTATGTTCTTTGTTATAAATGGGCAACCGGCTCAATTTATGACCAATAATGATGAATAATTGGAGAATTTTTATCCAGATGTCATGGATAATATAATTTACCTTCTCAAATGCTATGCATTGGTTTTTCCTGGAGTCTGGCGATGGATTTGACAATCAAATGGCCTGTCTGATGTTTTCAATTTACTTTCACGACCTTCTTACCTGTGATTCAATTTTCCATCTTCCAAAAAATCAAAAAATCATCAAAAATCTCAAAAACGTGTAGAAAACATGAATATTATTTTTAAATCATCAATCTTCTTGTGGTTCTTATATTCTTATTACATTTCCAACATGTCAACACTTTTTACGCCGCTCAATTCGTCCTAGTTCGGACGAAATCATCATGGATAATATCGGGGAAAACTCAGAAAATCGTTCAAAAATCAATATCAAGCTTCAGAAATAGTTCTAAGTCGCCCATATTCTCATTCCCCAAGGACTGCTGGACATTTTCCACTAAAAATGAAAATTTTCATTTTTCTACAGTAATCCATTTACTATGGTAATTCATAGTATGACGGACGGAAAAATTAAAAAATTTGCACAGAGAATTTTCATGCCGTGAATTATAATTTCGCCAAGTTTCATCCAAATCCATCGACCGCTACCAGAGTTATTGAAGATTATATTTTCCAAAAACTCCTTTTTTGAACCTTCAAAATCGGTTTTTCATCCTTGTAGTAACTACTGGGCACATTTTGGAAACCATATCTCATGCATAAGTTGACCGATTTTTGATTTTTAAAAAGTATTCGGACTAATTCGAGTACTGCGAGCCAAGTTATGACGTTAGTTTTTGCCCTAAGAGGTCAAATATGGCCGAAAACACAATGCCAAAATATTGCCAAAATGGCGGGAAAGTTTTTCTTTGAACGGATCTTGGCGGTTACATGATTAAAAAAGTTGAAGAAGTGTCTGAGCAGCACATTCGCGTTATTTTTTTATTTTTAACGTTCCAACGTGGTGAGATATTCCACTTTCTGCTTAAAAATCTGAGATTAGAACTTTCAGCATGAAACACCCTCAACCTGCCATGAAAAATACAACATTTAAAGCATAAGATCTTGAGTATATACAAAAGCCATAACACACAAAAATCCGCTCAAATTCGATCAAAAACACCGTTTCCCGCCATTTTGGCAATATTTTAGCATTGTGTTTTTGGCCATATTTGACCCCTTAGGGCAAAAACTAACGTCATAACTTGGCTCGCAGTACTCGAATTAGTCCAAATACTTTTTAAAAATAAAAAATCGGTCAACTTATGCCTGAGATATGGTTTCCAAAATGTGCCCAGTAGTTACTATAAGGATGAAAAACCGATTTTGAAGGTTCAAAAAAGGAGTTTTTGGAAAATATAATCTTCAATAACTCTGGTAGCGGTCCATGGATTTGGATGAAACTTGGCGAAATTATAACTCACGGCATGAAAATTCTCTGTGCAAATTTTTAAATTTTTCCGTCCATCATACTATGAGTTACCGTAGTAGATGGATTACTGTAGAAAAATCAAAATTTTAATTTTTAGTGGAAAATGTCCAGCAGTCCTTGGGGAATGAGAATATGTGAAACTTAGAACTATTTCTGAAGCTTGATATTGATTTTTGGACGATTTTCTGAGTTTTCCCCGATATTATCCATGATGATTTCGTCCGAACTAGGACGAATTGAGCGGCGTAAGAAGTGTTGACATGTTGGAAATGTAATAAGAATATAAGAACCACAAGAAGATTGATGATTTAAAAATAATATTCATGTTTTCTACACGTTTTTGAGATTTTTGATGATTTTTTGGAAGATGGAAAATTGAATCACAGGTAAGAAGGTCGTGAAAGTAAATTGAAAACATCAGACAGGCCATTTGATTGTCAAATCCATCGCCAGACTCCAGGAAAAACCAATGCATAGCATTTGAGAAGGTAAATTATATTATCCATGACATCTGGATAAAAATTCTCCAATTATTCATCATTATTGGTCCTATAAAGAAACCGCTGGCCGTTTGTATCAAGTAAAACACCGAAAACTTCGTGGTAACATCTTAAAACAAAAAAATAGCAATCAAAATGCAAAATTTAGAGTAATGAAAAAAAGGGCCGGGCCGGGCCGGGCTTTAAGACCTTTGAGGGCCGGGCCGGGCCGTAAGACCCCTCAGGGCCGGGCCGGGCCGGGCCGAAGGTGCCCCGGGGCCGGGCTTTGAAAATTTTGAAAAGGGCCGGGCCGGGCCCAACTTTTCGGGGGCCGGGCCTGGGGCCCGAAGGGCCCCGGGCCCGGCCCCTTTTGCCATGTCTGCCCAAAACTGTTCAAAAGTCGCAAAAAACCCCCTCAAAAGTTACTTACTTCGCTCTCAACGCAGCCAATGCTTCATTTCCAGCCCTCATAAACATTGAATCCGACCGTGCTGGTCGCATTTTCGGACTCAACGACGGACTTGAATTCTTCTTCGGAGCTTTTTGAAACTTCGGTTCAAATTTTGGACTTTCCAAAATTCCAAAATGCTCATTTCGTTTCTTCATTTCGTACAAAGTCTGCATTTCAGGTCTTCTGTTAACTTCCCATTCGGCTTCGATCAATTTTTGGGTTCCATATTCCGATTTGGCAATCAAATTTATGGCCATGAATGCCACTCCGCGGACATGTAAATGCGGGCAGTTCTCGGCCAAAAATACAATTTTTTGGACTGTGTCTGGCTCAACGATTCCTTGGAGGTCATCTAAAAAACGAAAAATAAAAAAATCGGTAAAAATTTTAATTTTTTTTCGGCGAGCTGCGTCCAGTCTAATATCGAAAAAATAACGGGAACGAATAACTATCGTATTTTACACACTTAACCAGATACGATTACATGCCAATAGAATAAATCTCTGCGCCTTTCTAAAAAAATTCTATTTCGGCGAGCTGCGCCCGGGCATACAACTAAAATTGGCTACAAATTTTAAGCAATCGGTTTAATTCGATAATTTCCAAACCTCTCATGCCCAAAATATAATTTTTCATTGCAACCTTTAGCTTCAAAGCCGATTTTTTTATTCGCAAGCTGCGCCCTGGCTTCAACATCAAATCCCTTCTTACGTTCTTCCAAATTGCCAATGATGTTACCCAGCGATAACAACGCCCCATTCAACTCATCCAGATCGGCGATTCTCAAATTCCTCCTCAAAATCGTGCCCAGCTGATGTAAAACATCAGCACGCCAATTTATTTTCTTCAAAAACTATTTTTGTGAGCTGCGCCCGAGCTTTGTGAAAATGTTGGTTGCCATTTTATACGAAAACGACAAAAAATCTTTTTTGGGTGAAAACAACCGGTGAAAAGAGAAGTTAGTGTAGAATTTTATGTGTTTTCGGAAAAGGGGACTGTACCACCGCATCATGGCAGCTGTTGCGTAATAAATAAAGGTAAAATTTGAGATTTTTTTTCATTTTTATTGATAATTCTTTAAATTTACAGGTAAATATGAGGTAAATATGGGAAAATATAATTAAGATGTAACGTCAATATCACTGTCGTCATTGTACTCGTAGATTGGTTGACTGGATTTGCTGGATTGACTAAGTCTTGAGCGGTTTGGCTTGGACTTTGGTTGAAATTGACTGGTATTGCTGGTGGCGGTTAAAAAATTTCGCCTCATGAAGAACTGTCGGGCCTTATCTGGAGTATTGACTCCAAAGCAGCGTTCAGAAAGAATATTTCCGACGTGGTGCATCGATTCCAAGCACTGTTCACCAAATTTTCCCCACGTGCCATAGGTGACAATGAAGTCCCGGGCGTGAGATTCGAGCAAATGGAACTTGTTGGTTGTGGGCAATCCGTGGCGCCTCCATGCAGTTGTAAACGCTTCAATATCTGCGGTTAGTGCATCAAAGGCGTCATAGTCGATTGCGTAATCCTCCGCAGTCGCCCATTTCTGTACTTCATGAAGTGCTGCGAATACCGCTTGATATTCTGGAACTTCTTCTGGATTTTGAACGGCCCACTTTAGGAATCGGCTACCATTTCTTCCATCCATCAACGAGCTTTGCCGGTAGCCGACCAGACAACCAGTTTTTTTAAGCATTACATCACGTTGCGTCTTGTCCTTAACTGGTTTAATGCAGTGTTTACCATTCCATGTAATACATGTAGAGGTGGTATAACGAGATTTTCGGGTTCTATCTGAAGCAGGCGGTCGTCGGAATATATTCGATATGGTCGAAACTGTGGTGCGGCTCGAACTGGTTTGCGTTTGCACACACAAATAGGGCAAAAGTCGTTGCTAGATGTGTGTGGAACGTCCAGAACGACGGGAATCATCTTCAAATCCGATACCCAGAGGACTTTTACGGCAATCCACTGGCCATCCATTTCGTAACCACCGGCATTAACAATCGAATTCGCAAAGTTGAAATAACTTTCACCTATAAGCGAATTCAAAGACTTGAATTAACTCTTACCAGCAATTCCAACAAGCTCCTTTGACTCTTCTTTTGCGTTGTACATGGCCATAACTACGTAGTTCGTCGGGCTTTGCGGCTTTGGAACGTTCGTTGGGATAGACCATCCCAACTTAAACCACTCAGCTTGGTTGTCTCCGCCTTTGTCTCCCGATAAAACAAGGTGTAACTCACTTGGGATGACGCCATTCCACGTGTTTTTTGCCAGTGACTTGACGTAGGCTTCGAAAACTTTGGCTGGTTCGGTTCTCCAGATCATCGGGATTTTTCTGCCTTCCGAGTTTACATATTCGAAGTTTGATACGCCTCCAGCAGCTTCAACTCTTTTGTCTTCCAGATCCCTCATTGCGTAGAGTTTGGGCCATTCCTTTCCGGATAACATTTGACATTTTCGGTACTGATCGTCCGTTAAACCGGCTGCTGCTCGCAGTGCGATTGCGTCATCATCGGAAATTTTTTTTTCCATTTCACCGTCTTTTGGCACAATTTTAAACGATTCTCCAAGCTTTTCAGTCTCCAATTTTTTTATTATGTTTTTTTGGTAGCCCGGTGACCGGTACTCCTCAACTTTTTTACGATTTTTTTGTTCTTCTGGACGACTGTCTAATTTTTTTCTTAACTTTTTTATCTCGTCTGCCATTTCTTTAATTCGCCACATATCATGAGCGTGAATTTCCGTCAGATCATCAACTTTTTTTTGCAGTTTTTCCACTTCTTCCGTGAGTTCCCGAACTTTTTTTCCTGAGGCAGTTGCCACGGCCGCCCGTTCACGCTGACCATTCATTCGAGACGTGGGAGTCCTTTTTGGAGTGACCGAAGCATTTGTGATGTCATTTAGAGCGTTCTGAAAGCGAAAACAGCATGAAAACTCGAAGTTTCCATTTTTTTGCCCTTAGGACCCTTATTTTGAACCCGTTTTTCTCAAAAAGTACGCTGCCGATTTTCGAATTTTCAACGGCATTTGAAAGCGCACGTTAGATTCTATGTAATATCTAAAAACAGAAGCAATCTCAGAGAAAAAACATACCTCATTGGTGGAAAAGGTGAAATTTCCATTATTTTGGGTTACTGTAGAATCGTCCTGGTCGGCGGTCAATTGCTTCAAGCGCTTGGATTCACGCATTTTCTGGAGCCTCAGATCCCGCTGTCTCTTCCTGTCTATGCTGGTATTCCTTGCGAAGCTGATTCCGCTCTCAGATTGCGAGAATAAGTTAAAACTCATCTGGAAAAATTCAAAATTTCACAATTTTTGACTTGTAACACCCGCGGCTTCTCTAAAAGTTTAAAAAAACTATGCCCATCTGATAGAGCATGAAAAAATCTACAATTCTATAGACTCAAAAGTTAAGGTACGGAGCCTCAAAAAAATGCTATGAACGAAATAAATTACCTTACTCCAGCGGTAAACATTAAAGATGCCGCCAAATATGGCAGAGATTTTTTTTTTTTCTGTCTTGAGTGTACATTTTTCGATTTGTCTGTTATTCTTCTTTACTTTGTGCAATTTCTGCGATGATTGACTTTTTTTCTGCCAAGATACGGTAGGTGTTTTACGGAGGGAAACACTTGACCAAACCGGCCAGGGAGACACTTGACACGAATTATTTTTTTGATTTTTTGTAGAAGAAAATAAATTGGCGTGCATCAGATTCGACCAATAACCGAAGTCCAAATTGATGTTGGGTTAGTGAGTCGAACAAATGGCATGGGACAATCATATGGGCTGGTACTCTAAAGAACCTATAGTAATTTCCATGCAACTTACTTGCGTTGAATCGTGCTGTGCCTTGCAAATCCGTAGTCCAAACTTCTTTTCGGGAACCCCATAGCTAAGAGGAGGTCGTCTTCGAAAATACGGACGTACTGGCTTGCGAATCCCTGAAAGATGGCGAGATTAATACCTAACCAAACAATGACCGTCTGGACTACAGTTTTGATCAAAAAATCCACGGGTTATAGGCGAAAATTTCATTTGTCATCCAATTTCCCTAAAAACACCCCGTTTTTAACAAAAAATCTCAATTTCAGAGTAAAATACGCCAGCTTCAATAATGATTTTTTATAACATAAAGATCTAGAGGCTCAGAGATCACCATCAACCCCAAAGATAACGTATAATTTTCGTATTTTACACTTTTTCCCTTTAAACCCCAATTTTAATCAAAAAATCTAAAATTTCTTGCAAAATATGCCTCCGGCAATCAAATTTTCTTTCCAAAACTTATCGTAAAGCTCTTTTAACGACTTATCATCCCCGTTTCTCACCTTCATCCACCTTGAAATTGCGTCTTTTGCTCTTTTTTGATCCTTTTTCACCACTTCCTCATCGGCCATAAAAACGGCCTCAAGCAATTCGCCGGCCTCTCCAAAATCGCTAATACGAATGTGCTCCAAGAATCCGGACTTTTTTGGGTATTTCTGAACAAAATAAGGCCACAATTTTAAGCGCATTTTAGACTTACTGGGAGCCATTTGAACAGAACCAACAAGGCGGATCGTTGCACTTTCGGGGACGGATCGACCAGTTGGTTGATCAGCAAACTTATTGCCCAGTCCATTTTACGGTCAGCTGGATCGGCTGGAAATGCAAACACGACATTGAAATCGGAAAAAAAATTTTTTTTTTATTTCCGGCCCAAAACTCACATTCATCACAACATAGCAAGACCTCCACAAATCTTGTGGCCCATTTTCGTTGCTCCTCATTGGAGGCGGTCAGTGCGATCTCCAACATCTTCCTGCCTATCGTGTGGTCGTAATTTTGAGAGACAAGCATTAGTTTCTCATGGTTTTGAGTGGGCATTTCTCTGAAAATCGAGAGGTTTAGAGACCGCTGCAGGTATACGTTGCAGTTAGGAAGTGCCAGTTAGTTTCGGCCGAAAAAAAAAATTAACATCTCCAGCCGGCGAGTCCAAAAAATGGACGATATTTTTATTGAAGGATTAACCTGCCTGTCAGTGTAGGTTAAGCATTTTAATGATGCTTGTTTTGGCTCCAATTTGCGCAAAATAAGAGTTAAAAGACGATTTCTGAGTCAGTGAAGCAAGCCGTGACATAGGATTTTTTCGAAGTTGAGTTTTTTGCATAAATATGATCCACAGCACCAGTAGGGAAAAAGCGAACCACAGTTTTCCTCAATTCTTCCATTAACTGTACTTTTTATACAATTTTCTGTTTATACAGTAATTCGTCATAACTTTCTACAATGGTGTCCGTTTGTCATAAAAATAAGGCTACTATGGTTTTTGGGCATGACGAGTTCAATAAAACCAAAAAAAATTTCACCCGGTTACGGTAACATATAAAAATACTGTATCGGTCGGTAAAAATCGACCATGAAAAGTTTGTTTCAAAAAAGCCACAGCCAATTTTTTCATATTCGTAATCAGCGTAAAATTCTGCTCTAGGACCAATTTTAAAAAGTTCAAAAATAGGACCCCCATTTTCCGTGGTGCAGTGGTTTTTGACCAGGACTCGTAATCTGACCACCCAGGTTCGAATCCGGGTGGGTGCGAATGTAGAAAAAAGACCTAAAATCACTTTTAATGAAAACCTGAGAGTTATTTGAAGCACGCTGAGCAATTTTAGGCATTAAAGCTCTCTGAATTTGGGATTAAAACGATTTTTATGTAATTTTAGAGGATTAATGCATCAAAAATAAAACTGCTTCAAAAGTGGTTGAAATTGATAACACTTATTCTATGGCTAATTGTAAAAAACTTTCCTGTTAACTTTTTTTGGTAGAGTGCTGTATCATGGATTACTGTAACATAAAACTTATTCTACTTAGCAGATGTTTTCTTCAAAATTCTTGGGTAAATGTTTTTCTTTTTTTGATTAGATCTATTAAAAAGCAAGAAATCTCAACGCTCCATATTTCAAAAAAAGAATTTCCCATGATATATTGTGCATCTTGACATCATTATCGATTGGAAACCTGCGCGTTATAACGGACGTGTTTCAAGTCCTACGGACATAGAAAACACATTTGTGTGATAACCAACGTGTTCTCAAGCATTCCTATCATAATTGTGATACATTGAAGTCTCTACGCCCTGTGGCATACCAAAAACGAAAACGGGTTTAATGTTACAGTAATCCATGATATAGCATTCTACCAAAAAAAGTTAACGGGAAAGTTTCTTACAATTAGCCATAGAATAAGTGTTATCAATTTCAAAAAGTTTGAAGCAGTTTTATTTTTGATGCATTAATCCTCTAAAATTACATAAAAATCGTTTTAATCCCAAATTCAGAGAGTTTTAATGCCTAAAATTGCTCAGCGTGCTTCAAATAACTCTCAGGTTTTCATTAAAAGTGATGTAGGTCTTTTTTCTACATTCGCACCCACCCGGATTCGAACCTGGGTGGTCAGATTACGAGTCCTGGTCAAAAACCACTGCACCACGGAAAATGGGGGTCCTATTTTTGAACTTTTTAAAATTGGTCCTAGAGCAGAATTTTACGCTGATTACGAATATGAAAAAATTGGCTGTGGCTTTTTTGAAACAAACTTTTTATGGTCGATTTTTACCGACCGATACAGTATTTTTATATGTTACCGTAACCGGATGAAATTTTTTTTGGTTTTATTGAACTCGTCATGCCCAAAAACCATAGTAGCCTTATTTTTATGACAAACGGACACCATTGTAGAAAGTTATGACGAATTACTGTATAAACAGAAAATTGTATAAAAAGTACAGTTAATGGAAGAATTAAGGAAAACTGTGGTTCGCTTTTTCTCTACAGGTGCCATGGGTCATACTAATGTAAAAAACTCAACATCGAAAAAATCCTATGTCCTGGCCTAACTACGGCTTGCTTCAGTGACTCAGAAATCGTCTTTTAAGGGCCAAAAGCCAAGAACACTTGTCAAGAACACTTTTTAAGTCAGTTTTTTGGAGAATTAACCTGCCTGTCACTGTAGGATAAGCGTAAAAATCTTCATTTCGTATAAACGACTTTGAAAAATACGTAGCAATGTTACGCTTTTCAAAGCGAGGCATTGAAATCGCCATTTTTTTGTTTGGCCATGTTCTTCGTAATGCCTCCTGGACGCAATCAGAAGCACTTTTGACCCACAATTGGAGAACATGGCCAAACAAAAAAAGACGATTTCAATGCGTCGCTTTGAAAAGCGTAACACACTGCTACGTATTTTTCAAAGTCACTTATACAAAATTAAGATTTTCACGCTTATCCTACAGTGACAGGCAGGTTAATTCTCCAAAGAAACTGACTTAAAATGTTTTCTTGACAAATCTTTGGCATTAAACTCTTATTTTGCACAAATTGGAGCCAAAACAAGCGCCATTCAAATATCGGAAAAGTGGTCTTCTTCGACCAACTTCTTTTTAAAATACGTCAAAATGTGTCTTGGGTTTTTTAACCATCACATTTAAGTCATAATGTTTTTTGGCCATCATTTTTCATTCTTTTTTTTTCACTTTTTCATAAAAAAACTTTTCCGAAATCTCATCTGCATTCCATTAGCTGGCAATTAAACCAGTCGAACTTTTCCTACAATCTTTGAACTCATCTTCACATTTTTTTCGCCGTTCCCTCTCCACCCTCCGTTATATTTTGGGCGATCAACTTTCGCCTAAACCGGCTAATTCAGTTCGGAATCGGCTTCTTCTTCTCGCCGCGCTCTTTTCCTGATTCCAATCAAGCCGGATTCGCGCGATGCTCCCGCCCATTTCAAATTGTTTTAATTTTGCGTGTTATTTTCGGCATTATTGCGGGTGCCGAGAGTTCACCGGATTTGAATATTTCATTGCTTGTGGGGGTTGAGGGGTTGAATTTGGTCCCTTCTGATGGAATTTAGCAAGGAGAAACTTTTCGATTTCGTTTCTTGAATGCCTGTTATATCTGGCTCGGTACTTATAAATCTTTGTCCAGAAAATGTGTCACGATGACAAACGTTTAAGCTGTTTTAGTGGTGTAAACAAGGGTTGTATGTGACTAGCCAGAGAACACAAAAAAAATTGGTCCAAAACTTTAGCAACACATAATTTTAATGATGGATTTTCTGGATTTTTACAGATTTTTCCTTCGACGAAAACCTTTGCAATGCCCGAAATTTCGTTACCTGCTAGGTCACAAATAAATTCACAAAACTTTAGAGAAAGCTTATGGGATTTAACAATGGTCTTCAGCGACATTTCTAAAAGAGGGTAACAACGTAAAACAAGGAGGGCTGGTCAGACAAAAAACTTTTTCCCTAAAACCTTCTACGCTACTGTCGGAAAAAATTAATTTGTTTGCTAAAACACTGCACTCCACACCTAATTCTAATCCTACTTCCTCTGACAAAAGTAAAATACGCCATCTATTGACCAGCACAACCTTCAATCCGTCAAAAAAAGCGCCCCGGTTACCCAACGTATCTAATTACTTTTAAAAAGTAATCCCAATGATTGCTCGCTAACTGGTTTGGTATAAACGCCATTTTATATCCATTACTCTACGTTTATGGCGTATTCATTACTTGTAACATTTCAGAACATTTCGGCTTTTCTTATCTTGCTGTAATTTTTCCTGCTAACTATACACGAGGCTCTGTAGCAGTGTTTTTTGTGTAATGAAACGTTTATTTCTGGGTATTTTAGGGCCTGCCCTCTCCTCCAAAAGGTGATGATCACCCGCTTATACAATAAATCAAGCCAAGCCCAGGTAAAACGAATAGCATAGGACAAAAAAATATTCGTTATAGAGGGGTTTCATTGAAGTCATTTAGGCCTCAAATTGGCTCTTGCCGCCTTTGAATTTATTCGCTATAGACAGATTTCGTTCTACCGGGATTTATAAGTCAGCAATAAATTTTCTACTAATGTCATAGCATGAATTTTCAAATCCAACTCTCTTCATTTCGTAGTCTGCCCGCATTACCGCGATTCCTTCTACAATTTCCCCTCATTCTCTTTCTCCGGAAGCCAACGGTCATTACCTCCGTTGACCTTCCCACGCTCATCACTTTCACTGCCCTTCGAATTGGTGGCGGTTTCAATTAGAGAAACCGAAACCTTTGCGCCGCTTCCAGGAGGGTTCCCAGGGCTTCTGGAGTCAGTAAAGGCGATCCCCAGCGCCTCGGAACTCCTCGCGCCGCTCCAGCTTATTCAACTCCTCTAAACGGCGCCCAAAACCTGAATCCGCCGCGACTACAACGGGTTCGGAAGAATGTTTTTTTTCGGCGCGTCTTCTTCGTTGTCAGGAAGATGGAAATTGGTGGAAAGGAGGGGGAGTGGGGGAGATCGGTTTCTTGGGTGGGGGGATTTGACTCGGTTGCGGCAATTGATTGATTATTCGACGGAATTTCTAACAAAATGACACTTAGTTAGAAGCTAGGTGTAAGAGGGACTAGTCCATTTGCAAAGCCGCTAGAGTGATTTTTGTGCTATGCACTGTGATAAAATAAAAGTTCACCTCGCACTGTGCGATTTGTTGCTTTTTGCACAGTGCAGTAAACTTTTTTCCGGTGTCGTTCACACCCTCACTTTTTTCACCGTTCATGCCGCAAAAATCACTGCAGCGACTATGCGAGCATACTGGTAGTCGGGCATAACTTCATGCATAAACACCGTCCTTTTTCTTCCGTTAAAAAATCCTTCGAACGGCAAATCATCCTTTAATTTCTTTCAATCTACTATCTTATCCCTCGGCTTTCGTCATCACGGCACGATAAGCCGGTTGATGTGATTATGACATCGAAAACGAAGCGAGTTCTTCGCTGCGGCTTCATCGAATCCCTTTGTCAAGTTCATCTTCACTTTTTTTCACGTCGAGAGAAAAAATCAGACGCAAGAGGCAAGCCAGTTTCAGGATGCGTCTTCGGGATGCCCATCATCTCGTCAATTATGATGGTCAGCGTAACTCACTTCGCCTTTTCGGACTCAATTGTTTTGCAATTTCGTGTTGCGATCAGGGCTTTATGTAATCTTGGAGGGGGATCAAAGTGTTAAACGGCATAGCTCCGAAACACTAGGCTTTCGATAACCCTGACCCTGTCTACTATCTTTCTATCTTCCCGAGAGTCCCTGGAGAGAAAAAAAGCGACGTTTTGCCTTATGGCCTACAACGTCGCTTTTGTTTCACTCCTGAGACTTTCAAGTAGGTCGTATCAGTGCCTTCCCTCGTCTTGACCAGTTCCACTCCAGTTAAACTCTCACTAAACCCAAAATACTTTTCATCTTGAACTACACATGCACCGCATTTCTCTAATATCCCTGCCTTGGGGTTTGCATGCAATTTTCAGCTTTGTAAAGATTAACAACTACGCGCAACAGTTCAAGATATTTTAGGTTTCGTTTGCATTTTTAAACAAAAAAATAAACATTTCCAGTACTTGCACAAGCTTTGTCTCCTGCATTGTCTCAGAAAACTCACAACAAGCCATTCAACGAAAGTTTATTGCTCAAATAACTGGATTTTCCTTTCTCCTAGCCAAAGAATGACCTTGCCTATTTATTACCCAATCTAGACAAGGCTCTGTCCATTCTAGTGTGCCGGATACAGACAATTGCATAATAATTCGGTCATTAAACCTCGCTTTGTAATCTATTCGCCCTAGGGAAGCCGAATGCGGATCGTTCCGTCTCCTCGAGTCTCCTGCGGTAGAAAGAAAATCAAGGGGAAAACCACTTCACCGTAACGGGGCTTTTCCGAAACCCCCATGAGTTTGTGGAGAGCTCACAAAGAGGAAAACAAGAGAGGAAAGCTAGGGAAGAGGGAGAAGAGAGTGCCTTCGATGGAGAACAAAATAAACTTGGAGGGATTTATTGACATTCTTCAATATGCCGAACGTCTGCATGGCGCGGACCCGGGTAATTGGCTTTTGTCTTAGGAAGCGAGTTCGCACAGGAAGTGATCCGTTTCAAAATAGGGTTGCCTTGACCGTTACAAATTATTGAAACGTAACTTGCCCTCAATTACCTCTTCTTGTTACTCCTTTGCTCGTATTGAGCCTGTTTCCTCGCGCGTTTTCGTGTAACAGAAACCAGACAACAATATACGAATAACCCAACAGTTTCAGCAGCGATGAAGATACGATCGCTGTTACTCATTCTGGGTATCCTGGGCCTAGTGCACGCGGATTTGCCCAGTTGTTTGCGAGCACGCTGTTCGCATTGTAATATCAGTTTCATTGCTCAGATGTGTCCGAACACCTGCAACCAATGTGGGGTTGATATCCCGCACATTTCGGTAAGCCTACTTTGTTTTATGCGACAAGCGGTACTCCCAAATTAAATAGCCATACTTTACAACCTTGTTTAGAAGCCAACAGCCCACGCTGTAGGTCCATCATCAAGAATCGCCGCGCACGGCCAGCCAAACTACGCTGGAGTTGCGCCTCTTCAAAACATCCCGCCTCCAGGCCCCGTGACCCAAACCAGCCATGCTTACTCGTACGGGGGTTACGGAAACGCTCAAAACAACATCCCTCAAGCTAGACAACTACCCTACTCTGTAGGTTTTGTTGGTTTTCCCGTTACAGTAACTGGAATTTCGTATTTGACAAAAAGCTTTCAGTCCCAACCTCAATCCCAAGCCACTCAATATGGCCATTCATATCAGCAAGAACAAACTGCCCCATTCGCCAGTGCCCCTCAACAGCAACCATCCGGGCCAGTTCAGCCACCACCAGCTTTCCAACAACCCCAACAACCTTACTATCAACAGCCGCAGCAGCCATTCGGCGGATTCCCCGCTCAGCCTCAGCCATTTGGAGCCCCAGCTCCACAAGCTAGCGGTGCCGGTCCAGCTGCACCAGGAGCTCAGGCTGCCAGCTTGGGAGTAACTCCAGCACCCGCTCTGTTCAATCCTTTCCAGCCTTTCTTGGGGCAGTCGTTCCAGGCTCAACAGCCTTTCAATCCCTTCGCTTTCCCAACCCTTCCACCTGCAGCAACTTTGGCTCCAGTAAGTGATAAAGTGGTCTGACATCCCCAAAAATTGGTCAATTTCTAACTCAAACTCCGTTTTCAGTTCACCCCAGCTCCTCCACTCACAGCGCCAACGATGCCTCCACTCTTCACTCTGCCGACTCCACCACCACCTACTCCAGCGCCAGCCACCTTCCCACAACAGCCTGGCTATTCAGCTGGCCAACAGCAGTCCTACGGGCCTCAAGGCGGTCAACAACAGTTCCAGGGACAAGGTCAACAACCTCAACAATCCCAACAAGGATTCCAACAGGCTCAGTCGTCACAACAAGGATACCAGCAACCTCAAAGCTTCCAACAGCCACAACCAGCGCAACAGAACTTCCAACAACCACAACCAGCTCAACAAAACTTCCAACAACCACAACCAGCCCAACGGAACTTCCAGCAGCCTCAGCCAACTTATCCACAAGGCCAGAACCAAGTTCAGCCAGCTGAGGAGCAACGACCTCGTCAAGTTTACACTCAACCCGCTCAGGTGCAACCTCAAGCCCCTCAGCCATCTCAATATCAGCAGCCTGCGCCTCAACCCGCTGCTCCACAGCCCTCAACCAGCATTGATGCTACTCCAGTTCAGATCGAGAAGAACAACTATGTTTCGCCGAATACGAAGAGTGCTTTCGGTGGTGCTGGAGCCGGCGCCGGTACTTGCCCTAAGCAGCCTAATTGGGAGCCTTGCATCTCCAAGGACTTGGCCAACGAAAGGTTTAAGAACTGTTGCCAACGACTTGGAGAGGGGTGTTCTCAGCTGTGTAGCTACGACTCTACTTTGACCACGGTAAGTCGATGACAAAAGCTGTGTCTATTTACAGTCTAAGACAGAATTTAGGGGCAAAGAACGGATAAGATAAACGACAAAATGCATCTAAATGCGTCCCGGATGCAATAAATTGCGTCTGGCTGGCAAAGACGCAATTTATTGCATCCAGGACGCATTTAGATGCATTTTTGCCATTTATCTTATCCGTTACTGCCAACTTTTCACTTTCTTCCCGGTTTTTCCCAATAACTTTGTTTCCTTTCAGATTCAACTCGCTGTCCTCACCGGCCGTTGTCCAATCAGCAAAGTAGCTGACATGATGGTGTGTGCTTCGGGCTATGAGGACGCCACCCCTTGTTGTCAAGCCTACAACGTGTTCGAGCCCGGATTCGAGCACTGCCGGCCATACTGCAACCCAGCTGCCGGTCTGCCAAACGACGGCATGTTGGCTGAGAAGTACCGATGCCTGGGGAAGCTGAGTCAGATTCAACGGTGTTTCTATGTGTCGCAGCGGCCATAGGCTATTTATCGGCTCTTGACTACTCTTTGAAGTTGTTTTATATACCATTTTCTTGGTATATTCCACATGTTCCTCTTGTATATCAATTTTTTGGCAGATTCGTTCTATTTATCCTATACAACGACTTCCGCCATTATTAGAACGCATTTTTTCGTACTTATAGGCATATAGTTTTTCTTATTTATTTCAATTTCTCGTTGTAAGCCAGGAAAAAAAACTTTTCCCTCCAACTACAACACTTCTTCCGGTATATTTATTCGTTGTATTTATACTTAATGCTCAACCCGGATGTTTGTACAAAATCATCGTTTTATAAATTTCTACACATTTAGTAAACGATAATAACCTCAAGACTGGGACTTACTTTTGGTAGAATTGGGTGTTTTGAAGTGCCGTATGGCCATATGGAGTGTCGGCGATGGTAGCAATCAATGCGTAGTACAATTCAGCATTGCCATGGGTGACTTTTCGTGAGACCAGGGTGGATCGGTCACTCGTCTGAAAAATTATATTACACTTGATATCGGATCAAAAAAAGTCTAAAAATCAAATTTCAGTACCGACTCTGATCTAAAAATGTTATTGACTAACCACAATACGCTTTATAATCACTGAGATACCCAAAAACTGCCAAAACTTTTATGCTTTACCATCAAAAGATCTTGTTGTTCCACAAAGTCGGTGATGAAAGAATGGAGCATTTCTCTGTAGTATGGTTCAGTTTCCGCCATTTGAGAGACAATTCGCAGGGCAGTCAGGCCTGTTCTGAACTCCCGGATCAACTTCGGCTTATCTGCACCTTCAATTGCCTTTTCCGTTTTTGGCGAAAAATAGTTCAAAATCTAAAAAAACGCAAAAATAAAATTCAAAATTAATCAAATGCCCAACTAAATGTCCCATTCAACAATCTAAAGCTCAAATCAAGCTATGAAAACACCTCCTCCCGCCTCAAAACAGCAAAAAATTATCTTATCCATCCTCACCTACCTCAACAAAGAAATGATGACATTTCTCATTGTTCCTGAACCTTTGAAGCAGCTTCGGTGATCCCAAAAAAACTTGGAGGATGTAATTCGCCTCTTTCCAGTTGAACCCACGCTCATGATGGGCTATATGTAAGCATTCATTCACCTTTTCCTCATTGGTTTCGATATTTCTCGAGTCCGAAATGATTGGCAAAAGTGGTCGTTTACGGATAAATAAGTCAGTATATGGCAAGTCGGCGAGTTTATCGCGTTCTTCTAGACGAAATGAGAGGGTGTTGACTTCATCCAGGCGATGGAGAAGGACTGAGGCACCGCTAAAAATTTTTCTTTATTGGCTAGCACAAGAAGAGAAGCCAAACAAAAATTTTCGGAAAATAAGATGGCTTAAAAATGTAGCAATTTGACATCAAAATTTTACCGTATTCGCCAAAAACGTTTTTTCAAAAGTTCAAAAAAGTTTGGGCTCAGCCGGTGATCGAAACCGGGGCCTCTCGCACCCAAAGCGAGAATCATACCACTAGACCACTGAGCCGCGTTCCTCCATTCGCTTCGTTTCGACGTGTCTTCAGCGTAAACGACCCAAAAATCTCCGGAGATTCCTCGGATCTCCGTAGAAATCGGGTATTTTTTATTTATCCCCTTAGGGTACCTCTTCTTTGGGAAGATCTGAGAAGCGCGGCTCAGTGGTCTAGTGGTATGATTCTCGCTTTGGGTGCGAGAGGCCCCGGTTTCGATCACCGGCTGAGCCCAAAATTTTTTAATTCAAACATATTTTACAACACGTAAAGTACACAACATTTTACCTCAAAATAACCCTTTTTATCCAATAAAAAGCCCACGCATCCAAAAAAATCTCAAATATTTTGTCAAGTGTAATATAAAATTTGTCCCAAATTTCCTCAAACCTGAAAAACCACCTCTTTCCAACCCTCAACACCCCCTCAAGGCCTACCGATTCGATGTTTTCTTATTCAAATTCAACTCCCATTCGTGCAACAGTGCCTTGGTCATCTTATTCATGAGCATTGGAGTTGACATCACAGCGATTTTCCAGTTCTTCGGCAAGTACAATGCACTCTGAAATTCGCAAAAATCAACTCAAACCCAAATTTTTTTACTATTCGAAACAAATCCGCCAGCAATAAGGTGGCTTTGATCATCATGGATTCGTTTGGGGATTGTGTAATCAGCCTTCCCAAGCATTGCCCGAGGCCATTGTAGATCAACACATATGCTACGATCGCTCGATATGAGGTGAGAGGGTTTGTGTGGTCGTTTTTGATCTGTAAAATACGCCATTTTTTATAACATTCAATTTTTGAAAATTTTTAGCATAAAAGATTACAAATCCTTTATCCATGATGTTTTTTAGTTCTCCCACGACGAATTGATCATGAACAGCGCAGTCGTATTCGTCTGGCTCCTCAGTTCGGGCTAAAATTCAACAATTTCAGAACTTTTTTCAAATCGAAAAAAATTACCGTAAAATTCCAAAGCCTCCTCCCACGACATAAAGTCCTTCTTCGAGTAGGGTCGATCAAAAAATTCGGCGCAGACATTTACTGTCATGTAAATCAATTGTAAGTGGGAGCCGGCGGCCGATGCGGTGAGTCCGAGGTAGTTTAGCCAGCTAAAACGTTATTCATTAAATAAAGAAGGTAAAATACGCTCATCTGTTGCATTACTTCAGTTATAAAAACAGTGCTGGACAGGACACCTTGTAGTCAAGCGGATTGATGACAAAATTTCGCAAAAAAAAGCAAGCTCGAAAGTCTTTCGACCTTAAAAGCATGGTCGTTTCTGCAAGGCATGACCTAGAAGTCTCGGCGTCCCATACAAAAAATTAATCTAAATTTGTCCTCATTTTCATCAAAATCGAAGCGTCGGACTTGTGGTACTTCCCTCTCTGGCAATTGGACATCAAAGTTGTGAGAAAATCACCTCACGCTTTTCGTAAGCCACCTAGATTTTTTGGCCAAAAATGCAAAAAAGTCATATGGATCCAGTGGTTAAAAGCGCTTCCCATTAAGTCCAGGAATCATTCCGAATACCGCCAAATATCTCCATTCCTGGCCCAAAATTAGTGTTTTTTTGCGGAGAGAGCTGAAAGCTGCACTTTTGGAACCTTCCACCCACAATAATAGCAACTTTCGGCCCACACCTCAAAGGAACACTAGTTTCGCAGCCGAAAAAGAAGGTATTTGACGGTATTCGGAATGCTTCCTGCATGCAATGGGAAGCGCTTTTGACCACTGGATCCATATGGCTTTTTGCATTACTGGTCAAAAAATCTCGGTGGTTTCCGAAAAGCGTGAGTTGATTTTCTCACAAACTTGATATCCAATTGCCAGCTAACAGAGGAAGTACCACAAGTCCAACGCTTCGATTTTGATGAAAATGGGGACAAATTTAGACTAATTTTTTCTATGACATACAGGACTTCTAACTCGTACTTTGCATAAACGACCGTGATCTTAAGGTCGAAAGATTTTCGAGCTAGCATTTTTTTGCGAAATTGTCATCAACCCGCCCACTTTGCCTTGGCTCCGCCCATTTTCCCTTGGCTCAGCCCACTTTTCCTTAGCTCCGCCCATTCCCCTTTGGCTCCGCCCACTATTCCCATTTTCCCAACCCTACTTCAGCGGTGAGTGTGTCTTTGCTGTAGAGTTCTTTTCATCGCAGGCCAATGCCAAGAATCCACTCCACGTGCACAGTAACTGCTTCATGACTATTGAGCACGCATTCATCACTCTCTGAGTGGTGATCTCAAAGTTTTCCGTCGCAATAACTCCATTCTGTTTCACATCGGCCTGTTGGAAGAACCCCAAATCCAATAATGGGGCAAAAACCTTGACGAGAAAAGACTTCATATCCGCCAGTTCGCGGAGTTTCGGGTCTTGAAGCCATTTGGAAATGACTCGCGAGAGCAAAATACAGTTATATTTTATGTTGAGAGCAGGCGATGAAAGGATAAAGGGAATCCAATCGGTGCCAATGAACTTGATTACGAGCTCGGGTTCGGTGATTGAGAGTTTCAGGAGGATTCCAATTGCACTTTTGACTAGACTGAAAAATAAAACGGATAAAAAAGTGAAATTTTCGAGATTTTTCAATAATTTGTAAAAAATTACAGTATGAAATGGACTCAAAATTATTCTATATTCTCCGTAATATGCTAGTAATCTTTCTAGACAACAAATTTATTATTTTTTGATATAAATTTCAGTTTTCTTCCCCAAAAACCGCCTTAATGTCAAGTATAATATCCTGATGCCTTTTAATCAAAAAAGAAAACATCAAGCCCTTCTAAACCATATTTTTGCTCTCCAAATTTAATATAAAACCTTATTTCCGCTTCTTACGTTGAGATCCGATCGTGTTCTTCGCTCAATTCGCATTTATAGTTAAACACCAGGGATTTGATCGCCCTTAGGGCATTATATGGAAAATCGATGAAGGAAATATCCTCCGCCAAATTCGACATCTCAGCCTCCATTCGGAGCTCACTTTTGAGGTAAATGTCCAACATTGCGGACAACAATCGCAGGGCTGAGGTTCTTTCGACTTCAATGGTTCCGTCAAGAGATCTGAAGGGAAAAATTACAAACTAAACTTAATTCAAGGCCTATTTTACATTTAGAATAGACCAATTATCCCAAAAACTTGTTCCTCGACCCGCTTAAAAAACAACTGCTCACCTCACAGCAAAAATATCGACGATTCTCTTCAAAAAATGCCGTAGTCTTGATTCATTTACCGTTAGAACCCGAAAAATCGCCAATCCCACCGACCGAATCCGGTAATCATCACAGTGAAGCGTCTGTACTAGCCTAAAAACCTCGAATATTGATAATAAACTAAAGAAAAAAGTCAAAAATTCAAGTTATCCTTGCCGATTGATAAAAGGGACAAGAAGAAGTTCGTCGGCCAAAACTTTTGGATGAGCTTCTTGTAAAAGCTTTCGAACAGTCTTCAGATGGACGAATATGACTTTGAGAGGGACTACACCTGGCCCAGGCCAATTTTCCAAGGCATGCCGAAGTTTCGGAGTGAGAAAGGGGTTCAAAGAGGCAGTTGAGTTGAGTTTTCCTAGAAAATCATCGATATATTAAGCAAAGTTTAATTCGAATGAGAGTCAAGGACACTTACTGGGACCGCCAGTCAATAAATATCAACAAATTTTTAGATCATAACATTGTTGTCGAGGATAAAACACTAATTTTCTAAAAAAAGGTTATTCTTCAAACAAAAACAATGAAATTTTGTTCCAAAATGATCCAAACACCCTCAATACGTCAGTTCCGAAATGATACTAACCATTTTCGGCAAAACTCGAGTTCGAAGACATCAAAATTTTACACATGACCATCCAGTACAATATCGGCGCAAATTTATTTTCGTAACTTCTCAAACTGGCTACAAATAATTTTAGAAACAGCCTCACATAACACAGAAAATACTTCGCACCCTTTGGACCAAAAAAATAGGCAAACCCTATCAAAAACACCATTTCCGTCCAATCCAACCCTCAGACCACCTAGTACAACAAAATACCGGAATTAAAAACAGGAACCGGGCTTCCACCTCCTTCTCTTTGCTTTTTCATAATCTTCTTCCTCTTTATCTAAACATAAACAAGAAAAAAAGCCGGAAAAACTTACCCTGAGGCTCAATTCGACTGAAATGTCGTTGTCTGACCGGTCGATCCGTGTTTTGGCGACGCATTTGGCGAAAGCACTTTGATTCTTCAATTATTGATAAGGTTTCACCTCGAGTTGGCCATGTTTTCCTCGAGCAAAACAAAAAATTCTTCCGACAAAAAATTATTTTCTAATTTTTTGTTGCGAAGTGACAAAATTGAATTTTCGGAGATTGACGAAATGCCAAAATGTAAAACCTTCAAAACCAGGTATAAAAACGTTCAAGATAAGAAATTAAATTTATTTATGCGAACAAGAGGGACTTTCTGTGTCTTTTTCAAAGATAAACTTCCTGTTTCGGACTCGGGTCATTATCGATGACATCACTGTGTTATAATCGGAGATTCTCGAAGTTTCAGCCACGGAATCATCCTCCTCGAAGTTTTCATCTTGCCTCTCCTCAATTTTGGTGGTTTCATAACGCAAGCGGGCGGCCCAATAACAGTTGGCATCAAAGAATTCGCCGTTCAGTTCGTAGAACTCACCACCTAAAGTAATATAATTTAAAATCTTTTATGTCAAGTCAAGTTTTAAAACATTTTGGGTAGATTTCTTACCAGGAAACGGCTGACGGCATCTTCCACAGAGCAAGCAGTCCATATGGAAGGGTTTTCCTTTGGCTTGGACGTAGGTCTCGGAAATCGCCAGTTTGCACTCTAAAACAATATGAAGATCAGAACATGCTACAGTCAGGTAATCAAAAATCTTTGTGAGGCCACTAGCTTGCCATATTTGGTTCAAATCCGAGAGAAAAATAAAAATTTTGAAGTCCCACCACGAAAACCTGAACTTTTGAAAATTGGCGGGAAAATGGCTCAAAGCAATTTTTGGGCAGTAGGAAGGCAGCAAAAGCTCTTTAACAGGCAAAACCCTGCTATAAAGAGAGAAAAAAACCAGAAACCAAAAATTTTGAGTCCCACCACAAAAACCTGAATTTCCGAAAACTCAATAAAAATTGTATTGAACCGACTTCTAGACTCCACAAAGATGACCAACCCCAATTTCAACATTTTTTTATCAACTTACCATTGCATTTTGGGCTCTTATTATTCGCCTGACAGTGCAAGCAAATAATAGATTTCAAATTGTTCTCATCCTCCAAAACATAGTAATCATTGATCTTCAAATCACACAGAGAGCAGCGAAAATGGCCTGTATGATAGACCTTTCCATTCGCGTAGACAGCGGTTCGTTCTTCAATTTTGTGTTTGCACTGTGCGCAGCGGCCGTTCATGGTGCAAAATGGACGGAAAAAATGACTATTTTCGACCAAAAAACCGGTTTCATTTTCAAATTTAGTGTAAGTTTGAAATGAAAAATTTGATCGCTCGAAAATTCAAAAAAAAAATTCAAAATTCGATTTTTTTTAAATTTTTATTCAAAAAAATTTACATCTCAAAAGCGGCAATTCGTATTTTAGTCCATAACCTAGATCGATAATTCAAAATTGACATTCACCGAGGCTTCTTTGGCAAGTTCAACAATGCTGGAAAGTTTCACAACCATCTTCGCGGCTTCGTCCAGCGAATCCACAGGCAAGATTCGGAGGTTGCAATGGGAGATGAGAGCTTTGGCATCTCCAACTCGGGTTCCTGGAATCAAATGAAATTGGAGTATTTTTACTTTTTTGGATTTTTTTGCAAAAAAATGTGATATTAGGGGTGGAAAGTAAGACCTAAGTAAGAGAAGAGCTTGTGTAATAGTTTACAGTCAATTTTAGGAGGTATTGCAACTTATACTTGTCAAAAAAGCTCAAAAAAATATTCAATTTTCTTTTAAATTTCTGATAAAAATGATGATTTTCAAAAATAAATCAATAAAATCGGTTTTGAAAACATTGGGTTTGACTTGTCAACTAATTTATATTGAACGTCAAGGTGCCTGGTCAACAAACAACAGAAGCATTTTCCCCTTACATATCACACTTCTCATCAAAAACCTTATTTTAGCCTAAAAACACCTCTAACACCACCTAAATCACTTTTACGCCCAATTTTACTCTAAAATACGCATTGTCCTGTAACCACACTACCACCTCTCGCTTTCCCCTTCCTTACCCTGCAATCTGACCACGATTGGGATCTTGAGTTCCAGCTGTTTGGCCGCCTGGATAATTCCTTGCGCGATGACGTCACATCTCATGATTCCTCCAAAAATATTGACCAAAATCGCGTCAACCTTCGAAGCGTCGTTCGTAATGATCTTGAAGGCCTCCGTTACTTGATCCACCGTAGCTCCGCCGCCAACGTCCAAGAAATTGGCGGGTTCTCCGCCGTGAAGTTTGATAATGTCCATGGTAGCCATAGCCAGACCGGCGCCATTCACTGAAATTTGAAAATATGTTTTGAGAAGGAAGAAGGTACACAGACGTATATTAAAAATTCTTGTAGGCCAATTTTGACTTCAAAAATGCATTTTACGCAACAAACTGGGCATGTTTTTTTGCACAGCCTTCCTCGTTTTTCCTATCATGATAAAGTTTTTTTAGCTATTCACTTTTGAACAGAGACCTCCAAAAATCAGCAAGTTTTTTTGGTTTTGCATATCTCATACCTAAACTCTTGTCAACATAGATTTTCTCCCCATATATGTATCTAAAGAAAAACCCTTGACCAATCTTACATTGTCTTCAGTCCCACCAATTCTCACCTAAACATCCAATATTTCCATCCAATTTGATGTAGTTCAAGTTGGCTTTATGAGCTCTAACTTCCAATGGATCTTCCTGCGCCTCATCTCTCAGCGAATACAATTCCTTTTGCCTGAAGGCGGCATTCGCATCGATATTGATCTTGCAGTCCATACAGACCACTTGGCCATTCGTATCGACCGCCAACGGGTTGATTTCCAACAAACTGCAGTCCGACTTCAAAAACAGTTCGTAAAGTTTTTTGATCGTGTCCACCGCCTGTTGTTGGGCTTTGGTTTTAAATCCCATACGCTGAACGACGTCCAGAGCGAGTTCGTCGGTAATCCCGGTGTTAATATCGACCGGTTGTTTGATGATTGCCTCAGGGCTTGAGGCCGCAACTTCCTCAATGTTCATGCCTCCCTGGCTGGATCCAATAAGAATTGGACTCTGAAAAAATGAGTGTAAAATAAGGGCGGACATGACATATATTCTTGTATATCCTGAAGATCACTTTGGATCGATAGCAAATTCAAATTTCAAATTTCCCGCAAAAAATTTTTTTTGGCATTCTGTTGCAAGCAGTAAAAACGACAAGATTTTTGTGAAATAAGTGTTACAAAGGTAACTAGACAACTTTATCGCCATCAGAGTGGAATAAAAAATTCAAATTTCAAAACTACCGCCAAAATTTTTTTCTTGGCATTCTGTTTCAAGTGATAAAAACGATCAAAATATAAAGCGGGAGATAAAAGATTTTCTGAAAAATTTTTGAAATTTTTCTGTTTTTACTTTTTTTTTAAAAAAAAAGTAAATTTTCAGTTTACTTCAAGGAAAATGCAAAAAAAAGTCAATTTTGTTTCTGGCTTTCCGACTTCAAGGTCGGGAGTAGGACCGGATCTTACTCCCCGCTCGGAGTCGCCGAAAGTCAGAGCTTGTTTTTACTTTATTCCTCTTTTTGGCCCCGCACTGCAGGTTGCAAGGTTGATGCCAAGTCTTTCCCTGATGTGTCAAGTTTTTCTCTTCTTAAAAAATTATTTTTACGTTTGTGCGATGTTGTGAAGCTATGTTCTCCACGAAGATGGGATGGAAAGTGATCAAGTAAGTTAGCATTGGCAAGAGGAGATGTACGTTTTTCATTTGACATCAAAAATTTCCATTTTATTTCAGAGAAAGGTACAAAATTTTTCCAATTCGTAAAGCTTCATGACCATGGATAATGTAAGTGAGATTATCTCCTTTTTTGCTACGACGTCAAGATTCTAAGTCGGGAAACGTTTAGAGGAGACCCCACTCTCATGTATATTCTCCATGTATGAAACCCCATAAATTTTGAGGAATAACGACGTAAAAGTTTCAAATACTATACTAACTTTCCAAAAGTATGTTATACTAAAGTAAAACCTATGCAAACTATCTTCAAGTTATTGTAACAACGTTATTTGAGCCTTATTACGTTATTACCTCAGTTTAGAACGCATTCGTGGCAAAAATCCGGCAGATCTGAGCGGATTTCGATATTGTACATGACACCTAGAAATCGAAATTGGTGGCGTTTGATAGATAGAGTATATAACAAAACTAAAGTGAGGTGTCCTCTAGAACTCGCCAGCCTAGAACTGTTAACTCCAATAACGGAACAAAAAACGCGATAAGCGCACTTACATTATCCATGGTCATGAAGCTTTACGAATTGGAAAAAATTTGTACCTTTCTCTGAAATAAAAGGAAAATTTTTGGTGTCAACTGAAAAAAGTACATCTCCTCTTGCTAATGCTAACTTACTTGATCACTTTTCAGCCCATCTTCGTGGAGAAAATAGATTCACAACTTCAAAAAAAATCAAAACGTTTCTTCCGGGAGAGAGAAATTTGACACATCTGGAATTCCCGGGCGCAGCTCGCAAAAATAGTTTTGAAGAAAATAAATTGGCGTGCAGGTGAGTAAAAACGGCATCCTACTCACCAGCCAAAATGGGCGAGCCATTTTTGTTTCAACTTTGCGGATCGACCTTTTGGCGAGCCATTTTTGATCCAACTTTCCAAAAATTTGTCGTTCGGAGTAAGAATGTTTTTTGACTCTCCGAAATCGAAAATTTCCGGAAATTTTTCAAAATTTACTTTTTTTTTAAAAAAAAAGTAAAAACAGAAAAATTTCAAAAATTTTTCAGAAAATCTTTTATCTCCCGCTTTATATTACAAAACAGCCATTATATACATCATTTTATCTTATTTTATCTTGTTGCTTATGATGTTTAATCAGTTGTTTGCAAAATGTTCCGTGATCTTTCAAATTTTCTTGTTTTTCGAAAACAAAAAAAAATCTGAAAAAAAAACTTTAAAAAATTTAACTCACATTGCTCTCTCTGTCCAACGCGATGCTGAAGTAGTACTCTTTCCGAAGATAAAGTCGTTTGGCCACCATAACCTTCTCGCAGATCCTGCCAACAGCCCCAGTCTGCTTGGTAATCAGCTTGTGGTGGAGCATTTGGGCCGCTTTTTCTTTCACTTCTTCTGGACTGAAAATGGAGCCTTTACATTTGTGAGACCCCTGACTTGAGCTTTGCAGAAACTACGGAGATTTTTTGGCCGAAATTTGGAAACTTTTTTCCTCTCTTTTGGAATTTTGGGTTAAAAGTCTCTTGCCCGTTTCTACTGTATTGGGTAATGTTTCCACAAAAAAAGAATTTTGTTAAAGCAATGGCTAAAAAGAGCTTAAAAGATCAACTTCAAGCCCGCATGTTTTAGTCCTCCTTTTTACCTCTCCAAAATCTGGACTCCTCCTTGTAATCCCGAGTCGAAGTGGCCTTTTCCTCGGCCTCCGGCCAAAACCTGCGCTTTCAGAACCAAGTCTCCGCCGCCGATCCTCTTCGCCACTTCGAACGCTTCATCTGCCGTTGCAGCAACGCCAAAATCCGGGACACTGATGCCGGCCTTCCTCAAAAGTTCATGGCCATAATGCTCGTGTAGGGACAAGTTTCGAAGGCCGGTAATCAGCTAAAATATACGGGGAAAATGATGATTTTAATATTCTTCAATATTTTTAAGGCTATTATCAGTCTGTCGGGAAAATAATGTGGATTTGTCATGCCTTAGAATTGCCCATTATCGCTTTGTGATGGCTAGCTAGATTTGGTACGCGGTTGCGGCAAATCCACATTATTTTCCCGACAGAGTGACAATAGGCTTAAAAAATAGCAAAAAAAGAATCCACGCCGTATTTTACCAACCTAAAACTCACCTTTCCCGAAGTTCGAAACAGATTTCTCGTCAACATTCTGCACACTTTTTATTGTAACGTTCGCTTTTCGCCGACCGCCAAAAACAAGGGCAGTAGTTTGGAAATGAACAAATGCGGAAGCAAACTTCCCACGTGCCTCCCACTGACCATATCGGCATACTTTGCTGCTGATAAAAAGCAACTTTCTTCACAATGGAAAACAATTTCCACTGATGGTGTGTGGGTTGATGTCAATATGTGCAAAGTGAAAAAACACTTGTGGCCGTAACACTATCTTTGCTATCTTTGCGATTTTGCGAGGAAAAAAATGATTTTTTTTTGCGAAAACATGATTTACGAAACATCGAAAACCATTTTACGGCACTATTAGTCTGTCGGGAAAATAGTGGCGGGCCGTCGCAGCAAATTTTTTTTTCCAACCGCGGCTAGCGATCGCCAGGCGATGATGGGCGATTCCAAGGCGCTGAAAAACCACATTATTTTCCCGACAGACAATGCTCAGCGGATTTGTCACGCCTTGGGATCGCCCCATCATCGCTTCGCGATTTCCAGCAGCTGGAAACTTGGTGCGCAACTGCACACCTTTTTCGACGGAGCAAAACATGTTTCTGCGAAGATACACCACTATTTTCCCGACGGACTGATATCCTATTTAGCTCAATACCAATTATATGTATATTATCAAAAATTTTCTCAAAACATGACCACCTAAGCATCTATGAGGGTTCGATGCGTCAGCGGCGCTTTTCCTCACATTACACCTAAAGCGTACAATTTCCCGCAAACGACGTTTTTCTGTGGCGTTGTTGGTCATCTTTGAAGCTTTATAAAAGCCGTTATACATATTATAATTACCCAGCTGACCAACAACCTGGCTCATTTTAAATGTTCTTCGCAAGGCCCTAGAGACTTACCACCAACATGGAAAACACGTGTTACCAAAGTTGTAATATTTTTGACTTCACTCACTTTGTGACTTTGAGTACAACACAAATATGAGCGAAATCAAAAATACGTAAAGAGAAGTAGTGTAATGGTATACGTAGAGAGTATAGAAAAAACGGCAAAGCTGGTACAGTAAAGAATATCACAGAATACGCCCAGTGGAAACTCCGGACAAAAAGCTCCCGTACAACAAACACCGTCAATAATAGATGATTTCAGAGGCCCTAAGTGTACGTTTTAACCCAAAATAAACACTCAAACAATAAAAATCTTCTTCTAGTCAGTCGGTCAGTTGCTGACGTAATTTTTGGCTGTTTTGCTGTGCAGAACAAGTCAGCGTGCACTTTGCGGGCGCACTTTTGCTTTTTTTGCACAGTGCAATGCTCATAAAATTGATAGAAACAACGAATTTTTCGGGCCTTTGCGATTCGTAGCCCAGAGGCCGGATTGCAACCAAAACAAAAAACATCGGAATTACGCATGCAGGGTTTCATGCCAGAATTTGCAAAAAACTGTCGTATTTTGGCCAATTTTGGATCTAAAATCTATGCCATTCGTATATGTCTTACAAAAAATTATTCGAAATTTTTGCCAAGTTCATCAAATTAAAGCTACCCACTAACTTCCCTATAAACGTTTATGATACAAAAATGACATAAAATAACACCTCACCAGCTTGCAATCTAATTGAGGGCTCTTCCAAACGCTCCGCCAAGCCCCAATCTTGCCCGTAATTGCGGCGCTCCCAACAAGTTGAAAGCCCTCAGGGCTGGGTGTAATTAAAGTTGTAATTAACGTGGACTACACCCCGACAGTTGTGAAATAACTCACTTTACACACACACCGCACGGGTTTTCGCTGCAATTAATCCGCTCCGAAAATAAGACCGCAGGGCGTTTTTTCGCCGCTACGGGCCGCCGCTGGTGTAAATCCGACGCTTTTTTTCGGTCCTTCGAAGGTTTCGGCTTTGCACTCTTTCGCGGTGCGGATTAGCCCGTTCGAGCGCTGTAAGACAATTACGTCCGCACTAATAAGCGATTAAAGATTTCCCAGCAGCAGAACGTGCCGCTGCATGCACGGCGAAAGGATTAATTGGAGAAGAGTACAGTAGGAAGCGATGGAAAGGACAAAAAAAAATGTAATCCTCACACATGTGAGGATCGCATTATCGCCAAAAAACCGGCCGTGAAACATGAAAAAGTAACTAAAAAAGTTTTTAGTTGTCCACGGAGCCAACTAAACCAGTACCCCAAGTGCGAAGCTCATATTTTGCTGAAACATGGCACAAAGTTAGATAAGTTGTTGCTAAAAAATTTGGAAGACTCCTAGCTCGCGCTTTGCAGAAACGACCGAGATTTTTAGTCCGAAAGTTGGCTAAAATGGCACTAAATTCTTTATGCCCGTTTCTACCACAGAGTAATATTTCCGCAACAAAAATCAATTCTTCCTGCAAGAAAGTAACAAAAATGCGGCCAAACAGAGTTTTTCTCCGTGACCGCTCTTTGTCGGCTCGTTCCTGGCAAGCAACGCGAAATTTACAAGGTTTTCCAAGTACGAAAAACAGATTTTCTGACAGTTTTGCAGACCACACATAAATTTATGAAAGTCTTAGCCCGCGCTTTCCAAGGTCCGCCGAGATATTAACCGATCTTTGAGGCAGAGAGACTATGCGGAATGCGGAGAGCGATCACAAAGAAAACCGTTTTTGGCCATATTTCTGAAGATTAAGGGTTTTACGTGAGCTAAGAGTTATGTCGTAGAATAAGTTTTTATAAATTTGTGCCATGTTTCTTCACATCACTTTCCTTGTCGAAAAAATCCCTTCATAACAATCTATGAAACTGGCTCGTTGTACGGAACGACTATGCATAAGTGCGAGCTCATAGTTCTCAAAATCTCTGCATTTTACAGGGACAACCCAGATTTTTCATCCAAAAGTCGGCCAAAATTTGACATTTTTTTTCAATTTTTCATTGAAAATCAGACTGGAAGAAAGCTTTTTTTACTTTAGCCGTCCTTTGAAACGTCAAAATTTTGCCCTTGCAAAGTGCGAGACAAAATTTTTTGGAAATTGTTATGTGGCCTAGGCTTTTGATTTTGCCTTCGGACTGACTATTTGACTTGTTTTTGGGAAAAGGTTTTTAGGGATTAATATGTGGCCTACGCAGAGTAAACGTGCCAAATTTGAAGAAAATAATAATACGAGCGTCCAAACCCTGGTAAATAGAAATAATTGGGGCCATCTACAACAATATCTTTCTTCAAAAAATGCTCTCTTTGTTTTATTGTTTGTACATATCAATGTGCCACAACCTTTTTCTCATCCTTGACTCTCCCTCGGACATCAGGAGCAAATAATTTTATCCAATATTTACCATGGCAATCCGCCCAATCAATAACGTCGACGGAACGCCACAAAAAAAATAAAAAATTGTTTTTCGGAATTTTTTTTGGAAGTTTTTGTTATAATTTGTATTGAGTACTGCAAGGCAAAGGCTCTTTTATCTTCGAAAATAAGTGATTATCATTTTAGGCATATAAATTGGTCAGATGGCCACAAAAGTTGTGAATTTCGGGAAGACTTTGTGGAATCACAAGAAGAAAGTAATTTTCTTCAGCGGTCTAGCTGCTTGGGGTGGATCCTACGTCAATGAATTGTTGAAGTAAGTTTAATTTTGCTGCTGAGCGGCTTCTTTGTTGTTTTATGTTTAGGAACTTCTATTTTGAGCAATTTCTTGAGGACGGACCTTGTTGTAGGTCGAGGTGGTCGAAAATTTGCGATTTTAACGAAATTAAGGATGGATGCTGCAGGGAATTGTTTGAAATAGCTGCCCTGTGGTTTTGACTATCTGTTTGATGATTTTTACGCCCTAAAATTTTCTCTGTAGTTTAGATTTTCTGCAAAAATTTATTTTTGCCCTAAAATTTCGATGTTTTGAAAAAATCTCAACCTAAGGTGCAGAAACACTACTGGTTTTTGTTTTTTTACTCATATTCGATCTGCTTTTTCTAGTGAACAAAAGGTCCGCACCAAGTTTGCCCGATTAGCTGCCGATTTTGGAGAAGAAAAGGTCTCCACTGACTATCAACCCATCAAAGTCTTTGTTTTCGTCGATAAATCGGACCCCAACTCATTCAAGAACCTGGCAGCCTTCAACAAGAACGTGTTGCCTCTTCTGACATTGGCCGGACTCGATATTTACATGGAAAAGGCGTCCGATCGAAAGGAATTGGAAGACTTGAGCAGATCAGCTGATGTGCGGAATTGTGGGGGAATTTTAGTTGTTGGATCGGAGAAATATTCGGCGCCAGCGGTGCTAAATGGGCTTATTGTTGACGGGTTCCATGAACGAGCGCGAGCGGTATTTGGAGTTTTTGATCCGGGTGAGTTTTTTGATGTTGCACTTGATATTTAGGAGGACAAGAACGAAAAGTTGCCGCAAATTTTTGAAGGAAAGACCGTTTTCATTGAAGAAGGATTTGATTAAAACCTTTAAAAAAGTCTTCGAACTTATGTGAAATACCATAATTCATCAAAAAAATCACATTTTCTGACAAAAAATTTTGGGCTCAGCCGGTGATCGAAACCGGGGCCTCTCGCACCCAAAGCGAGAATCATACCACTAGACCACTGAGCCGCATTCTCCGCTCCGCGCAAACGCGATCTCCACTTATCGAAAATCGAAAAAAATATCTGAAAACAAAGGAGAAAAATTCATTTTTTCATCGCAATTCTTTCTTATCCCCTTAGGGCGTCTCTTTTCATAGACGCATCAAAGAACGCGGCTCAGTGGTCTAGTGGTATGATTCTCGCTTTGGGTGCGAGAGGCCCCGGTTTCGATCACCGGCTGAGCCCAAAATTTTTTGGAGGTGTAAATTTATGTTTAAAATACGGGAGGATGGTTTTGACGTATCTTTAAGGTCTCTTTAATTTATTATATACCAGTTTTTTACTCTGCAAGACATAATATGTTATTTATTTTTACAAAATCTTAAACTTTTGCCTAGTGTAATATAAAGTCTCCGAAATTTTTTGAGCATCATTTTTGAATAGTTTAAGATGTTTTAAAATGCATAGAAAGGGCCATTTTGTGTTTGCTTTTTTTCAATTTGTTCTCCTGTTTCAGTTGAAAAAGACGATGTTCCCGCACTGTGCGAAAAGGCCATTCGAATAATCAAAGGAATCAAAAAGGATCAACGAGTCTACAGAACCAAAGTTTATGTAAGTTTAAACCTTTTTCTTTTATTTATTCTATGTTTAGGGAGACGACAGAGACGATATCAAAGTGGACTATCGACTGGGCGATATTACTTTTGGTTGGTATGACTACATTGCTGAGAGGCAATCCAAATTTTGGATTTTTGGAGGCCTGGCCGATCGAATTGCAGCCACCTGGTACTTCCTCAAAGTACGTGGAGGTTGTAAAAATTTATATTTTCGATTTCAGAACTACCCAGAGCCCTTGGAATGTCACGTGAGGCAAGTGGCGTACTGTTCGGGCTGTAGAAGATGTATTTCCGAAGCAAAAGCCAAGAAAACAGTCGCAGACAAACGCAAGGGCTTCTGGAGTCGATGGATCGGCCGAAGAGAGCAGCCCGGCGACGCCTTGAAACGACAATATTTGAACGTTCTGAACGAAAATTGTGGAAAGGAAACTGAAATGGACATGAGCTTACTGGACTTGAGCATACAAAATGTTCAAAATGGGGTCAGAATTTTTTGATTTTTTGTGGGGTGATTGGTTTCTTGAGGAAAAATCTTTTGACGAAAAAAATTACTAAAATTTGCGATGAAAAGTTCTAATAGGCATTAAAAAGTCAAAAGAAAAAAAAAACAAATATTTTTCTCTATGACACCAAAAATTATGTAAAATACAATTTTCATAAAAAAAAACCGCCGCCCATCATAACAAAAATTTTGGGCTCAGCCGGTGATCGAAACCGGGGCCTCTCGCACCCAAAGCGAGAATCATACCACTAGACCACTGAGCCGCGTTCTCCGCTGCGCTTTTGAAAGCATACGCCCTAAGGGGATAAGAGTGAATTGCGACAAAAAATGAGTTGTTCTCCTTTGTTTTCAGTTATGTTTTGTGCTTTTCGATAAGAGGGGATCTCGTTTGCGCGGAGCGGAGAACGCGGCTCAGTGGTCTAGTGGTATGATTCTCGCTTTGGGTGCGAGAGGCCCCGGTTTCGATCACCGGCTGAGCCCAAACTTTTTGGCATGATGGGCGGTGGTAGTTTTTTGATGAAAACTGGATTTTACGTCATTTTTGATGTCATAAAAAAGCGTAAAAAAATTTTGATAAACTTTTTTTAGAAATCGTTGGTAAATAATCTTTTTTCCGCCTTATTCTACCGTATTTCAGGCTCGAGGACAGCTGGAATTAAAATCGGTGGATCCAGCGACCGGTCGATTCAACGCCATCAAAACCGCTTGGAAAGAACTCTCAAATAAAACCTCCGAATCCCCATTCAAAACTGATTTAACAGCCAACAAATTGGTCATCGAATTGAAACCCAAATTTGAACAAGAAGAAGACCAAAGATCGCCTTTCCCGGAGATCCTCGCCAATTCCCAGTCCGTAAGCCTACTAAAACCGAAAGAAACCTCAAAAAATATTAGTAGAATTGTTGTGGAAAATGTCTCAAATATTGTTCAGGTGTTTTAGAGAGACAAGTTGTTGTGTTTGAAGAATTCTAGGAGTGTTGGTTTTGAAAATTTATTAAAAAGTTTAGTATTTTACATGGTAAAACTGTTTATAAGATCGTTTTTTTCTGTTCTAATATGAAATTCATTCCCGTTTTTGTTTGGAGAACCCGAGAATCCCTGATAATGTGATATACGCTCTTCGAAGAGCGAAGAAACCAATAACTACGACTAAAATTGCGGTGGAAATAATTGCAAAAATGATATCAAGATTGTAAAATTGGATTGTGCTGAGTTTACGACCGTCCATATCCAAATGCTCTTCAACGTCGTATTTGGCGGCAAATTCGGCCGTCTGAACCACTCGTTCTTCCGGGGAAATCGGCTTGTTTCGAATGATTTCGGCCAGCTTGACGGCTTGCTCTTTGTAACTAAAAAATATTGAAATAAGAGCTACAATGCGGCGCAAGATCCAGTGGTCAAAAGTGCTTCTGATTGCATCCGGGAGGCATTCCGAATACAACTACAGTGGCGGACCGGATCCAGTGGCAAAAAACGTACCATTTTGCATACGGGAGGTATCGAAAATGTGGCAAAATGCTTCCTCTCCAAGTGAAAAAACTCCAATTTCAAAATCGCGCCCGCTGTTTTTGTGAGGAAGGAGAGCGCGCCATTCAAATCGAAGTTTTTAACTTGGAGAGGGAAGCATTTTGCCACATTTTTGATACTTCCCGGATGCAACATGGTACGTTTTTTGCCACTGGATCAGATCCGCCACTGTAGATATCCTCCTGTGGCAGAAAATGCCGTTTGAGAGGGTGAGAAAGTCGCCATTTTGGAAAGAAGAGAGGCTGAATCGCCGAAATGCTTCTCTCTGTTTTCTTTCCAAAAGGCAACTTTCTCGATACACTCCTCGGAAGAACGCATTTTCGGTCAGAGAGCTGGATACGTAGTGGTATTCGGAATGCCTCCAGGAGGCAATCAGGAGCACTTTTGATACACGGATCCTGCCTCACACTGTAGACGGACCGTATTTAAAAAAAGTACTTTTTTCAAAATTCAGACTTACTGCTTATCATTGATGAATTTTCTGACGGTCTCAATGATGACGTCCTTTTTGTTCAAGTCGAATTTACTCAAAACTTCAGCCACCTTTTTCCTCTTGATCATTGCCCCATTTCTCGCCTGGTCCCCGAATAAGGGAATGCAAATCATTGGGACGCCGCTCCATGTGGCCTCAGTGATACTATTCATACCACCATGCGTGATGAAAGCCAGGGTCTTGGGATGAAGGAGGATATCGCGTTGAGGGAGCCAGTTGGAAAGATAAACGTTGGATGGGATTGGCTGAAAGGGAATAGCTGTGTTAAAGTGGTACGAATAAGGACTGGTGTAGATATGCGTTCGTATTTTATTACAAACTAAAAAAATTTGGGCTCAGCCGGTGATCGAAACCGGGGCCTCTCGCACCCAAAGCGAGAATCATACCACTAGACCACTGAGCCGTGTTCTCCGCTGCGCTTTTGAAAAGATACGCCTAAGGGGATAGCAGGAAACGCGACGAAAATCAATTGTTCTCCTTTGAGTTTTCAGATATTTTTTTTGCGATTTTCGATAAGAGGGTATAGAGTTGACCTTTTATCGAGAATCGCAAAAAAAAATAGCTGAAAACTAAAAGAAGGATGACTAGTTATCGTCGTATTTCTTGCTATACCCTTAGGCGTATCTTTTCAAGAGCGCAGCGGAGAATACGGCTCAGTGGTCTAGTGGTATGATTCTCGCTTTGGGTGCGAGAGGCCCCGGTTTCGATCACCGGCTGAGCCCAAATTTTTTTTATTTTGCAATGAAATCTATGCTGCAGTCCATGAAAGGACTATGCAGAAAATTGAAAATTGATTTTTTCACAACTCACCCCTGGCAATTCCTCGGTCAAATTCTCGTATTTCCAAATGAATTCCACCTCGGGAAGTTGCGAAAACGCCTCCAAGATCGCCTTTTTATTCGCGTCCGGCATGAATTTGCTCTGCGCGACGGATCCGAACGACATGAAAACTACCCCTTTCTTGGCTCTTTTGTAGATGTTTTCAATCTCCTCGGGCAATTTGCCCGCCTTTTTTAGACTTTCTTTCATTCCCAGCCCTCCAATGTTCACGTATTTGTGGGAGATTGGTCTCGGGAAGTCGACGAATTCATCAGTGTTGACCCAGACGTAGGAAGCGGAGGCGAGAATTTCCTGAAATGGGGTAAATCAGAGTTTATAGAGCCAAATTTGTGGGTGGTTGGTGCTTACGTTGAAAGTTCTCTTTGTCTCCACCTTCTCAAGAGCCTCTGCCTGAAGATTGACCAAGTTTTCGGTGAATATCGATGTTTTCACAAAGCCAATCAGGCTGTTTATCCTCTCGAAGAATCCGTTTACGCCGTGGGTATGGATTGAATCTAGAAATTGAAAGAAAATGCTATTACTCTAACAAGGGAAGTCACTTTTTTCGCAGACGGACTTTGGAACGGGACCTAGTAGGTTTCAAACGTGAAGCGTCTGCAATCATAAAACTGATTTCCAAAAGTGTTTACGGGCCTTCTCCGCCGAGAAAATCGACCGCAAAGTTTAGTCGAAATGGGCGAAAAGCCTCCTCAAAAGAAACAGCTCATTTCATCTGCAGTGGTGGCCGAGTGGTCAGTGCGCTCGCTTTTTGCGCCAGAAGAGGCGGGTGCGATCCTCTGCGCAGTTTATTCTCTTTTTTGGTTCTTAAGTATTGGTTTAGTATGTAAACATAAAATGTATACACTTTTTAAATTTTTTTACAGCAATTTAAACATAAATTCAAAGCTGAATGTTCATGAATATTGTAAAGTCAAAACAGGCCTGGGTTAATGAAGATATAGTTTCTAAATTCGTGTTTTATTAAAAATTGCTAATAGTTAGCACATGCGGTGTTAACGGCATTCGCTATTTATTTCAAATGGCCAAAAGAAATGCATCCGCAGACGGCCGAAGTCGAACTCACGTCTTCTGGCACAAAAAGCGAGCGCACTGACCACTCGGCCACCACTGCAGATGAAATACGCTGTTTCTTTTGGGGAGGCTATTCGCCCATTTCGGCTAAACTTTGCGGTCGATTTTCTCGGCCGAGAAGTCCCGTAAACACTTTTGGAAATCAGTTTTATGGTCGCAGGCGCTTCACGTTTGAAACCTACTAGATCTCGTTCCAAAGTCCGTCTGCGAAAAAAGTGACTTCCCTTGTAAGATAAGCGTGCTGTCTTGGACCGTATGATTCTTCTGCGGTGGCGGACCTGATCCATTCTCAAAAAACGTACCGTTTTGCATCCAGGAAGTATCAAAAAATGTGGTAAAATACCTCCCTCTCCAAGTGAAAAAACTCCGTTTTGAAGAAAGCCTTTCCCCCAAAAAAGAGCGGGCTCTTTGAAATTGGAGTCTTTTCACTTGAAGAGGGAGGTATTTTGCTACATTTTTGATACTTCCCGTATGAAAAAATGGTACGTTTTTTGCCACTGTAAAAGATCCGCCACTGTGTGGAATAAAATCAAGTCTCTGCGATCGTCTTTTACCTGGTACAAACGATGGTGTTGACGGAATTCCATATAGTCCAGTTAAGTCCAATTGCAGCGGCATTCCGGACACCAAAATGCTCTTGGAGATCCCAAGTTTCTCCCCAAGAACAGCGCCACAGGCGGAGAAGAATTCGGATATAATCAGGTCGAATTTTTCTTTCTTGAAACTCTCCATTAATTCGTTGTCGGAAATTGCTTCCAGACAGTAGTCTAGATAGTTATTGCCGAGAGCTCGAATGGCCTGAAAAGCTTTTGTCATTATTGAGCATGACTATCGATCTAGCCCAAAGTTGTTTTACTGACCGTTCCAATTCCCTGGAATTTGAACATATCATCGAGCCACACACCGGTTGTCATTGCGCTGGTCTGGAGGATGGTCACATTTTTTGCCTTGAATTCGATGGTTCGAACTGACTTGTGCGAGACTCCTGTGGTGGCGAGTGGGTATACCAGTGGTTGGAAATTCACCTGGAATATTATCAGTCTGGCAGGAATGTAACGGCGGATCGTCGCGCCTCGGAATCGCCCATCACTGCAACCCGCGGCTTGGGATTTTGGTGATGATTTTGCTGCGACGACCCGCCGTTATTTTCCCGACAGACTGATATTCACGTCGCTTGGAAGAGAGTTTACGGTACAAAAAGAAGAAAATTTAGTGCCGTTTGTTTTATAGCACACTCCTATGCTTTATAATGTGGGTTATGCGTTCCACAGGAGCGTCATAGCATTATGGCTGCAAAAATATCAATTCCTGAAAGTTAGCCAGGTTTAAATAGCCGTCTGGATATTCAGCGAGCTTATCCGCCGAGAGAGTAGGCGAAACTCGGAGAGCGGTGAGAGAGAAAAACACTTTTTTGGCCATTTCTTTGCCTGTGGAAAAAGGTGATTTCTAGTGGAGCAACTACTTCTACGGTAGAAGTGCAGTGGCGGACCTGATTCAGTGGCAAAAACGTAACATTTTTCATCCGGGAAGTAACAAAAAAATGTAGCAAAATGCCTCCCTCTCCAAGTGAGAAACTCCGATTTCAAAAGCGCGGTCGTTTTTTTTATTAGCGAGCGACGCACGACTTTCAAAACCGAATTTTTTCACTTGGAGAGGGAGGTATTTTGCTGCATTTTTGATACTTCGCGGATGCAAAATGGTGCCTTTCTTGAGACTGGATCAGGTCCGTCACTATAGGGACAAAACTTCTTACATAAAAATTGCATGAAAGTGCCAAATTTTGCAAAATTTCGGCCAAAAAATCTCGGTCGTTTCTGCAAAGCATGAGCTAAAAATCGCTGAAAAAGATTCAACCCTATAGCTACTTTTGGTAATCACGGCCATACAAAAAAATCGCCACTTACCACATCATGACCGGCTGCGGCCAACTGATCGGCCAACTTGCCCATCTGCATTGTATGACTTCGGCCGATGCGTGGGTTGAAGACCAAAAACTTGAGCCCATCGCTTGCAACGGCGAACAATGCGAACAGAAGGAGCCGAAGGACGCCTCGCATTTCGATTGAGACGTTTAGCGAAGTAGCAGGCCCTTCGGAAAGTTAACTTTTATTTATAAACTGTAAAGTCGGAAAACTTGGTAACAAGTCACACACGCTGAGCATAACATAAATAGCCTTGTCTGATGAGGTAATTGGTTAGAGGAGCGTTAACTAAATGGGTTCAACCATCAAAAAACGGAACGCTTGGGTGTCTGGCGTGCTGTTGCTAAAAATACCAGCCTGTCGGGAAAATAGTGAGCGCCCTGTTGCTGAGCCAATCGCGGAGTACAAAGCAACTTGTTTTGCCATGAAACAGCTGGTTTTCTTGGCGGTGATGGAATTTTTGATCGGAAGGATCTATATATTTTCCCGACAGACTCTTACGCGGCCGCTGGCAAAGGTAAACAATGAAGTTTTTGATTAAAAAGTTTATCCCGTTACAAAGGAAGGGTCAGATTTCCCTTCAATTTTGCACCCACCTCCCAACTGGCCCACAGATCAAAGGGCTGAAAATTTTGGCTGGCGCTTTGCAGACGCAACCGAGATATTCAGAAATTTTTTGCGGCCGAGAGAGTATGCAAAAGTGGAGGCAGTCGAAAAAAATTATTTTTTTGTGGAAGCATTAACCTTATTAACAAAAAAAATCGCGAAAAAGTGCCACATTTTTGCCAACTTTCGACTTAAAAATCTCGGTAATTTGTGCAAAGCGCAAGCTAGGAGTCTTACATATGTATTCGAAAAAATTATTATTGACATGTGCCAGGTTTCATCAAAATCGGAGCGCCGCGCTTCAAGTACTTCGCTGTTATTTCAAGAAAACTGAATAAACCTCGAATCACGTGTGTGTTAATAGAAAACTTTTGAAACTGCGCTCCCGCTTGTAGCGAGTTATTTGTCATTACCAAAAAGTTTCCGTTTATCTTTTTCAAAGGAGTGTTGTAACACTGGAACTTTAGGGGGTTGTGCAGGAACGTAGCAGATTGATTTTATTTTTTTCGCTACTTGTTTTGAGAAAACATACTTTAAGCTCTAGAGGACGTGAAAGAACTACGTATATTACGGTAGACAAATCGTAATTCGAATTGGTAAATTCAGGCTGCCCGCAAAGTGGTTGCAAAAGCAGCGAAGTCATCAGAAGTAGATCTTTCAAACAGCAGAAGATGCTGTCTATCAGCCTGTCCGGAAAATAATGTGGATTCGTCGCAGCAAGATATTTCTTCTGCAGCAGCGGCCAGCGCGATGATCAACGATTCAACGGCGCAACAAATAAACATTATTTTTCCGGACAGACTGATAATAGAGCAGTGTGGATTTCAAATGGCGTACGCCGAACGACATTATCATCATTTACTGATCCAAACAGTTCAAAGAGCACTTGTGGAATCAACGATCAAATATGCGCCAAGTTAAGTTTCATCATCAAACGCAGGGTCTGCTTTGATAATAATGATAAGATTGTATATGTGACCTTTTCGTAATTCTTCTTGTCCGTGGCCGTCTGTGCCATTGCTTATACGCATATCACTTCCAGAAGGTTTTAGCTCGCGCTCTGCAGAGGCAGCCGAGATATTCAACGATCGTTGAGGGAGTACGCGGAATGCGGAGAGAGGTTAGAGAGAAAAACAGTTTCGTGCGGAAAAAACTGATTTTTATGGAAAAATTACCCTTTACAGTAGAAACAGGGATGAAATTTTTCATGCCAAAATTTGCATAAAAGTTCCAGTTTTTTTACCAAACTTCTTTACAAAACATTCTGTCCAAACTTTGGCCAAGTTTCATGAAAATCTAAACACCCCGCAGTTCTAGCACATCCCTTGTAAACCCAAGTCAATTTTTATCAATTTTCACACGACTAGGGCTCGAGACTTCGCAGCCTGCGGCTGCTCACGTCTCTCGGGCAACCCTGCGCCCGGTTTCGCTGCTTTGCGCAACGATTTGAGCCATTTTTGAAGATAAATTGTGATGAAAAGTCGCTTTTGCGGAAGAAACGCTCGCCAAAGCTTTGCCGACGGCCTCCGGCCGCGGCAGAAAAACGCTACGCGTTAGACTGAGCCTAGTAGCAACTTTCGGCGTTCAAAACGCCAAGCCGACCTTGTCTTAGGTCAAAAAGTTCAGATCGCTAAGCTTACCCTAATCGTCAAGTCAGTCCCAGATCGCTTAGCCGGGTTAAAGAGCCGGCATGAGGCGACGGCCTACGGCCGCCGCGAGACTACATTTTTTTACCTAAAACAATCTTCCTTCCACCAAAACTTGATCAGAAGCTCATACAATAAGGAAAAATCAACTAAAACCTCGAAAAGATAGACTCAGCACTCAAAATTATCCAAATCCAATATTTTTCCCGAAATCCCCGTCAAATTTGGCCCTAAAACGGCCAAATCCCGAGAATCCAGGACCAAAAAAATAATTTTACAAAAATTCTCAAAAAAAATCCAGAAATTCCCGTCATTACGCGTCACGATGACAGTTTCCGTACCACCCTCCTCACACTCAGCACTCTCTCCGTCTTATCTCTGACCGAAATCGAAAGAGAAAACCTTTGTCTAATCACCCTCCACCCCTTTCTCACTCTCTTTTTTCTCCCGCCAAACGAAGAAGGAAACAGTTCTCTGCCCGCTCTCTCTCTTCGCCGCGCTCTTTTCTTGTGTTTTCGGTCATGGAAGTGGGCGTTCTTTCAAAACTGGCACTTGTTGCACTAAAAGTACCGGGAAAAAAGATACGACTATATCCAAAATGACGTGGAGATTCCGAATATGTAACTTTTAGACGAATTTTGGTTGGAAATTTTTGAGTTTTGGTCGATTTTGTGATTATGTTAATTTTGAAATTTTTTTTTCGTTCCAAATATCTTACCAAAAAGTTGTATGTTACAACTGAGGTTTTGCATACTTCTCCGAAGTCTAAATACGAAGTGCACCTGAGAGCGGGATTTTTCGATTTCGACCTTGTTTTTCAGATAATGTAACTTTCGCCAAAGTAAGCAAAATCCAAAAATTTTGTAATTCTAATATTCCTCTCGCAGCTTGGTCGTATTTTAGAATTCGATTGTCGTTTCTATAGCAGTTTAACCTACTGAACCCGGCAGAACAAATAAAAATTCAAAAAAATTCCATCTGAAGCCCTGAGGGCCGAAATTCGGCCAAAATTTCGAAATTTTTTTTGATGACCCAGTGCACAGCGAATACGGAACGCAGCGACCTGAAACTTGGCATGATGGTAGTTTGGTTTGTCTACTATCACATCCAGGAAGTCAAGTTTTCAAACATCGCTTGTTGCCCTGAGGGGATCTTTTTGAAAAAGGTGCCCATTTTTCGGCCGAAATTTCCGGCCGCTCTGGGGGCCGTAATTCGAGAGATACGAACGTGGTGTAAGCTTGTAAATTGTAGAGCTCTTCGAGCTCTACAATCTATAGTTGGGCACTTTTGACATTGTTGTTGACCGTCCGGGGTAAAAATTTGAAAAACTGAAAATTTGAAAAATTTGAAAAATCGACTTTTTTTTGGCGAAACTGGTTCTGAGAGATGACGATGACTACAGGTCCAAAAACAATTGAGGGCAATCTTCGGGCAAAAAAAATAAGATTTGCGAGTGATTTTTTTGAATTTCGACCTGGGAGCCGAGAACCATTTTGTCGAACTTTGCACTGTGCAAATCGTATTTTCTACAGTAAGCCATGGCTAAAATACGAAGTTCACTACAAAAAGAAAGGCACGACCAAATACGAAGTTTGGTACGTAGAATTTAATGGAATTGAAAAAATCCAGAAAATCCGTCATCATGACGGGGTTTTCTGGAAGTGTAACTTTGTACATGGCCGTATCTACACATACATCGAGATATCTCTTAGTTATGAATTTGCTTTCCCGATATGGACCTGTAGAAGCTTGCATTTCAATAAAGCTGGACGCGTCGAACGTTTACGAAAAAAGGTCATTTTTTGAGATTTTTTTCGTAAAATTTGAAATTTCGAAAAAATCTCGACAGTGATTGTCCCATTATGTACCATACGCGACGAAACCAAAAATCAAGTCGATACCTATAAAACGAAGCGAGATATGGTAGCTCAAAGTTTCGACATTTCATGACGTCATAGGTCACTCAAAATTGAAAATTTCGAAATTTTTTTTCAAATACTCAAAGAGAGCATCTAAAAGAACCACCATGCCAAAAATCAAGTCAATCGGGGCAAAACAAAAGTATAACCACAAACCCTACGAATACTTGTGTTTTTTTTTAGATAGTATTCATATTAACCTTGATATTTTCAATGGATACGTAAGATTTCTCAGAAAAGCAGGTAAGAAGTGAGCCAAACAAATGCGGCGGGGACGGCAACAGCCACAAGAATGATATCAATATTGTAATACTCTATCGTACTCAGTTTTCTTCCGTCCATATCCAAATGCTCTTCAATGTCATATCTGGCGGCGAATTCGGCCGTCTGAACCACCCGTTGTTCCGGCGAAATTGGCTTGTTTCGGATGATCTGGGCCAATTTTTGAGCGTTCTCCTTGTAACTGAAAGTTGGAAATATATTTTTTGGGGTATTTGATGTTGAAAAATGGAGAAATTTTTAAAAAATAAGAAAAAAAAATAGAAAAATAAAGAAAATAAAAAAAATTATTTTTTCAGTCTTCCAAAAAATAAAAAAATAAAAAAAAATGAAAATTCTGTCGGGAAACGCATGAGAAAAAAGATCTGCGCGAAATCCACATTATTTTCCCGATAGAACGTTAAAATTTTTTTTGCCATAAAAAAATCCAAAAATCCCATACCTTTCATCGTTCACCAATTTCCCAATCTTCTCCACAATAACGTCGGTCTTGGCCAAGTCCAATTTACTCAACACTTCCCCCACCTTCTTCCTCTTGGCCATGGCCCCATTTCTGTGCTGATCCGCGAATAATGGGACAACGATTGTCGGGACTCCACTCCACGTCGCCTCGGAGATACTGTTCATTCCTCCATGAGTGATAAAGCCAAGGGTTTTGGGATGAAGGAGGATGTCTCGTTGAGGGAGCCAGTCGGAGAGATAGACGTTGGATGGAAGGGGCTGAAAGTTAGAAAAAAATTGGAAATGATTTCTAGGTGGGGTATGGAGAAGAAAGCAAAGAAAAAAACTTTTTTTTGCAATTTTGGACTCAGAGTTTTAGGTTCAATGACAAGTGATTTTTTCTACGAAAAAAAGACTCTAAAAGTTATCGACAAAAGGTTTGATTACAGTCGCTGAATTAGCACTATACGCCATCACATTTTCTGCGTTTTTTACGGACCTCTTTCTAACCAGCTTCTACGAAACAAAGTATCTTTAACCTGTGTACAACTGTAACAAAACCTGCCTATAAAAACAACTTCTGATGCCGTGCGGTCAATTTTAGAGTAAAAGTCTGCGTTCGATCCTTTCCGTTGGTATCTTCACGCACAATGCGAAGAAAAAAGAAGGGTGATATGCACAATGCAAAATGACGGGTTTTGTGCACGATGCAGAGTAAGGCAACAGGTCCGGGGACTTTATGAAAATACTAATATCAGTCTGTCGGAAAAATAGTGAGCACAATGTCGCTGCGTCAATTGCGTCGCTGAAGTGAAAAGCAATTTGATCTTGCCGCGACACAATTCATTTTCTAATGCGATTTTTGATGCGACAGAGTGCTCATTATTTTCCCGACATACTGATATAGCGAATAAAAATTTTCTGGCCTCCTCTAAATTTCTGTACAAAAGTTTCTTTGTATCCTTTTCTCCATAAACATTTGTCATCTTGCCCAAATCTGTAACTCACCACAGGTAATCCATCGGCCGACTCCTCGTACTTCCATATGAATTCCACCTCCGGGAACTCGGCAAAAGCATTCAAGATTCCCTTTTTGTAACTCTCCGGCAACTCCGCGGTTTTCGTAACTGTTCCGAACGACGCCAATATTACTCCTTTCTTGGCCTTTTTGAAAACATTTTCAATTTCATCCGGCAATTTGGTCGCTTTCTTCAGGTTGTCCGCCATTCCAAGGCCTCCAATATTGATGTACTTGTGGGAAATTGGCCTTGGGAAGTCGACAAATTCGTCGGTGTTGACCCAGAAGTAGGAGCAGGTCGCTAGGATCTCCTGTAATCAGAGCTGATTAAAATTGGAAGTACTGGAAGACTTTAGAGATACAGGGTGCACCACTTGAAACTGACAAGTTGTTTCTTTGAATTTCTCCGCGGAGACTCCGCCGATTTTTCTAAAATTTTGATTTTTCGGTAGCTGAGATCCGCCATTTTGAACCGACTGAAAAACATATATTTTAAATTGACCTTTGCCTTCCCAAAGTTTTGAAAAATTATTTTCGAGCCGAAACCGCTAAATCGCCGACCGTCCGGGTCGTGATAACATGCCCATGCACTTTGTGAAAACATCAAAATATTTCAGTCTATTGGGAAAATATTGAGCATAATCTCGTTGCGCAAATCGCGTCGCTAAAGCAAAAAAGCAATTTGGTTTTGCCACGACACAATTCATTTTCTCAATGGCAATGCGATTTTCGATGCGACAGAATGCTCATTATTTTTCCGACAGACGATAAAAAAAGGCTTACCTTGAAAGACTTATTCGTCCGGACCGCTTTCAAAGCTTCCCCCTGGCTATACGTGAGCCCTCTTATAAAATTTGTGGTCCTGATGACACCCACACAAGACTTGAGCCGGCCAATGAAGCCTTTGACGTTTTCGGTGTGAATTCCATCTAAAAATCAGAAAAAATATCGATAGTCGTTTTCCAAAAACTGCTTTTAAAATGGGACTTAGAAATTGCTCTTTCTTGACGACCATTCTTTACAAATATCCAAAAATTCTCACCCGGAACAAACGACGGGGTTGATGGGATTCCCAACAATTTCGCCAGCTCAAATTGCAACGGCATGCTTGATACCATAATCCGTTTCTTGATCCCCAACCTCTCTCCAATCACAGCGCCGGCGGCAGTGAAGAATTCGAAGATGAGGAGGTCAAAGTTTTCGGCAGCCAGCTTGTCCATGAACTCGTCGTCTGTCACCATCTCAATGCAGAACTCTCGATAGCGCCTTCCCATCGGTTGGACCGGCTGAAATTGAACTTTTTTTACCAAGGAAGATGTCTCAATTTCGTTGCTGTGGTTCTTAGAAAACTTGGCGCAAGGCGGTAATTTTTTCGAAGACGTATGTAAGATTCCTAGCTCGCAGTTTGTAGAAACAACTGAAATTTTTAGGGGGCAAAACTCTCATGAAGAGCCAACGTTTTTTATTATACTTGGTTTAACCAAAGTGTCAGCCTACTAGAAAAAAATTTTGGCAATTTCTCAATGTCCAGCCAAGATATTCAAAAAAAAATCTTTTTGCGGTATTTATATATTACATAGAAATAAGAAGATGCTCGGTATTTTGTCAAAAAAAATTTATACACCAACGCAGAAGGAGTGTAATATGCGGTGGCTTGTTTGGCCGACGCGTGACATATCGAAGAGGCCATAAGTCAGCATCGAATAAATATACAGAGCTGTGAAAAGCTCAAAAAAATTCACGCCCACCAACTTACACTAACAAACAACTCCTTCCATTTGAAGCCGCCCTCCAGGAATCTGGCCGGTCCTCCCCGATTTCCCATTTGTTGATTGGTCAACGGCCCCTCTTTGAATGTATAATTTATTGTCCTGATGCTCTTGTGTAGGACTCCAGTGTGACCCGACTCCCGAAAGAAGGGTTGGAAATTCACCTAAATTTATCAGCCATTTGAATATTACCAGTATGTCGGGAAAATAATGAGCGCAATGGCACTACGCCATTCGTGTCGCTGAAGAGAAAAGCAATTTGATTTTGCCGTGACACAATACAGGGTGTTTCAAGAAATTCCCCGGAAAGTAATCGTCGATTTCTCGGTGCTCGGCCATGATATCCGAAAATTTTTTTTGCGGTAGAAAGAAGGTTATGGGCGGTTTTTTGCCTACAAAGATTTTTTTCTACGCCGACATTGTCTGGCAAGCATTTTCTGCAGGTATCGTATACCCTCCAAAATTTTGTGGTCAAGCCTTGGCAGATGTCTAGTCATCACGGAAGCACTTGGTGCACCAGAAAAACAACAAAAAAATGTTTGTTTAAATTTCTCTTTGTCCTGCTGTTTCAAACATCCGCGCGGTGTGCTCCGACTTTATCGATGTTGCAGCGACTGCATTGCACTGTGCAGTTGCTTAATGGGATCGCATAGCGTTATACCCTGCCTCCTGATCCATTGTGCAAAAAATCTGAAGACTTTCCGGATGCTGCAGTGTCACAGTAAAGCGTTTGAGATTAGTGTGATGGTCAAAAAAGCGATCAAAAGTCTTCGCCGAATACACTGCATTCCGCGTCGGCGTAGAAAAGAAATCTTTTTAGGCAAAAAAACCGCCCATAACCTTCTTTCTACTGCAAAAGAAGATTTTTGGATATCATGGCTGAGCGCCGAGAAATCGACGTATACTTTCCGGGGAATTTCTTGAAACACCCTGTACATTTTTTTTCGGCGGCGATGCGATTTTTGAAGCGAGAGGGTGCTCATTATTTTCCCGACAAGTGACTTAATTTAAGCGATTCGCTTAATAAACCAAAAAAAAAAAAATTATTTCCGGCTTACCACTTCGTGTCCAGCCTCGGCTAACACATTTTCGATCCGCTCCATTTGACCGGTATGTCCTCCGCCGATGAAAGGGTTAAAAACCAAAAATTTTAGACGCCGGTCCGAGCTCATGGCTGTGAAAGCTTGTGGAATTAAAGCTGAAAATTTCAGATTATGCTTGTTACACCACCTGCCGCGAAAAATTAATTTTTTAGAAGATATATGCAAGAATCCTAGTCTTGGCGATAAAAAATTACACACATGTTTTTACCGTAGAGAGAGGAATGCTTCCACGCAAAATAATTTCTTCCCTCAAAGAAATGGCCAAAAATTGTTTTTTCTTCTGAGCGCTCTCCAAATTTCACGCATATACTCGCCCGGAAAAAAATTTGAAAAGATCACGAATTAAAATTTTTGCCTTTTCTTTGCAATGCCGAAAATAACACCAACGACTTTGCGAACGGACTAGAAATGATATAAAATCGCTTTTTTTCAGACCAGAGTTCTCCATAAAAGTACCGGGTTTCTGCATAAAATAAAAGGTCCAAAAGCAATCAAAATTCACGCGCCTTATATTAACATACGCGACCAGACATGGGTGCAAAGTTTAACAAAACTTTTGAGCACGTCCCCGGTGAGTCAACAGAAAAATAAGCAACTTGTAAACACAAAAAATTTACAAGACGAAAAGCGCTTTTATGGGCCTTTTATTTGTTTTTATGGATTCTTTTATGCAAGCCGTTCCTAAAAGCGTCCAGCACTCGAAGGCACAAAAAAATTACAAAAAATCCACAGCTTTAAATTTACCTTTGAAGGAGGTTGATAATATTATTTACGCAATTTAACGAAGACAATGACGAACTTCAACAAAAGTCCAAACGGAGGGAAATTTTGGACAATGATAAGGATACTCTTTTGACAATTAGGAAAGTGTTTTTTTGGAGCTTGCACGTTCTTTTAGGAAAACAAAGTATGCGGTGCTTTTGTGGAGAGAGGAGGCTAAAAAACAGATGCAATTTTTAACCAAATTTTCATAAAATCTGATGCAGATTTAGGATATTTTTTTCTAATTGCAAGACATATGTGAGACTTTTAGTTCGCGCTTTGCAGAAAGGACGGATTTTTGGAAAATTATCGAAAATACCCTATTTTTTGTGGGTTTTGGCATTGAAAGTTTCATAAAAATTTGCAGAGAGCAGTGTTTACACATGAAGTAAAATTTTTCCTCATCAAGCTCGATATGGAAAAAAAGCGTTTTTCTTTCTGACCGCTCTCCGCGCTTTGCTCCATCCGCCGCAAAAGTCGTTGAATATCTCGGCTGCCCCTGCTAAACGGAAGCTAGAATTTTCAGAGACCGGTATGTGGCCTATGTCCGAAGTTTGAGCAGAATTTACAGAGAAACGTGTAGTTCCTAGACCACACACCAATTATTTGAAAATTTTTATTTTGCCTTCCTAATTGGCCGCCGAGAAATTCATCGGTTTTGCAGCCAAGAATGTGCACGAAAGTTTGCGCGGTGTATGCCAGACTATTGGGTAAAAAAAGAAATAAAAAAAACTAATTTTAAAAAATCTCATCGCTCAAAGCAAGCCTCAAGCGATTGCAATTGCTACCTATATAAAATGAAGCCAATATAAACTATGTTTAGTCATCAGAACACGACAAAACTCTCTTGTTGTTGTTTGGGAACTTTCCAAAACAACAGCTATGATTTTTTCAAAGGCCAAGCAATTATAAACAAGGCACGACCAATTTAAAAGTACTTTTCGTTCTTTATTTTTGCTTCAAATCAAAAAGCAAACACAAGTCTTACGTTGGGTTTGTTCACTTCGTCGAGAAGGGTGTTGTGCCCTTTGCCATGTAAGGCTGTAGTCTATAATCCGGCCAATTAATAGTGTTCAGTCTGGAACACGATTTTCAACAATCTATTTAATATTATTTATTAGAGTGAAACGAAAGAGTTATAGATACGAAACGAGTTTTTGGATTGTATTTATGATTTTGTTTCTCTGACTTGTGCTCAAAGAGAGCCTCGGTTCCTCGTCAACACAATCAGAAATCGGGTCTTCTAATACGCTGTCCTAGACAAGCTCACTCAAACTCCAACAATAGCAATGGCGCTACGACTTTTTGGGTCAGCGACGGTTCTGGTCAACGATACTATGGATCGCCTTGTTTCCTCGTTGTATGCATGAGAGAGGCTAGGAGAAGGCTTGCTTAGTAGACATGATAAGACTGATCAAGTCCTAGAAAACCTTAACACTTATTTTGAGGTATCTTACATGTATTCTCATCAATAATATCTTGATAAAAGTTCCTAATCTCCGTTGTTTGCCGCAAATTTTTGTCTGCTGTACGTTATCACACCTCAAATAGAAAAAAGTAACGTCAGTAATGGGCTAAAACTAGAAAACGTGGACATATTGCAAGTCTTCGGCGAGCCTTCGCCGAGCGTCCGCCGTCCATTTGCTAGGCCTCGTAGCCACTTCCTTATTACCTTTTTTATGAATACATTTTTTGTGTTGACCCAAACTGATTTGCGTCTTCAACTAACACGTAAAAAATTGATTCAAACTTGTTATGAGTTGTGCCAAGTTTCATCAAAATCTAAGGGTCGAACTTGGAAGGCCTTCCGGTAAGATTTGTTGAAAATGCCATCAAAATTCCTGTCGCACCTAAGGCATTACTTCCATTTCTTTCATTCTTCCCATGTTTCTTTGCATAGCGATTATTTTCTAGTCAAATTCTTCTATCATCTGTCATATTTTTTGTGCGAAAAGCCGATTTAGCACTTATAAACACTACAAAGCACAGAAATACTCATCAAAAATGAAACAATACAACGCTTATCTGATACAAGTGAGACCTTCTTGCTCCGCGGCTCCGGCTGACCTTTTGTTTCCGGTTTCGGAGTCGGGCGCAGAATCCCGGCGGATGTTTGTCTTGCCGGCTCGCCGGTAAATGCGTCAAATTGCGAGTGGGGGCATGCAGGGTCGAAGGCGCTCATTCTCTTTGGTGCTAATGCCGAGCACGGTGGCGGCGCACGACGCCGAAGCCAACGACGCGATGCGGAAACTGGCCCGGAAGCGGACCGGCGCCTTGGAGTACATACTCAATCTGACTGGTATGATCTACCAGTACAAGGAGCATGAGGGCTTTGTGAGGACGTTGAGGAAGGCGAGAGCTGCGTTTTTGGTCATCATTGGTAAGCAAGGTTGTTATTTTGGGAAGTTTTTTTTATAACGTCTTTTGGGAAGTCTTGTAAATTACAAATATATAGCACATTGAAGGCGTTGTTACCACGTCCTCTTCGCTTTTTCTATCATATCAGCCAGTCGGGAAAAAATGTGGATCTGTCGCTAAAAATGTCCCGCCTTGTCGCGCGGGAAATCTGCAGCCTCGGCAAGCCGTCGCAAAGCGATAGTGGGTGCGCCAAAGCACGACGAATCCAGATTATTTTCCCGACAGCCTGCTAACAGGGGACTGCAGTCAAAGGTTGAGCCTGAACTCTCCCCTTTTTCTGAACTCTCCCCCTTTTTCAACTCTTCCCTAAAAAAGGCGGAACTCTCCCCCATTTCTGATTTTCGCCAAATAATTCGAACTTTCCCCTTTTTGAACACTCCCCCATTTGGAAAATTGAAAAAAACGAGGTTTGACATATTATACAATGAAAATTTTTTTCAAATTGTGAAAAATGAGGTGTGACATGTTATATGGTTGAAATTTTTATTCAGATTGAAAAAGTGAAATTTGACATGTTATACGATGGAAATTTTTTCAAGAACAATTTCGGAGGCCGTTTAAACCAATCTTAGACCAGGATTAACCTTCTTACAACAAAGCCCTTCTATAACGGAGAATTTTGTAGTCTTTTTCTTTTTTGAGGACTACATTTTAATGACTTTTTTAGTCATTAAAAAGTGGTCCTACTATCAAAAAATCTATTATCCTCTCTCAGCAGGTGCACTTATATAGTACTAACTACAACTTTTCGCTTCTTCCTACAACGTTATACCTAATTTTCAGATGCAAAGCCTCTTCAAATTAACCTATTTTGACGACGTGCTTTTGTTTGCACGAAATCTAAACCTTATTATATGTCAATCGTTGAATTGTGACATTCCCGCCGTGATATTGTTGTTTGTAGTTACGTTGCACCTGGTGTACGGCACATCCTACGTTTTCCTCTACGGTGGCGGGACATTGGAGCGCTCGGTGGTGATATTATGCTGGCTCTTTCAGTCGTTGTGTTCGATGGTAAGAGTGATGGGAAGTGGCGGAAAAGCATAATTGAAAGATGGGGGTTACTGACAGGAGAAGTGCTCCGAGTGTGACGTTCGGATGTTGATGAAACTTGGTACAAATACAGATTGATTTTCGTGAGATTTCAGGTCCTGCTTTGCAGAAAGTTTTTGCAGAAACGACCGAGATTTTTAGCCCAAAAGCCGAAAAAAATGTGACACTTTTTTGCATATTTTGGCACATAAAGTTTCATGCCTATTGATGCCGTAATGTTTCCACAAAAAACTAAGTTTTTTCGCGCTAATCTGGCAAAGATATGGCAGAAAAGACGTTTTTATCTCTCACCGCTCTCCGCACTACGCGCACTCTCTCGTCCGTCGAGCTGTGCCTGAAAAGCGCGAGCAAAATTTTCAGGAATTGATATACGGCCTATACCCAAAACATGTGCAAAATTTAGCGAAAATCTGAGCGTCGCACATCGAGTATTCTCTTGTCAGTTGGGTGTTATTCTTTGTACTCAAGGAAAACACGAAAGAAGAACTCAAATAAAATCAGAGCTGCAAAGTTCGAGCAATTTTCTTGCAATCCTTTTCAGCTCTTCATCCTCTACTGGCAAGTTCGCGGCGACATTGCCATGCTAATCTTCATATTGCCCTGGGCGGATCTCCCCGCCGCCTACCGCAAACGTTTGCTGATGACCGTCGTCCTGTACGGGTGTCTGCTCGCCGTGATTTTGGCAAACACAGTGCTCCTTATCATCTTCTCGGCCCTGAATCCCGGCCAGACGCTGATCAACCCAAAAACAATTACTGTAAGCGTCAAAATTGGTGATTTTCAAAACATTTCCGTTTTTAATCATTAAAATTCTTTAGCCGTTCACCGGATGGCCGAGATTTCTGAGTTATGTCGTCATCGTGTACTCCTTTGCCACATGGGCGGCAGTTCTCACAATGTATTCGGTTGTTTTGTCAACAATTACGGAAGAGATTGATGCCATCAAAAGTGAAATTGATAAGGTGAGTGAGTTGGGCGGGAAATTGGACAAGATATGTTTTTTTAATCAAAATGTGCGAATTCAGACACTGTTCAAGGTGACACGCGGCGTATTATAGTAACCAAAAATCAGCTTTTTCAAATCTAACGTGTTCAGTGGGGGACCTGACCCAGTGGCAAAAACCGTACCATTTTGCATCCTTGAAGGGATCAAAAATGTGGCAAAATGCTTCCCCTCCAAGTGAAGAAACTTCGATTTCAAATGCGCGGCCGTTCTTTTTGTGAGGGAAAGGGCTCGCACGTCAAACTGAGATAAGCTAAAACAGTCCGGTGAATAGATTGGCAGTTTGCCAAAAAAAGACGCGAAAAAACGTTTTGTCGGGGAAGAAATGGGGAACTTTTGGGGCGAGAGAGTACGTTTTAGCGTGTCTTTGTTGTCTCTCCGAAATCAAGATGAAGTGTAAAAACCGATAGCAAAGGGTCTATTCCGGTCACCGGAATCCTCAGTTTGACGTGGCGCGCCCTTCAAAACGAAGTTTTTTCACTTGGAGAGGGAAGCATTTTGCCACATTTTTGATGCTTCCCGGATGCAAAATGGGACGTTTTTTGCCACTGTCCGTCACTGTTCGTGGTCTACCCAGTGCCGTAGCTAACGCAGGAAGAGCAGGAGGTGATCCCTCAGGGCGGCGTCGAAAAAATGGTTAAGGGGAACCAAGGTAATACGACCTTTGCAGTCCAGAGAGTGGGCGAAACGTGGAGAGCGGCGTAAGAGAAATTACTTTTAGCCATATCTTTGCCAGTTTCGTGTGGAAAAAATTGATTTGTTTTGGGAAGCCTTCCCTCTACGGTAGAAATAGAGTTAGCTAAATTCAGGAACTAAATTTATCCCAATTTCTTAAAAAAAGAATTTCTTTTTCTTAAAAAAAATTGTCTTCAAGAAATCTGATAAAACTTCGCCTCAATCCCTAAACCTTTCAGATTGGCCATCACACCACCGACCGCTCCAAATCCATCGAAGACCTGCTAAATCTGAGCGACCGGCACGCTCACTTGTGCAAGATTCTGAACGAAACCAATCGGATATTCGAGATTTACAATTTCGTCATGATTGGTACAAACATTCCCACAACAATCTTCACAATGCTCAATGGTCATCATAGCCTGTACAGCGGGGATACGATGAGGATCATGTCGTCGGCGCTGGAGCTGACGTTCTGCATCGTGGAGATGACGGCGTTGACAATGATGCCGGCCAAGGTTTCGTCGCAGGTAATTGAGAAAAATGAGGTGTGACATGTCATACAATGAAAAATTTTTTCAAATTGAGAAAAATGAGGTTGACACTTTATACGATGAAATTTTTTTACCAAATTGGGAAAAATTTTCATCGTATGACACGTCACACCCCGTTTCTTCAATTTGAAACAAAAATTTCATCGTATGACATGTCACACCTAATTTCTTCAATTTGAAAAAAAATTTCATCGTATGACATGTCACACCTAATTTCTTCAATTTTCAAAAAGAGGGGAGGTGTTCAAAAAAGGGGAGGGTTCATTCAAGGGGGAGTGTTCAAAAAGGGGGAGAGTTCTGCCGCAACGGCAAAAGTGTAATGAACAAGGCATCGATTCAGAATGGTTGAGGCTATTTCCTGATCATGATTTAATCCATGTGGCGTTCCGTCGGCAATCCGCCAAAAAAAGACCCGAAAAAACTTTCAGTGGGGGAAGAAATGGGGATTTTTTGGGGCGAGAGAGTACGTTTTTGCGCGTCTTTTTTCTCTCTTTCTCTGCGAAATCAAGACGAAGTGTAAAAAACCCATAGCGAAAGGTCTATTCCGGTCACCGGACTCCTCAGTTTGACGTGCGCTGCCCCAGTAAGAAAAAACTGTTCTAAATTTCCACCAAGTTTTTTAAAATTTGAACGTCGAACTTTGAACACTTCCCTCATAACTTTTTCCCATCTTTTACAAAAAAATTCTGACCTAAATTTGTCCGTATTTTAACCTCCATTCTTTTCCAAGTCCCCCATAATTTCAGCTGTCCCATCTCGAACAAGCGATCTTCAACAATCGGCAACTTTGGCGGCCCTACGACGTCTCTATTTACACGATTGTGCAGTCGCTATTGCAGCAGAACCGCCAGTCCGGCCTCGGGATCACCGTGTGGGGCTTTGCGATCGTCAGCAAGTCCTTGGTGCTGACCACCATCTCCTTGGTGTTGACCTATCTCACGCTACTCATTCAACTGACCGAGTCGGCCGACCAATCCGGCGATATTTTCAAGCAGTTCTGGAACAACAGCTTGTATGAGCATGATGACTGATTTTAGGCAGTCAAAAAAGAATACTATTTATTTTTGCGTAGAATTTCCTCTATAAAGTATGTATATAAAGATGGTCAACATGCACTTTCTATCCTATTTTTCACGAAAACATTGGCTATGTCGTGAGTACTGTAGAATATACAAGTTTTCTCTGTTTTCTTGGCGGAGTTACAGTACCGTATTTTGGTGATTTTTTGCGTCTTCTTTTGGCTTACTTGAACCTCTGCGTTTTGCATTTTGTATGTCAAATTTGACGCTCGGATCTTGATCAAACTGGGCCAAATGAAATATTGCCAAAGACTGTTTTTCTCTCTGTCCGCTCTCCGCTTTTAATACGTTCTTAATTTACAAGGAAAGCATTCAAAGGGCGACGCTGAGATCCTGATGAAATTTGGCTCAAATTTAGGCCAATTTTTTAAAAGACATCCGAGACTCCTAGCTCGCACTTTGCAGCAACGGTCGGGATTTTTTAGATCGAAAATCGACAAAAGGGTGAATATTTTTTGTAAATTTTGACATGACAAGTTTCATGGCTATTTCTACCGTAGAGGGCAAGGTTTCAACAAAAAAAAAAAGAATTTTTTCCGCGCGAAGCTGGCAAAGAGGCGGGCAAAAATTCTTTTCTCTGATCGCTCTCCTCGTTGCGCGTGCTCTCTCGTCACCAAAGATAGTTGAATATTTTGGTTGCGATTACAAAGCGCGAGCTAAAATTTTCAGGAACTGATATGTGGCCTACTTCAGTTATCAAAGGAAAAAGTCAATTTTCGACTTTTTCGGATAAAATTTTCTTTTCATTTTAACCTTGTGCTACTCACAGGGGAAGTACTCCAAGTGCGACGCTCAGATTTTCTTTAAATTTTGCACACGCGTCGGGTATGGACTAAATATCAATTCCTGAAAATTTTAACTCGCGCTTTGCGGGCGCCGCCGGGATTTCGAACGATTTTTGTCGCCGAGAGAGCACGCTAAACGCGGAGATCGGTCAGAGAGAAAAGCGCTTTTTGGCCATAACTTTGGCAGTTTCGTACGGAAAAATTTGATTTTTTGTAGAAACATTATCCTTTACAGTTGAAATAGGCATGAAACTTTTCGTGCCGAAATTCGGCAAAAAGTCCTAAATTTTCGCCGACTTTTGATCTAAAAATCTCGGTTGTTTCTGCAAAGCGCGAACTAGGATTCTAGCATATATCTCAGAAAAAATTATTCTAAATTTGTGCCAAATTTCATCAAAATATGAGCGTCGCACTTGGAGTACTTCCCCTGTTAACCTTGTCCTACTCAAGCCAACGAAAAAATCATTTCCAATCTATTCCAATCAATTTTGATTGCTTTTACAACCTCCACTTACAAATACCGTTCAACACCGGCATTACTCATCAAACTTTTCGCTCTGACTCAGCCCTCAAACAACGATGAATTTCGAGTTGAAGTGTCGTTATAACAGTCCAAACAAGAACGTTTAATTCCGTAAAACGACAAACATTCGGATCGACGTCAGCCCTCGAGCCGCACTTGAGTTGGGGTGGATGGGGGTGTTCGAGTTGAAAACGGTTCGCTCCCAACAATCGGAATGGCATTATAAAGAGACTCTTCAAGTGGCCGGGTACTCGGTATTTGGCAGAGGGAAGGAGACGTTGAATTCAAATCGATTTAAAAGGTTTTTGGGTTACTGTATTTTTTGATGATTTTTCTCGCTTTCAGAGAAGTATTTTTTTTTTTTTGAGAAAATGCTAGTCCGTTCGCAAAGTTGCTGGAGTGATTTTTTTAGTTGAACTGTGCAGAAAAAGTCAGCCACAGCCGGAAAAAGCCTATAGGCACGGTTCAAAAAGCAGCAAATTGCAGAGCGCAAGCTTTTGTTTTTGCATAATACTTATCGCGAAAATCACACCAGCGACTTTGCGAACGGACGACCAGTCGTTTTATAAAGCGCGTAGACTTTTTGTCACAAGCTTTCCGCACTGTGCATTTGACTTTTAATGTGTAATTTGTTGACGCTAGACCACAAATTTGTATAAGTTCGCTCATTCCCTATAAAAGTCACAGATCCGGTCATTTTACAATCACTTTTCCTGCTGTGGTGCTAAATAAATATACTTCCTTCTTGGTCTTCTCGTCTTCTCCTACCGGTCGATCTCACATCAAAACCCATTCTCCTCTGGTCAGCCAGTACAAATTTAACAGTGCAAATGTCCATGGACTTTATGAAAATACTAACAGTCCGTTCCTAAAGTCGCCGGAGTGTTTTACGCGGAGAGGTTATTTCTTCGCATGGGGGTACATTTGGCTAAAAACAGCTCTTGTGAACCCGGAAATCGCTGATTATAGACATACCAGGGTGAAAGGGAGTTGTTGTATATTGATTACTGCAATTAGATCGTAAGTATCGGCGACGTATTTTAAACCCGATTTTTACGCGATTTCATCGTTCTCTCTAAATTTCAATTTGCTTCCAAATTAACATCTCGATATATGTATCAGAAAAAAATTGATGTAAATTTGTGCCAAGTTTTATCAAAATCTAAGCGTAACTATCCGGTAAAAAAATTGTTTTTCTTCATACACCTCAAGCCTCTGACAAACCTTGCACGTCAATATGACGTCCGCCACACCATCCCGACTTCCTCCATGGTACTGTAAATATATATAGCATATAAATCTTGGCCATTCCTCTCGCCCCGTAGGCCGCAATTTCTTTCCGCAGGACATGGCAATTTCCTGCGCCGGAGCATTACTTTGTTTTTTATTTGGTGCGAGTTTTATGGGGACTTGATGGGCCCGAAAAAATCGGGTTGATTGACTCCAATGCATGCTTTATAACGTCTTCTGGGCCCATTTCCACTGTTTGGAGGGCATTTAATTTGGCTTCGGGAATTGAGGTCGCTAGACTTGGGGGAATAGCGGGGGAGCAGAATGAATAAGGAGCAGGAACTGTGGACAATTACCGTGTTCTAAGGTGTGAAAAAAGGGTTTGACTACAAGCCGCACAGCCTCGAGGTGTACTGAAAAAACCTTGATTTTGCATCTCTATGAACTATGCAAAATTGCTGTTATGCAGTTGAAAACGTTGGCCCGTAGTTCGCAGCCGCTGCCAAGACATTTAGCGATCTTTGCGGCCAAGAGAATACGCGAAATGGAGAGAGCGGTCAGAAGATAAAACACTTTACTACGGTATGAAAAAAAGAAATTTACAAGGGAAAAACCCCAGGATTTTTCTTTCGAATTTTGCATACGATTTGGGGCGGGCGCACACTTGCGGGCAACCACTTTGCGGGCAACCAGTTTGCGGGCAAATTTTTTGCGGGCAGCCACTTTGCGGGCAGCCGACATTTGCGGCCAGCACCGGCATTTGCGGGCGGCCTGGGACATTTGCGGGCAGCCTGGAAGATTTGCGGGCAGCCGACATTTGCGGGCAACCGACACCTGATTGTGAGGGTAACAGGGTGGACGTGGAAAAATTACTATGATATGTTGGAAAGTTGCCGACATTTGCGGACAGCCGACATTTGCGGGCAACCGACACCTGATTGTGAGGGTAACAGGGTGGACGTGGAAAAATTACTATGATATGTTGGAAAGTTGCCGACATTTGCGGACAGCCGACATTTGCGGGCAACCGGCACTTGAGGATTACAAGGTGGAGGTGGAAAAATTACTTCGATATTTTGGAAGCTTTCCGACATTTGCGGGCAGGCAATACTTGCGGGAAGCCGACATTTGCGGGCAACAGTTCCAAAAGTTGCTATACAGTCTGTGTGATTGTTTTTTCCGGTTGCCCGCAAATGTCGGCTGCCCGCAAGTGTCGCCTGCCCGCAAATGTCGGCAAATTTCCAAAATATCGCAGTAATATTTCCACCTCTACCCTGTAACCCTCAGGTGCCGGTTGCCCGCAAATGTCGGCTGCCCGCAAGTGTCGGTTGCCCGCAAGTGTCCCAGGCTGCCCGCAAGTGTCTCAGCTGCCCGCAAATGTTTCAGCTGCCCGCAAATGTGACCCCCCAAATTTTGCCCGCAAAGTGGTTGCCCGCAAAAAATTTGCCCGCAAACTGGTTGCCCGCAAAGTGGTTGCCCGCAAGTGTCGCGACGCCCGATTTGGGTATAGGCCATATGTCAGTCTCTGAAAGTTTTTCCTTGCGCTTTGCATAATCAACCGAGATCCTCAGCGCCTTTTTTGACTGGGATTTTCAACGATCCTTGTGGATGAGAGAGTGCGCGTAACACGGAGCTCGGTCTGGCTGCAAAAGAGTTTTTAGCCATATGTTTGCCAGTTTCATTCGGAAAAAATTGATTTTTTTGTGAAAATGGGCACGGAATTTTTCATGCAAAAATTGGCAAAAAATGTAAAGTTTTTGTCAACTTTCGTTGAAAAAATCTTTGCCATTTTTTGCAAATTGCAAGCTAAGAGTCTTGTATATGCTTTAAAAACAAATAATCTAAATTTGTGCCAAGTTTCATCAAAATCGGAGCGTCGCACTTGCAGTAAATACATCTCCTTTTAGTCATACTTTGTTCTTTTCTTTTTGTACTCAAATTGCTTGGAGCTTTACAAATATCTCTCTTTCATTTTACGGAAAATACTAATTGCTCCTCGCCATCCCTTTATTACTCTAAACTCTGCTCTTTCTCCACACTTTTTTCGTTCTTTTTGGCATCAACAAAGTTGTTGTTCAACGTTTTCCTCTTCCTTTTTTACTTTTTTCTCCATCCATCTTCTGACTCACCATTCCCTTTCTTTTATTTATTTCGAAACTCGAGAGCAAAACACAAAAAAAAGCCGGATCTGGCAACCAACCAATCGGGTCCGATCCAAATCTCCGAATGACGAATCTTTCGACATCTGTTTTGGCCGAAAGATCTCGAAAACAACATGACAACAGATAAACATCTGGGCTACAATCGGCAAAGGCTTTGGCCGAGTTTAATGGCCAAGAAATGGGGAGAAGATGGGATTGCGGAGAGTTGAAATGTTCGCCGGCCCTTCAGGTGTTGAAAGCTATCTACTTTTG